AGTTCTTATATAGTATATAATTAATCTTAGTTTTTTTATATTATTTTTCTATTATAGTTATATTTTAATTATATAATTTAATATAACTCTTTTTATTTAAATTAAAGTATATTTATATATCTTTTTAACTAAACTTTTCTTTAAATTTTTAAAATATTTATTCTTTATTAGTTCTTTAAATAAATTTTTTTATTTTTTTAAATAGATCTATTAAAGGTTTTACTATTATTAAGAATTTATATATATATTATTAATAATAATTTACTATAATAAATTTATTAAAAACTAGAAATTAATAATAATAAATAAAAAATAGCTATATTTAGATAAAAACTAAAATTAAAAACTTAATATAAAACTATTAAAATAAAACTATATAATAATTTTAAATAAATAGTTAAAATAATAATATATATTAATAATTAACTTTATAATCTATAAAATATATAATAAAATAAAAATACTTTTTAGAAAAAAAATTAATATAAAGAATTGAATAAATATAATAATTATAATATTATATTTATAGAATTAAATACTACTAAAAAATAACTTTATAATATTAAAAAGAGTAAAAGATATAGAGATAAAAAGTTATATTTCTACTATAAAAAATCTAGCTATATTATAAAAGACTATAGAAAGAAATAAAGAGATATTAAGAAATACTTTAATATTATTATTATATCTAAAACTAATAATTATAAAAAAAAGTAAAGTAGAGAAGACTATTAAGATTTATAGAATATTAAATAATACTTTAAAGTAATAAAAAAGATTATTTATTTTATAGCTATTAAAAGATAAACTTAATAATATATATAAATAAATATCTAATATATAATAATAATAAAAATAATAGAAATGTAATAAATGGATTAAATAGAGAGAATAACTAATATTAGTATAATAAAATATAATAATAGAATAATAAATATATAATCTAGTAGTAAATCTAAACTAAAGAATTAAAATATTAGAATAAATAGATTTAGAAAAAGAAACTAAATTAGAATATAAAAATATATAAAAAATAAATAATTAGGAAAATAAAGTACTATAAATAATATTTAAAGATATATAAACTACTATAGAAATAAAAAGAAAAATATAATAACTAAATACTTAATAAATACTAAATAATATATAAAGAAAATGGATTATATTTTAAATATAATAAGAAAAAATAAATAAAAGTTAGAAATCTTAAATATTTATACTATAATAAATATAGATAAAACTACTACTATAAATATTATATCTTTAAAGAAATATAGAAATTAAAATAAAGATTTTATTATAAAAACTATATAAAATATCTATTATATAAAGATAATAAAAATATCTATTAAAAGTATTATATAAATAAAAAATATCTAATATATATTAATAAATATTTAAAATATATAAATAGAAAAAGTATTAATATAATAAACTAAGAAAATATAATACTATATAAATAACTAGAAGTTTTATACTAAAAAATAAATAAATAAATTACTATATAATATAAAAGATATACTATATAATTTAAAGGAAAAATAGTAACTAAATATTAGTTAAAGATAATATAATATTTATAAAAATAACTATAGCTTTAAAAGAGTTAAAAGGAATAAGTAATATAAATAATAAAATACTTAAATAAAAACTTAATAAATAAACTTAATTAGAAAAAACTAAATAAGGAAATTTAGGCTTTAATTAATATTAAAAGACTATAGAATAAAACTTATAATTAATAAATTAAAATATTAAGAAATAGATAATTTTAATAGTCTATAAGATTTAAAATAAATAAAAGTCTAGCTATAATAGAAGAAAAGAATTATTTAATAATAGTAATTTAATTAGTAGAATTAAATATATAAATACTAATTAATTTAAAAACTATTAGAAACTTTATAGATCTAGAATTTATAAAGTAGTTAAGGATTTATATCTAAATAAAGAAAAAACTATATTAGTTAAAAGATTTTAATAAAGACTAGAACTAATAAATTAATAAAGAAACTAAAGATATAAAAATATATATTAAAAAATAATATAAAAAAATAAAATATTTTAATATAATAAGCTTAAAGAATTATAATATAGTTTTAAAATATCTTTAGTTAATAAAATATAATCTAACTATTAATTAGAGAGATAGTATATTATAACTAAATAGTAAAAACTATTACTTTAATTAAAAGACTAATACCTTTATAGTTATTTATACTAAAAAAAGAGATTAAGGTTAAATACTAAATAAAGTGCCCTAAGTTAAAATAGAAATAATAAAAACTATAAATAATTAATTAATAAAAAAGTAAAAAATAGTTTATAAAATAGAAAAATCTATTAAAATAAATAAACTATAATAATAGATATTAAAGAAGTATTATAATTTAATTAAAGTATTTAAAAAATAAAAACTATTAAAGAGCTTATTAAAATATTAAATATATAAAAAGTCTACTATTAAATAATAAATAAAAAAAAATAAAGAATAGAAAATAATATTTAAAATATAATTTAAATTATATAAATTCTTAGTTATATCTTTTAAATAAACTAATATACTAGTAATATTCTAAATATTTATTAATAATATACTATAGTTTAATAGTATTAATAGTATAATAATAATTAATAGACCCTAATATTATAGAACTATATATTAAATTAATAATTATTATTTCTTTATAAATGTTACAGACCACCTGCGGCGCAGCCCCAGGATATACACTCATTGGACAACAAGATTCCGGGACGGAATAACTACACATCACGTGACCATAAGGACAGGTCCCAGATGCCAAGACCAGGGACAGGTCCCTATGGGACCGAACATGAAAGGTCCACGAAGGGACCGGGACATCAGGTCCACGATGGGACCTGAGGAGAATCAGGAGGAAGGGACCGGATATACCATGTATATAAAGACGCTCATTTCCTCAGGATCAAGAGTCTTATACTCGCGATCAAACCAGCCACAGTTTTACCATACTGCTTAATACAAAGCACCATTCCAGTTGTCTTATACTATATTCACCGAATACCCCTTTGCCCATTGACGTAGGTCAACTTTGTCTTCACTGCTCACAAGGACCTTCAGCCTTTATCCGACCCAGGCACTGACTGAAGCCACACTTGGAACTGAGGGATAGTCTCGCTATAGTATTCTATCTTGTCCTGGTACCGAGCCGTCTCCTATAATGACTCACTTCCAACCTAAGCTTTCCCTAAGACCTTCGTACCTTCTGTCTTACGGCAGGTGTGAACCTCTGATCACCTTTAGGTAATCAAGGAGCGCCGTCAGCTTGTGACAATAAATAAATATATTAATAAAAGAACTTTATAGATTAAATATATTAAAACTATAAATAATACTATAAATAGATTTAGTAAAGCCTTAAATATAGTAAAATATAGTAAATTTCTATATTTTATTAATTTTAAGTATCTTTATTAAATTTAAATATTTTTATTTAATTAAATAAATATATATATTTATTACTATTTTCTATAATATTTTATTTTAATATTTTATATCTATTATAGCTCTAATAGCTATTCTCTTTAATATATTATCTTAATATAATTTAGATATTCTTAATAAGTTTAAAGAGATATATTAAATATATTATATTATATAATCTTATATATATTTTATTATAGAGTTAACTCTTTATATATATATATATATATAGAGGCCTAAAATAATCTATAGATTTAAAAATAATTATCTTTATTTAATATATATCTATTTTAAGCTCCTGATTATAGTATTCTAGATTTTATAGCATTTTGTTACTATTCCGCTATATTCTATAGAGACGCCACCCTATTGGTTGATTAGCGCGCTCTGAGATGAGGCGTACGGCCAACTTCTGACTAAGCATTAATATTTGACAGCTTTGTATACACAAGATATATTTTCCTTTCCTTCCCACAATAAACCATAATCAAGTCCGAACGCCTCATCCTTTCTATCTCCCAAAACGGAGTCGAATTTTCTTAGCTTTTTCGCGATGGAGTATCGGATGTCGGACATCTGTCCTAGCGACACTGACATGTTAATTCGTCAATGTGAATTTCCTGCAATGCGTCGAGATCCTCTACGAAGGATCATGTTTCCAAATGCCGACTCAAATACCCCTGAAGAAGATGAAGAGGAAGTAAGGTGGACTATTGAAGGCCTGCAAGAAAGCTTGGAGAACGAGTCATGCTTTTTCCGTAAAGTGACCTGTGGTTCTGGTTGCTATGTTGGCTTTGCTGTGTGGAGTTTGGATTCCGGAAGTGAAGGAAGGAGAAAGAGGACAACATCGAATAAGAGGCGTGAGTCATGGAATCCTGTGTCGCTGGATGTCAGAGCTTGGAGTGAAGTCTCTAAGCGTTTAAGAGAAGAGCGCCTAAAGGTGTTGCATAGCCAACAAAACATATGGAGTAGGTGTTCGACCATTCCTAGACCGAAGTAATCTAACGACAGTCTTTAGGACTAAATACAATATCAGTGGCCCCAGAGCATCAGGGACAAGGCGTTGGATCTATGCTACTACAGTGGGGATGCGATAAAGCAGACTTCTACGGTTGGAATTCTTTTGTCATGGCATCGCCTAATGCAATTCCATTATATAGCAAATTCGGCTTCAAAGCCATCGGGCAGGTATGTACGGGGCACGGAACGTTCACAAGTATGTTTCGGGAGTCGACTATATCGACAGGCGAAGTTTAACCAAGTGCAAGGTTGTCATAATCAACGGTTGGCTCCAGGAGTTACATTACACTAATATCTTAAAGCAAAATTTGCAAATGGAATAGGAACATGTTCAGCAACAAAGGTAAGCTAGACTTGTTTGTATTGAAAAAAAAAAAAAAAAAAAAAAAAAATTCAAGTTACGATCGTTCGAACTAGACATGAATATTAAATAGCACATAAGATTACCAACATGCACTCTAATGCCTCTCAGGTAAAGGATAGACTTGAAGGTACATCTCATCTCCACTAGCCACAGCTATGGTTTTCCTGGCGCGCACCACCTCCCTGTGGAAAGTATTGTTCTCTGCAGTGGCACCTTTCGTCTTCCATCTAGATTAAAGACCCAGAACGCATCGATGAGGTTCGAATCTGAGAGTACTCCTTGTGGTACCACGACGTTTGCTTTTCCTTGAGTAACCTTAACTGAGAGCTGAGAGTCGTGCTTGTCGAAGTAACGGATCCTTAAGACGTTGTGTAGCTTCAAGTCCTCAATGACACGAAAAGCCGTTATCAAGAACCCAAGGCTGAGTTCGGGCTCTTTCAAAGTGAAAATGAACTCAAACGGTGCTAATTTGCAATCGAAAAGCCTGATCGACCGGGGAGCAATGACTCCGTTGAATTTCGGCACTACGATCTTGTCTTCGCCTCCTAGATCCCAAGGGAGAGAGATGGGTCCATGTTCAACAAGACGCTGACCTTCAGGAATTTGAAAGTGGTTGTGAAGAAGACACATGCCGTGGTGGTCTTGCGCTTTATGGTCGAGGAATACCTGCCGAATTGGACCCTGAAGCTTGGCTAGAACATCTTCAGTCATCAAACTGTGGGCTTGTCTAAGAGATTGAAGACTGTTGTATGCCGCTGGTTCGTAGACTGTGTCTAGCTTCAGAACTTGAGGTGAGACGGCAGACAGAGTAGCGATTGTAAAGATTGCCAAATGTGGTACGGGAGGATATAGTAAAGCCGTTTTGGTGCTGGTAACGATGAAGAATGCTTCTTAGAAGATCGTGCAGCGTCTAGTTAGAAATTCGGTGCCCTTTATAGTCCTCACCTCCGTATCTTTCCCCTCATACTTGCAAAACCTTTGAGTTGTGAACTGTACCTTAAGTGGACTGTTCGCCCGAAGTGACATGTTGACGCAGTGGGACAGCAGCTGCTTTGGACCATCTGCATCTCGACCTAGTATAGAAGGAAACTACTCGGTGTCCCCATGAGCTCGCGGGAGCAGGAATTGAACTGCGGCCGAAGTCATTGCTGTTGCGAGTCATGGGGCAATGATTATTTCACAAACCGAGTTGGAAAATAGGTGCATGACGTTATCATCCTTGTCACCCATATGTGTGAGATGGTAAAAAGAATTCGAAGGCTCTTAGGACGTGGGAAGCCTCTAACTGCGTGTGATCCACCCCCCACGATAGTCCACGGTGAACTTACGAGGTTAGGTGATGAAGCGGACTGGCGTTAGGCGGCCCAGAGTGTAGAACCCTCAATGTTGCATGGGAGTGCCATGCCCTGATCGAGTTATATCCAGGAGAGACTCAGAGTTTTATAAATACTAGTAAAAGGAAATAGTAAGTAGAGGAAATTCTGAGTAAAAAGGTTAATAAAAAGGGGGAGATAATTAGCTATTTAGTGTATTAGAAACAATATACTTAAAATTAAAGTCTTTAAAATAATTAAATATTAATTTTATATTATATTAAAAATTTGAGTGAGATCCAGCCCTGTTCACAACTTCTTATTGCACTTAGGCATCCTTGCCAGCCAGTAGAGACACAGGGCCGCGCCAATGTTGAAAGCAATGTACACCCAAATAATCCCGAAATTGCGCCATCTGGTATCGTACGATGAACTAACGTGTTCTAAGAATACGTTGGTGTCCTTGATCTTGCAGTAGGCGCATCTGCTGGTTGCGTTGGGGTCTAATAGGTAGCCACCCACCCTCGATATGTAGTCTGCCATATAATCACCGCATGTCTGACCATCTGGGGGGTAAACGGGAACGAGTTCATTACTCGCACACGTCACCTCAGCGTTAGACAGGCCAGTTGATAGAATAGCCGAGACCCAATACGACAATGGAGAGGCCCGGTAGAGGAAAATCCAGAAACGAGGCATCTGAGCTGGCGAAGCCAACACACCGCAGAAGAAGAAAATGAGGACAAAGAGAAAATTGGCAATGTTGCCGCCATCATCGGCTGAGCCAGCGAAGGAAATGCACATATGGGTAAATGTGGAAACCCAAAGAAGAAACTGCCAGAACAGCAGCCACATCAACCACCCTCTTTCCGTGGCCTGACCGGCGGCTGCAGCATTCTTATAGAGGCCAACGGGGAAATAGAAGCAGGCCCACATCAAGACTGACGCAAGGGTGCTCCAAGGGAGCTCAGATATGATCTGACTAACCATAAAGATCATCCAGGAGTATGTTTTGGCGGGTCATTCGCGGACCTCATATAACGACCGTTGCAGAATGAAGTTTGGCATTTGTTGATCTACCAACTGCCCAACAATACTCATCATCTCAAAAATGGCAAACGTCTGGTTCTGAAGACCTTGTAGTGTTAGCGGGGCGTTGAGAAAAACCAAGCCAATGAATAAGCTAGTCGCAATACAGAGCAAAAGCTTAGAGTAGATATAGGAGGGTGATCGCCAGGAGTGTTGGAATACACGTTCCATAACCACAACAAATTGCTGCCATAGTGTTGCAGCAAACTTATTACATGATGCGGGATCAAGCGTTTCACCTGATGGCCGAGCTAAGCCTTTGGCCTTAAGACGTGCTAACTCTTCCTGAACACTTTGAAATTCTGGACTAGAACGCCAAGTTTGGTGCCAGTCAATTTCGGAGGAACAACTGGGGGCAGCGCCAATAGTTTCGAGCATCCACTCAGCCGGATTAGCACCAGGCGGGCAAGCGGTGGCGCCGTTACTCTCAAAGTAATCGATAAGAGTGTGAGAGTTATGGCCAATATCACCTGTGCCCAGTTTGTATTAGTATTTTCGAAGCCAACTAACGTACTGTTTTGACCATGCAGAAGCTAGCAAACGAATATTAAAAACTAGGGCATGAGTGTCACTAACCGAAATAAACCTGCTTCCCTCCCTCGGCAAGTAAGAGCAGGCGGTCAAACCGTTGAAACAGCACTGCAGAAGGTTGATGAATAGTGCAGAGGATAGACTGGCCTGCCTTTGATAGCTTTTCCAGTAGGTCTAGGACAGCCCAGCTGGTTTGGGAGTCAAGGCCTGATGTGGGCTCATCAACAAATAGCAGTAGCGGTGGTTTGGCAACCAATTCGACGCCAATAGTCAAGCGCTTACGTTGCTCAACATTGAGGCCTTCGCCTAAAACACCAACAATAGCATCGGCATACTCCTGCATGCCTAGAATATTGATAACCTCATCCACATAAGCGAGTTTCTCCGCTTTTGGGGTAGTTCTTGGCTGACGAAGGAGAGCTGAGAATTTTAGAGCCTGGTATGAAATTAGCAGGCGATTCTCAATGCTTCTAAGACGGTACACGAAGAAGTATAGTTTGAGTATAGATTAGAATATGTACCACAGGGTATATAAACTTACCTCACGGACAGTACTCGTTTCTAGATGAATATCTTGCTGCTGGGCGTAGCCGGTTTTACGCTGAAAGCTCTCGTCACGCATCTTCCCATCGACCAAAATCTCGCCAGTGATGACACCCACCCCCGCACGACGATCAGCCAAACAATCCAGAAGACTGGTCTTACCGGCCCCAGAAACGCCCATTAAGGCCGTTAGAGTGCCAGGCTTAACCCAACCATCAATTCTGTCCAGGACACACCGGGTTTCCTTTTTGATCTTGATTTCATGGCACACGTTACTCCAATGGACGACTTTTGTAGAACCTTGAAAGGCTCCCTTTACCTCAGATGTGTAGGTATCTAATGTAGCTGTGACTGGTATGTGCCCAGTGATCAACTTCTCGGTATCATTGCCGCCTTTGGCTAAAGATGGTGGAACGAAGCCTCGACGGAAGACAAGAATTTCCCCTTTCGACCTCTTCGCTTGGACATACTCGCTAGTAGTAAGATATACAAGATGGTTGAAAATAGTCATGGCGAGGATGATGCCGACGTTGCGCCATTTATGGCTATGATAGTAGCTGTATGCCGAGTTGATATAGTCATCTCCATTAACATAGGCAAGGCCGGGAACTGCTCCGACAGCGTCACAGGCTACGTTGTTCACAGCGGCGTTGATGTAGTCGGGAATATAGGAGGTACACGGAAAGTTGCGGTTGTGGAATTCGTTGATCATGAGTGCTTCGTAGCCATAGGCTACAGGGTTGAGATAATTGATCCATCGACTCCAGGGTAGCATGTAGTCTACTGGGACAACAAACCCGGTGAATATGAGCAGAGCAAGCATCATGATAGAAGCGGGGACCATAGCTTGTTGTTCCGTCCGTGAAAGCGAGCCTCTAAAAAAATTATATTAGTAGTATTCTCCGTCTGCACTTGCATGGCCGAGAGATAATAACTCACATAAACCTAAAGATACCAGACATGGCCAAAACGATGAGGAATACCACCAATAGGTAGAAGAAGAAATTTCCAGGCGTACGGTGAAGGTTGGCCATGAAGTAAAACACTAAGTTAAAGGAAATAGTACTAGTGATTTTAATAGGTAAATCAACTAACACAGAAGAATATGACTCGGCGGATGGATGGTAAAAGGCGTATCGGGTGTGCTTTTCCACAATGGGCCGTTGAGCATATAGCGTCATAACCTCGAGAATGGAAGAGAAAGAGTTGAACAAGATGGCCATAAAAAGAATGACCGCACGACCATAAAACGAGCCCGTGTTCTGGGGTAGGTTGTAGAACATGGATGACATAATGAGAGCCATCATGGTATTTCCGACCATCACCCAGATGGCTGGCCATGGGTCTGCCTTAAACCGCGCCAAACCGCGCCACATACAGAGCTGGACCTGCTGAAGGTATGTTAAGATATACGGAGAATTGAGGCGCTGGCCATTGGCTTGGTGTGACTTTTTGAGCCGCCTGAAAATTTCAGCATCAGGGCCGCCAATTGGATGTTGAGACTTGTATTTTTTAATTTCAGCTTGCAGCCTGCCATATTCAGGACTATTCCGCCACGCGTTTACAAACTCATCGGCGGTCCGCGGGGGGTTGAAGCCAGCACGAGTGATGCGCTCCGCGGGGAGCGTCATGGACGTGAGGAAGTCGGGGGCTGTCTGGCGTTCAGGGCACTCAAATCCAAGGTCAACAAAATATTCTTTAGCCTTCGATGCAGGTCCAAAGTAGATTTGGTGCCCCTTGTAGATGACCAGGGCCTTGTCAAATAAGTCATAGGCGCTTTGGGGGGCTTGATACATTGAAACAGCGCATGCCTGACCAAAAAGATCAGCCTGTAGCCTTAAGGTCTTGCAGAATTCTATCGCGTTGGCCGAGTCTAGACCACGGGTCGAGCTTAAGATAGCCGTTAGTATGCGTTGGAGGATCTGCAGTACCTCGTCCTTACTTACTTGTCCCAACATTGAAATGGAGCGTTGGCAAGCGTGGCCTCGGCAATAGTGACGCGCTTGCGTTCTCCTCCTGAGACTCCTCGTACGAACTGGTCTCCTACCTTGGTATGGATGGTGTGGCTAATGCCGTACATGGCCATGACAACATTGCGAAGGTGTTCGCAGTACCTGTGAAAAACGTTGTTAGAGAAAATGGAACGAGGTATGACTCATGTTTGACGTACTCGCTGCGAGAAATTCCTTGTGGCAGTTGCTGCGGGCAGCGTGCACGCGATGCAAAGGTCAATGTCTCTCCAACTGTCAGCATGGGGAAATGGACATCGGTCTCGGCCGTGTAGACAGCATCACCTCGATGCGCCGTATGCATCTCCTTGGCTGAAAGGCCGCGGTAGTTGAAGTAGGAACCCTCGTTGACGTGGAGACCGTTCGTGTCTCCTGAAATTGTTTTAAGGAAAGTTGAGCAACCAGAGCCAGGAGGACCCAAGACCACGCACATCTCGCCGGGATGGATGATACCGTCGAACTGGCGCAGAATGTCGATGCGTTTCTGGCCTGCTGTGCTAAAGAGGAAGCGCCGAATCATACCTGGAAGCGCTAACCAGATATTGGCTACATCCTTTTGATAGTCAGCTGGTGTGCCATAACCGAATACACTGAGGTTCTGAAAACATAGGCCAACTCGACGAAAACCCTGGCCTGTTTCGCTAGCGAGCAACGAAACGTGCGTAGCCCACGCACGGGCATTGAATTCCTTGCCACATGGATTCAGCGGGGAATTTTCGTCAGTGCTCCCGAATATGGGCTTGGTATGGGCTTCGTCTCCGTTTCTAGAGTATTTCCTAGCGAACTCCTGCACCATGGAATGCCGCGACTTTATTGATTCTGCCATGGCTAAGTTGTCATCATCGGCTAGAGGTTGATGGTTAAAAATCCCGTTTTCTCTCAAATTTTCGAACGATGTGGAGGCCATGACGGTCGGAGCCTCTAAAGAATTGGCGTCTCTAAGATGGAAAATCCCTTAGTCCACGCTAAAGGTATCTTGTGCTCGACAAAGGGGTGCCCAAAAAAATTGAGAGAGAGAGAGAGAAAGAGAGAGAGAGAGAGAGAGAAGCAGCCAAGAATTGGACAATAAAGCAAACGAGGAAAAGAAGGATGCTGGCAGAACTGCAGCTGAATTGAAGTTACCCTCTGGATTGATATACCTTGGCGATGTTCGTTCAAGGGAGAGTCATATCGTCCGGATGTCCGTAGAAGCTGATGGCCCGATCAGCAACTGCCCAATTCCGCCGTGTACCCGGAGCCATAGCTATTTCGACTTCTATCTAGCCAGAGCTCAACTGCCACTATTCCTTCGTTGACGGGGAAGCAAATGTCCGGCCCTGCGGCGGAGGAAGCTCACCAACAGTTATGAGGTTAAAGTTCTTCCGCCGAAGCCCGGACGTTTGCTTAAGCTCGCCCGAGACGTAGCGGCTTGGCGCGCTAGTTAGGCAGAGTTCGGAGTTTAACGTAGTTTACCACCCAAGGGGTATCATCACCCAGCGAGTATCATCACCCAGCGAGTATCATCACCCAGCGAGTATCATCACCCAGCGAGTATCATCACCCAGCGAGTATCATCACCCAACGAGTATATGCCAAAATCAATACTCCGTATATATAGCTAGGTTACAACCCTTTCCCTTTTGCTAGAATCGATACAAATACAACACAAAGGGCTCAGCGCCAGGCAATTCTCTCGCTATATCCAAACAGTTGACGGACCTGCATACAAAGAGTGGCCTCCTTATCCTTTTGGCATGAAGTGCTCTGTACGCCAGTTCCAAGAGGAGTTTCGCCACTGGAAATATAGAGGCCCGAGGCTTTAGAAAGCCTAAATAGGTGGCCTCCGGCGTATACCTTATTGTTTACAAGTGGAACCAAACAGTCTCAGTCGCCTAGCTAGCTTATCCGTATAGGCCTATTCCATGATCATCCCCAGGATGTAATTGCAAATGATCCTAGGCAGTAAGTCATTAACTACTTTTATAAAACCGAGTTATAATCACAAGATATTGCCCATGGATACAAGCGGGCAGCATACAATATATATGCGCAAATGGTAGCAACTTAACCTAGTTTGTGAACTGTCGGATTAAACTTGATCCGCCGTCACCAATTGGACCCCTTACTGGACGTATCTTAACTACCACCCAAGTGTCCGGCGTTCACTACATTCCAACTTCATCTTCTCCCCTCTTTATACTAGCAAATGTACTCCGTACGGCACCTTGAGTACCTATGGCCCTATTACTTCATGCTGCCACTTACTTGTAAGTGCGTTGTTGCTGTACACCACAGTCTGAAAAATTAGCACTGGAAACGGACTAAAATAACTTAGGTACTCTGCTTAAGTTGCAGCCTAGCATGGCCCTGATCTGAGAGGTACCTTGAAGAGCCTGCCACGATACTAACAGTTAATAACCGTCGTAAAGAGCTTGGCTGAGCGCCTGCAGATGATCTAATATTGAACCTAGCGCGCGCGGGGCTTCCACACGATACTCACTCTACAATATGCAAGGCGCCCCAGTGCCTGCAGAGTCAAGCTCACAGGATGATACCAATATAGAGATTAGCCACCACCGAAAGGTGCGCAAGGGAACCCGTAGCTGCTGGGAATGCAAGCGTCGCAAGATGAAGTGCTCTTTTTCCACTCCTGGGGACTCCGTCTGTCAGTCATGTCGCAGGAGAGGGGCCAGCTGCGTCAGTCAGAAATACCCGGAGGAGATCGCCTTCGCTGCATCACCATCGTCGTCGGCCTTGGAGCGCAATCGCATTGTGCGTGTGGAGGCTCTTGTGGAACGATTGGCTAGGAAGGTTGGCGTGGGCGATGACTTAACGGGGAGCGAGGACATGACAAGGAGAGCTGTATCCTCTGCTCCGAGTGCGAGTGCGGACGGGGACGTTAACATGGCCGAGTCGAATGTAAGACTGGAAAAGGAGCGCCTCCAAGTACCGGCTTCGTCGCCCGTCATACCGTCGCCAGCAAGAAACGCCACTACTCGCCATGGAAACATCCCCTATGATAAAATATCTGCTGCCCTGTATGCCGCCATGCCTCCTCAAGAAGACATCCACCTTATGATTGAGGCAGGTATTGACGTCTCGCTGCATAAAGTTATTACCCATCCTTACCCTGTGTTAGCAAACCAAGGGCCTGGGGGTTTTAAGGGAAGCCTGGGTGAGATACCCTCACCAACCACGCACCCCGTTTTGCTTGCAAAGTACCTATTCGAACTCGCCACCTGTTTGCAGTACTTACACCCCGAGCTTCACGCCGACGAGATCAAGCGCCTTTCGGAGCCGCCGCGCCAACTCATGCGTCGCCTAGCTGACACGGTTATTGCGTTAGTGACTAGCAACGACGAACTGCTCGACTCTATTGAGGGTCTTGAATGCATCATGCTCGAGTCATCGTTTGAGGCTAACAGTGGTCATCTTCGGCGCGCCTGGCTTGCCTGTCGCCGCGCCATGCTGGTTGCTCAGATGATGGGCCTACATCGCAGAGACACCCACCAGCTGTTCAAGGCCATCGACTCCTCCCGGTTGGTCTATCCGTCTTTCTTCTGGTTTCGCATAGTCTGTACAGACCGCCAGTCGTGCTTGATGCTGGGCCTTCCACAGGGGTCGCTAGACGTTAGCATGGCATCCCCAGCCGCGATAACAGGTGATACCATCGAAGGTATGTTCGAACGCAAACAGTGCGTCATCGCCGGTCGCATATTAGAACTTAACCAGGCTGCTGAACAGTCTGCCATGGACAATCTGGAAGCCCTGCACATGATCGATGCCGACCTGCAAGCCGCTGGCAACGAGATGCCGAGTAAATGGTGGCTGGTTCCTAATTTGGCCAGCGTCGTACGTGATCCGGACAAGACCTTCTGGGAAACAATCCGTCTGTTCGATCAAATGTTGTACTTCAACCTTCTTAACCTGTTACATCTGCCGTACATGCTACGATCGCAGGCGCAGGCACAAGATACTGCAACAGCGGCTAAATATGGTCACAGCAAGCTTGCGAGCGCTAATGCGTCGCGCGAGTTGTTAACTCGCTTCATCATGTTCCGGTCTTTCAACCGCGTCGCATTCGCTCTTCGATCTATTGACTTCTTTGCTCTAGTCGCAGCCATGACTCTAGTTATCGCGCATCTTGACGGGCATCGCCAGCAGCGTCAGCACCAGCAGCACGGCGGCATCAACATTCTCGCACACCAACGAAATAGCGATAGAGCCATGATCGAACAAGTCTTGGAAAACATGGAGGGCGTTGCAAAGCTCAATACTGACGTCCTTAGCGATCGCGCCTCAGGCCTTCTTAAGACGCTGCTCGCGTTCGAGACCGATGCGGCCAAGGGAAATATATACAGATATGATTATACAACCTCACTAGCGATGACAGAGTTACAAGTAGACTCAGCCACGGCGACGGACGACGGACAGTTTCTACGCATAGGTATCCCATACTTCGGCACTGTGAGGCTTAATCGCGAAGGTGTCGTATCTATGGAGCAACCCACACACGATATACCCCCTGCGTCTCAGCCTTCACCGCCGCCGTCGACGCAGCAGCGGCAGCAACATCTACCCACTGACCCGGGCAGCAATGATGCTTTTCAAGGCCCCTCATCCGCCTCCCAGGCCCATCCCCAGCACCTAGGAGCCGCCACGGTTACCCAACCCTGCCCATCACCACCGACACTATCGACACGTGTATCCAATACACAGCTATCTACGCCGCTGTTTACGACCACCATCGACGACACAGTGCGACACCAGTATCTGTATCCCGGCCTGACAGTGGGGGCAGACGACTGGGCGTTTCAAGGTGTAGACATGGCGTTCTTTGATAGCCTTATTAATCACTTGGAAGGGGGGAATGTGAACGCTGACGATTTTGGTTCCTGGACAGAGTGGGAGTAGGTATCCTAGAGTACGGCTATGTATTTCTTTACAACACCCTGTATTTGTTCATAGGCACATGCACACATCTCTGCTCCGATATGAAAGTTAACTATCCTCCTCTCCAATACGCAGCATTCAAGCCAACTTGCTTAAGATCTAGACCTAGATCAGCCTCCTACCATAGCTGTATGCTATCTCTCTTCATCACCTCCATAGGCTAAGCTTGTTCATCCATCTTCCCCTCAACGATATCGGCGCAGAACCCGCCCCCAATGGCCGGATCAATGGCACCCATAGCTCTCTTATCTACCTGCTGGCCGGTCACTCGATCGTCACTAAGCGTTGTGGCCAAAAATCCTGGCGACACATTAAACACCTTCACACCGTCGTTACGCAGCACACGTCCCATGTCTGGTTCCATTCTTCACGCTTGCTAAGATGGCCTGGATCGCAGCGTCCCCCCCGTCACTTACGGACGTCCACGGGCCCTTCAGGGGCGATGCATCGGGGACATGATATTGGACAGGCAAGCGATATATATAAGGTATTTAGATTTAATATTTCTATGCTATGTAGTTCCTTCAGTTAAGCCTTATTCCAAGTCTATTACTCTGATTTCGCTATGGCCGTGCTACGTGAATCCTGTCTCGAGCAGGCGGCGCCTGACCCAGAAGCAAGCGGTGGATCTTCGCTAACGAATGCGACTAAACCAGACGAAGTGCCAGAAGCCACAGAGGGGGCCGGGGAAGCATGGTTAAGCCTGACGGGACAGAAAACGGCTTCCCAAGGGGCGACCTCCCAAGTTTCCCTTGTTCGAAGGACCCTAGTAAGAGGCATGAGAGTGAAGGGGCTCAGCTAACTATATGTGATGAGCTAAAAATGTTTTCAAGGACCAGACAGGCAAAGAGATGATATAGCCACCTCAAGATAGGGATGTCTGAGGATAGTTACTATATTAGTTTGATGGCATATATACATTGAACTCGGCGCCGCATGCCATCGATTGTATTGGCCTCCCAATGCGGCGTCGTTCTCACAATCATAGGCGATAAAATATCAGTGATATTTATCTTAGGTATCCTGTGAGCAGCCGCGCTCTCCACGTCGAGTCCTCCATGATATCCTAAGTCCCGCTCTCTCCTCGCGTCCGTTGGCAGATACACCCACTCCATTGCTAACAATGCGTTTCTTCCACGTATTGTTGAGTAAATTTGAAGCGCTGGCTTTCACTGCGCTCGTAAGGGCGTAACTTCAAAACCATGTTCCCGCCGGTCGTGCCGCTGTCGTTGTGTTCGACTGTCCAGGCGAGTCTCTGACCTGGCGTCTCAGACTCAAGAGCAACCAGATAGGAGCCATGCCCATCCGCTTCAACTTGGAACAGGGTTGGAATCCTATCGACCTTTGCAATTGTTCCAGTTCGGTAGTCTAGGTAACGAAGATACCCAGTGACTCCTGAACTGCTAATGCGATAAAAATACCAATCTTTGACACCTTTAGCGGCCTGAAACGCATCCCAATACCGACAGGGACTACCTGGATCAAGCTCGATCCCGTTCTTAGCGCCGTTGAGAGTAACATTCAGTCCATATTGGCTGCTTGTGATGATGGTGTAATCCGCAGAGACGGTCGCCACGAAGGTGCAGAAAGCAATGGCCAACGATATGGCACGCATATTCGCAGCTGAGACACGTTGCAGCTGCGTTGAAAAGATGGGAATTATAGAGTAGTAGGGTGATTAGAGTGTTTGACTATGGAAATACGGAGGATACCTCTGCCTTTATGCATCGGTAGCCTGGATACGATATCAACCATTCAAAGTATAACTTCTAGGGAGCATTAATTCACAAGTCAATGGAAAATGCCGTGTTTATCCAGGGGATTAATTTTATACATGGACTTATTGGATTGTGTGAACAAGGATGATCCTTACTGGCGTAATAGGGGCAAAAACTGTGGCCCTTTCGGGCGCTTGGCCAGATATCCGAGGGCTTCCAGTCACTCCCGTTTATCAACAGGGTTCCAAGGACGAATATCTTGCTAGGGTGCATCGCATATGGCTTGCTAGTCACTGCCGAATAGCCGATCCGATGTCTCTGCCTACCTATCATCTCTAGCAAATATCTGCAAATACAAGGATGCTTGAGGCGACTAGGGTTATTCTAGCTCACAATTCATGGGCAATATCAGAATCACATACTTTGATATCCAGCAGTAATGGCTTCTGCAAGTGAGATTCTAGCTTGGTTTTGGCTTTGCATAGGGAGCCGGAAAAAATCATATCGGGCCAACGAATGCCGATATGCGCCGCATTAATAAGGCTCTAGCCTTGACTATGCGTCCAAGGACGGAGAGCAGCCGCTTATATCCAGAAAATATTGCTACACGAGCTGAGCAAACATTGTCTAGCCTTTATACGCCAAGGTGAAGCCCGTTATTCACTCCTTAGAAAGACAAATTTCAGAGCCCCGATGTTAGTCTGAAATATCGATATTTGCAGAACGGGCAAGATAGAAAAATTCAACTCTTAAACCCCACCACGCCCATCCCTTATACTTCATCGTCCTTATCCTGCCCACGCTTCATACAACTACTCTACAAATATTGAGTCCGATTTGACTATAGGGCCCGATTCCTATAACGATATGCGTTTCATCTCTGCCATTCTTCTATCCCTCCTGGCATCTAAGGGTCGTGCTAAAGATTTCAAAAACCCTAAAATTCCGCTGTCAAGGACCACGTCCAACAGTCTCAATTGCGACGGCGACGAGTGCTTCGAATTCAGAAATGTGCCCTTGACTGCAAACATTAAGGTTATTGATGACTACAACGGCGATGTCCTCTCTATCACCAATGGCCCGAGTGGTGATATCATTGAGATCAAGGATGGAGAAGCCAATCCATGGTATTTTGAGCATCTTACGGCGGCCACCCATATTATACGCGATAGCAAAAGCACCCGATTCATACATTTTCCAGAACTCAAGGATGGAGCAGTTGCTACCTTTAGCGAGACAGCCGCCACCTTATTTGAGGTTATATTTTCACCAAATGCTGTCTTCAATATCTCCGCGAGTTATACAGAGGGAGACGGCATTCTAGCGTGGACTACAGAACCGTATAGCACCAATGATTCACGCATGGTCCTCAAATTGCGCAAATGGGCATCTGGAAAAGGCCGGCAGGAATATGTCATGGCTACGGTGCCAAAAACAGGGTGACCAGGCGTAGGCAAATGCTCGATGCAACGCTATCGGCCGTCAGTCGGATGAGTTAACCCAGCAAACCCGGGTCTCGGCCTCAGTTCTTCATAATATGCCGAAAGGATGCTTTGTATTTAATGGACTTCTTCTTTTCGCAGTTTTCAATAGTTACAAGCCAATTGCTGTACTCGGCAATAGTGACACTCATCCTCCACTTCTTTCCATTTACCATGTGTCTTTCTCTTTCAACGTATATTGGACGAAACCCCTCGGACTTCGTATACTGCAATCGTATAGATGAAGTATGAACGGAAGATCGACCGGGGTGGCTTGATCATAAACTCAGAATCTAACTAGTTAACGCTAAAGACCGGGTCTGCCCCGCTGGTTTGTTCATTTTTTGCTCGCTTGGATCTTGGATCTGGTTTTCTTTTCCCGCGCAGCCTAACTATCGTTTAAAAATAGCACTGGCCTCCTGCACGTCAGCTCAGGGTTCAAGCTCCACGGACCTCACAAGAGACATGGCCTGCTTGCCCGAGTCGCCGAAACACACATAGCAACGAACACGCTGAGTTTTACGGGATACTGATCACAGGAAGAATTTGGCAACACAACACGCCTTGGACCGGCAGCCCGCGCGGTAGGATCTAGCTTAAGGATTTATAGGGTACATTGGAGCCTTGGAATGAAACAGTGGTTATTGAAGACAGTATTGCATGTCAAGCTGCTATATACAGTGTTATTTCTCTGCTTGAGGCGCTGGTATAATGCATTTTCTTCGTCTATATAGAGCATGCCCCGTAATAGAGTACATCTGCTTGTGTTCCGCAGTTCAGTGCCCTTAATTCCCGTTCTCCAGCAAGCTCTTGCCTGCCGCCCTAGGTAGTGTTCGTCCTTTCGTTCATTGATTCAATCCGCCCCTGGATCTAGTTGCCATTTTTTGGTTTCTTGATGAAGCTGAATTGCCGATCATCATCCGAATAGTTCTTCACTAGCTTTATAACCCGACGGTTCGGTTCTTCAGGGCTATATGGTCCTACAGTAAAGAAGAACGCAGACCCTTCCGTGAGTACAAGTATCCTGCCAAGGGCGTTTTCGGGGATATATGGGTGCAACACCGTTGCAGCCTTTTCGCTAACAGTAGCAACTGCCCCTTCTTTGATTTCAGGGAAATAGATAAATCGATGGCTTGTGCTGTCGCGGATAATGTAGGCGTCCTCGTAAAGGTACTCGAATAGCCACCGGTGGGTTGTGTTAGGCTTCACTTCAATAATTCCATCACCACCAGGAGAGACGACGTCGTTGTTAAAGTGGTCCAGTATAGTGAAGTTGGCATTCATAGGGTAGTCCAGGTACCAGGTTCCAGCACTTCTTGCCTTACAGGCCGCCAGAAGGTACAGACATGCCGTATAGACAAAACGCATTGTGTGAAGGTGGTCAAGTCTGGTTTGCAGGCTGCAGAGGGATCGTAGTCGGTGTAAGCGGACAAGAAGTGATAACAATAGCCTCCAGCTATAGAAACCAAAGGATAAAGGGGTGATTATGTATGAGCCCACGTCAATCCTAAAACTTTCCAAGGCATCGAAAACCTTTTTTGAAAAAAATACGATGCAAGACAGGTCTCCAACATTAGTACCGCAAGTATCCTAGCATCATAAGAGTAATGGCATGAGAAGAATACCTCGTAAAAATAAAACGAACTAAAATCTTACCTGCAGCCGCGGCAGGATTATGGATATTGAAGGATATTACCTTATCTAAGTAGAGAGTAGACTGTAGTCAACATAACCCCATCTACCCGTTATTATTTTTGAGCCCTGGAGGTAGATATCATCAACCGTGAACGGGCATTTCATCGAGGTTACGGGGCTTGCTCCAGTTCGTCTCGTATCCGAGTTTAGCATGGAGCATGTCAGCTTGGAATTGGCTAGTCGGCATCTATAAACAAAGGTTAACCGTGTACCCTATGGTTATGCATGGGTAGTCTCACTTGAACCCAGTTTCTACCATGAGTATCAGAGACCAATTCCTGGCCGAGCTCTCCCGAGGAAGTATCCAAATTTTCTCTGGATAGGATAGGAGCGGCAAATAGTTGGCACACAACACTATAGCAATATTCATATTATACGCCTAGTTGATGTTATTTGGCGGTATAAAAGCCCTATACCCTCTCCCTGGCCTTCTATACTTCACTCCTATAACCGTCCCTCCTTCAACTTCAGCTTATTACCTGACCGCAAAAATGCATATTGCATCGTTCGTTGCCCTTTGTGCCTTTGCGACATGCATTTCCTCGCTTCCTGACCAATACGCCAATATCAAAAATAAACAAAGTGGATTGCAGCTCACAGTCAATTCCGATGAAAATAGTATCGGATTTGGGAGAGGCAGTAGTTCCCCGGCTTGGGTTGATGTACCACTTACTGATGGTATCAAGAACTGGCACTCCTTCAGAGCGAAGCAACCATATAGCCTATACTTTCAATGGCTTCGTTTCGATGAAAACAAAGATGGCCAAATTGCATATTCCACCAAATATTCCATCCCTCCAACCATATTTGAGATTGAAACAGTCCAGGATACCTCCTATCTACTCTCTCTAAACACGGCTAAGTCAGGGGAAAGACTAGCTTGGACTGCCGAACGCAACAGCACCAACAGCCGGAGTATCGTGTTAAAACTGCGGCCCTACAAGCGCTTACCAACCCAGGAATTTATCATAACTCGAGAGCCAGCGGACCAGTTCCCGTTCCCGCCGTACTAGTTCCGTTTTGATGGCTTCCATTGAATTGAGCTTGCAATTTCTAGTTTGCTTTAGTTATGTGTTCCTTGTTGCAGGCCACTTTGGGGAATTGGGTTCGATAAATAAACTGACTTGGTCGAGATATCATGCCTCGGGGTTTTTTTTTTTTTAATTATTTGCCCAAAGAAGGCATTCAATAAAGCTTCCGTTTATATGCTTCACGATATGATTCCTAATATATCTTGTAGGTACTAGTTCGGAATGTACTCGACACACGAGAGTATAACCACTTTCATGGTTTTGGCCCACTCTATATTATATAGTGACCTATAAAGCGTTTTGTATAACATACCTGTTCAGGGAACGGTGTGCTAGCCAAAGCGGTTATCAGTATTTCAACACTCAAGGGGGGGATTAGGTCAGCGTAGCCGCCGCGGCCCTGGTCCCAGGAGCCAAAAACAGGCACCCTTCGTCTGCTATCTTCGGCTTCAGCCTGATGCTACATTTACATCAAGCATGCTGTGTGTCTACGAACCTCCAGAGGCGCCAGGAGGCGAAACTAAAGGAGGGTATTTAATCACACATATTAGCAAATGAGGAGTTCACAACGAAGCAGGTCTGTGAACTTGGATCCCAGACCTTGGTTCATCCGCGTTCCTCCGACCTATGAGGTCCCTTTGAGACACCCTTTACAATGGTTTCTGCTGCATGGGTGGCTGCACAAGGCCTATTATGGAGTTTCAAGGCTTGCCCCAAGGCTGAGCGCCTGGAAACATCGTCCAGTCGCTACGCATGATGTAAATGAGCAATGCTGCGCCATGGCAATGATGAACCAATACCGCATGGGGTGTTGATGGCTGTGCCGCAATGTCTGGATGGTTAAAATGGCCAGCATCAGACGCTCTTGCTTGTCTTTTCCTGGGTATCACTGCTTGAAGTACTACTAAGAATTAGTAGTAGTTATTACATTGATTCGGAAACGCCCAGCCAAACAAGGAGCAATGACGAAAAGAAAGCAAAAGGCACATTTTCAAAGAAATAGTACGGGGCAGCCACTCTCCTCTTCTCAAAGCCCGCAAGATCGCGAATATCAAGGGAGGCCAAATGGTGACGGGAATGCTGTGACGAACAAGGAACAACCTCAAGTGCAGGAACAAGAACATTTGCAGCAAGACAAGCCCTCTCACCGAACCAGACGATCAGTAAAGCAAAAAAATGTCCAAAGGCATCTTCCTTCAGGTGCGCCGTCGAAGGATTTAACGCCCACAGCGGTTTTATCGCCAGGGAAACCGGTATCATTCCTAGCCAAGCTCAATAGCCGTCTAGAGCAGCGCAAAATGGAGGGAGGGCCCCCACGACATAACACGACGCGACCTACCTATCCTCCGCTTCCCTCCTCATATAATTTGTCTTCCGAACCCTTGTTACCGTATGATGTGGAGGGAGTTAGCCTCACTCGAGAGCTGTGCACAGTTATTGAAGAGACTCCCGAGTATATATTTCGTCTACAATCATTTGTCGCCGCGCAGGACGCCCTAAGACAGGTTGGCTATGTCCTGGAGCCTCTTTCAAACGAAAGCCTGGAAGGAAAGAAACGGTGTCAAGGGTGTGGAAACCGTACGTGAATTCAAAAAAGCTCATGTCCTGTGTAGTAGTATACTAACGGTTGGCGCCTTAGAAATGTCCAAGATCCTCCGCGAGGAAATGCGGAGGCTGTCGAAATCAAAACGTATTACTGCTGGTAATGATGTTAAAAACCGTACCAGCTCGAGCGAAAAGAGCCACTCTCCCGAGAAGAGAAATCCCCCCCAGGAAGAAGGAATAGGAAAGATAACAGGAGCTGGGATAGATTCTGATGCCGCAAAAATTGTGCCAAAGAATACATTCCCTTGCAAATTCCATAATGGTCGGGTGGCCAACAAGGTATGTTGAATTCAACCCCTTAGTAGTTCAATTCAAACAACGGAAATAGCTGACTGGATTTAGGTGTGGACGTGCTGCGAAATGCACGTATCATCGAAGCCCTGCACCGGGGCTCAACAACACCATCCTCGCTTGTATGCTCCAGGAGAAATAGATCGTCTCTGGCAATTTCACGCAACCCCTCCTAACTCAGGGATGTCCCTGCGCCGTGCAGTCGCCATCGATTGCGAGATGGGCATAGCAGCATCAGGGGACTCTGAATTAATCCGACTTACCCTCATCGATTACTTCTCGTCCTCTACGCTAATTGATAGCCTAGTCTATCCAGCTGTGCCAATGCAGGACTACCAAACACGTTTCTCGGGCGTCACAAGAAGGGACATGGAAGTTGCACGGCGGCAAGGGAGGTGCATCCTAGGTAGAGACAATGCACGGAGAGCAGTATGGCAGTATGTTGGGCCAGGCACGTTTGTAGTAGGTCACTCTGCAAACAATGACTTGGCTGCGTTACGCTGGATACATGATGTTGTGGTGGATACCTATCTGATTGAAGGAAAGGCTCTCGCGATAAAGAAGAAGAGTGAGGAAAAAGGTAACCAGGGAGAGGGCGGACCCGATCACCATACCATGGAGAATCCTGTGAAGCAACGAGATGATAAGGATATCGGTACTGATGGGAAGCCAGCACACAAGGGTAATACAGTGGTAGCGGCATCAGAAGCACTCGAGAAATTATCCCTATCACCACCACCCCTGAAGTCCATTATGGCCAGCGAAGCTAAACAATCACAACTGCAGCAAGGAGAGAAGAAGAAAGGTCCCAAGGAACCCGGTATGCTCTCTCTCAAGAGACTATCTCTGACGCGGCTCGGTCGAGAAATCCAAACTGCGCGGAAAAAAGGGCACGATAGCTTTGAAGACGCGCTCGCAGCTAGGGATTTGGTGCATTGGTGGGTTGTTCAGGATTAAATTTAGCTCTTCAGACCTAACATTCTATTTGAACCAATATTGAAGCCTTCTTTTCAAAAGACCCAAGCTTCAGCAATTCAAGATAAACCGCAGCAGCGCATTTATGCCATGGATGTCGTTCATCCGGGCTTAATAGGAGGAGACTTAGAGTTCTTCGGTGAAAGATTGGGCAAAGTCTAATGTGATATTTATCAATTGCGTGGAGATTTCTTCACTCAAAACTCTATAGTAGTTATATATAATAGTTAATCAATTTCAGCGTAATTCTCCTAGATCTACCTGCTATAATAAAATATTATGTTTAAAAAAAAAATTATAAATATTCTTTGAGTACTTCGTATATAGTGTAGATATATCCGCTGCACCCCGCCCTTAATCTTCTGTCCTACTACAGACATCGTCGCATTCAAAATTCGGCTGTTTAACTTTGATACCTTGGTTGGAGCGAACCATACTAGCCCCATTCCACAATTCAAGCTGATGCCGGGATTGGCTTTCGACATCCCCGTCCTGGCCAACTTTAGCCCTAGCCACGACTACTCTCCTGTTTCACTGGATAGGTTCCGAAGACCTGTGGTGGCTCAAACGTAAAATGTATGCGGGGTGTTGCACAAGGTATATTAGTTATAAACCCGGTCGGAATCACCTTGTGAACTTGTCAACTTGCCCAGCAGAGATTGACATGACTATTAAAGGCCAATGAACATGGTATAGCCGTATAGGTACGGAGTATATTTTACTGTGTTGGCTTTCCAGAGCCGAGAACAACCCCTTTTTTTCGCAGGCTGAAGAGCAGCGTTTCTCATATATCACTATATTTAGTTAACTAGAATATATCTCCCTATCATTATGATGGCTGTTCTTACAATATGGGTACAAAGCTGGTTATTCTTGACGGCTGCCGCTTCTCAAACCCCATTTCCTCGGCCGTTGCAGCAGACCCTTTTGAATACCAAGTCAGCTGCAAACGCATTCGATATGACTACTACTTGGGGTAATCTTCGGCCGTACGAAAATTCCCGTGGTTTTGGCATGCCGAAGGGCGTACCCAGAGGCTGCGAGTTGTCGGAGGTGCATGTACTTCACAGGCATGCACAACGTTACCCAGCTGGCGAGCCACTGGAATTTGTTGACAAACTAGCGACTTACAAGACGGCTCACCCACGGAGAACAATAGGAAAAGGGTCTCTTAAATTTCTCAATGACTGGGAGAATTTATTGGGGATGGATACCCTGCTCGCAACGGGCTCTTCAACCGAGGCCACATCTGGTGCAAACTTTTGGAACAAATATGCCCGACTTCTGTATCGTGCAGGCCCGGGAGTTGCTAGATGGAACGAGTCTTTGAACGTGTTTCCCAATGGCACTGCGAGGCCGCATCCTATCTTCAGGACAACAACGCAGGATAGGATACTTGAAAGTGCGAAGTGGTGGTTGAGTAAGTCTAAATTTGGCTCTGTGCTTTCAATTTCCTAGTTACTTGGATATTTCTAACTATGGGCTAACACGAACCTATCTAAATATGTTCCCTAAGGCGGATTTTTCAGCGACACAGATGCGAATGGCTCACAAGACCGGTACAGTCTTGTCGTGATCCCTGAAGCAGAACGCTTCAATAATACACTTGCGCCGTACTTTTCCTGTACCAAGACGCATCATTCAGGGTATGAAGTCCTAGGTTTACATATATGTGCTCAGTTTAACTGAAACTTCCTTCCAGGTCTAAGTCGCGAGGGCAGTGGACCTCTACTTACACTAAGGATGCAGTGGAACGCTTCTCGAATCTTCTCCCGGCTGATTTCAATTTAACGGGTAGCAATGTTCGCGAGATGCAGCTCCTCTGTGCCTATGAGTGGACTGGTTTCGGAGGCTCCAACTTTTGTTCCCTTTTTACTGAACAGGAGTGGCGTGACTTTGAGTATTCAACGGACATCGAGTTTTATGCCGAGTCTGGATTTGGGTCACCTGTCGGCCGTGCCTTTGGCATTGGCTATGTGGAGGAGCTCGTGGCAAGGCTTGAAAGAAGGCTCCTATACACCAGCGACACAAGCGTGAATGTTGACTTCGACAGCAATGCGACGACATTTCCCCTCCACCAACCTTTCTATCTTGACATGTCTCATGATGTAACCATCCTCGCCGTCCTGACCGCTCTTGGTCTGGACTACTTCAATCATGGGCCCCGCGGCCTGCCAGGAGACGTCAAGCGAGTCCCACGCCACACATTCAAGGCCAGCGAGGTGATCCCGTTCGGAGCCCGACTCGTCTCCGAAATCTGGACTTGCCCATGCGAAAGACCCAGCTTCGAACGCCTCCTCGCGGTGCTTTATAAAAACCCAAGCCTCTCGCAGAAAAAATGTACAAATAATTATATTCGCTTTGTTCTGAATGATGCGCCGCTCCCGCTACACGGCTTGCCGAGATGCAGGCACTCAAAAAAAGGATTTTGCCCCGTTAACCAGTTTGCTCGTGCACTGCCGGCGCTGAAGAAGGAGGCAATGTACCAGTGGGCGTGTTTTGGCAACTATACGGCCCCTGGCCACCAAGTGGGTAATGGTCATCCAGAAGAACTACCGTCGGCTTAACGTCGTCCACTTACTTGCTACGGCATCAGAGGGGGTAGCTCGTTGCAATAAGATTGCAAAGTATAGGGAGAGAGGGATTGCCCATACTACTATAGATCTGTTAGTCTTTTGAGTGTTGCTGATGGAAAATTAATAATTATCAAAGATGGGCCACTCTTCTCGGGAGCTAACTATACATATTTATAATGGAGAGTTTGTATCTGGTAAGTTATTAAGTGATAGTGATTAGATATTAACTTATTTACTTAACGTCAAAACGAATTAACAGGAAGAATATTAAGCTATTTAGATAAAAAGGATAAAAAAAACTTGACTATACATTTGCATGAACTGGTGATTAAACAGTTAGTAACTCGACTAGTTATAATACTTTTCTCTCGTTCAACTACTTATGATGATGCTGCAAAACGTCCTCAAACCAGTCCAGCGCGACCTGATTCACCAAAACGTTTGCACCGATGGAACAATGCTCTCCTGCACCGTCTATGGCGTTGAACTCATGATACGTAGCAAGCTTACTGCCGATCTTATCAGCCAGCCTCTTCGCCTGGCCGGGGAAGAATTGGTCATTCTGTGCATTTGCCACGAAAACGGGTACCGTGATCTTCTCTGTAAAGCCCGCCATGTTGTACGCTTGAGTTGCTGAGAGCCAATTGAATGGAGACTCGGTATTAAAGGACCAAAGGCCCTGCTGAACACCCCAGCGAATAGCGGATGGGCTCGAGGGGTCCGCCAGGATCTTTCCCAAAATGGAATCAAAGAGTTTTGCGTTTTTAGATTCGAAGACCGCCTTAAACTCGCTGGGAAATGGTTCTAGCATCGCCTGGCCAAAGTCGTAGATGCCGTCTATAGCGATCACGGCAGCAATGCGATGCTCAAATGCCGCAGCACGAGGTGCTAGAAAGCCACCAAAAGAGTAGCCCATGAGGCCAATTGCATTGCCCCGAACTTCCGGGCGGGTAAGGGCATAGTCAACCACTGGCGTTACAACCTTCTCCCACTGCGGGATGAAGCCGAGTTTCTGCTCGCGACGCACCGTCGGCTGACCCGGTCCCTCATACGTTATGACGTTGATTCCACGCTGTAGCGCAGCCTGACCAAGTACATGGTACATCTCCTCTTGCGAGCCATCGTAGCCATTGCCCATGATGATTGTTGGTCGGGGACCAGGCATACCGCTGCCGAAGAATATTATAGGAATCGTAAAGTTGACGTTGGAACTTTCATCTTTAGCATGCAGTGTTACTCTCTGACCAGGGACAGGAAGCAGCGAAATTGCGGTGTTGAATGCTGAGAGCTGTTGATCCCAAAGGGAATAGACTCGCGGATCAGTCCAGTTGCCCCGCAGGAAATAATCCGCCGAGCGGTAATAAGTTGCTGCTTTGAAGAAGGTGTTGCGCGCAGAGATAGGATGATTGACCGGGTCGATAGTTTTGGCCTGCTGATGAACGCGGGAAGCAAGCCTGTTGAAAGCAGCGTGGTAGCTTTCAAAGCTCCCCGGTCTGATTTCGTTTGCTGCAATGAAAACCTCATTGATATCGGCACCTTCATACGGTGCGATAGATAGATCACGCAGCAGCTCGAAATTAAAGGTACCGTCTGGGCTAAGTTGAATCTTTGGGGTTGACGGGCTATCCTTCTTCTCTGTGTGCACTGGAGAGGCCTAAAATGAGCAGTAAGTAAAGAGTAAACAGGCGTTCAAACAGGGATGGCAAGCATTACAGTACAGAGGCCGATACAGCCCAGAATGACCGAGAATCGAGACAGCTTCATTCTGCTTGAGTTGTATAGCTATATCCGTGAGATATATAGAAATTGAGGATTGCAAATGATCAGGAAGCTTAGAAACTGCAGTGAGTGCATGTTGAACGATTCTGGCTACTGGGAGAGGACGACAGCCTTTTTATAGCCGACGGCCTGTATGAAGCCTGCGTCATGACTCTTCTAGAATCAGCTCAAGTTGCGAGGAGACGGTACTCCCTTAGAAGATGACGATGTTGCTCAGCCTAAAGCTAGGGCAGAGGATTCTGATGTCGAAGACTCGAAGGCTGATGGAGAGAAGATGTGCCAAGTGGAGGCAACGGAGATCCTTCCTGTCGCTCGTTTAACCGAAGTGGAACGAGCAGTCTCTCGTCGCCAACTTCATCATACTCCGTACATGGAGTCGGTGGTAGACATGGCGCAGATGCCCATCACTTTCGTAAACGAGCTGCCCAGGGATTGGAATCCTCGGCCTCGGAAGAGCCAAGCGAAACAGTTCCACAGAAAGTCCCGCGTCGGTTGTCAAAGATGCAGGACAAGAAGGGTCAAGGTGAGTATTATCTGCTATACGAAGTACTCTGTGCTCGATGCGTCTATATGTGAATATCTGACGGTTAGTAGTGTGATGAGGCTAAACCAGTCTGCCGTAAATGCGAACGCATCGGCAAGCCCTGCATCTACGACCGTCCGGGTGACGATGAGGCGAGGGATGCAGGCCAAGGGAGTAGCGAGTGCAAAGAGCCTGCAGAGACGAGGGAACGGCGAATACTGGAGCTGGAGCTGATGCATCATTACATTACCGAGACCGGCCCATCCATTGCCTTCGATAAAGAGTCCTCCAGCGACTTGTTCGTCAAGGCCATACCGCGCATGGCGTTTCAGTCGGACGCGCTGCTCTACGGCATCTACGCCATCACCACTCTCCACCAGGCAAAGACAGCGTTACCATCATCCTCCACGCTTGATCATCACCAGCAATATTTGCAGCTTGCATTCCACTACCACCACAAGGAGCTAGGCTCTTTCTCAAGCGAGAACGCCGATGTGATCCTCCTGACTACTCACATCATGCGGATCATCGCCTCCGTGATGCTTTCGGAACGAAGCCTAGTGCCTTACACTCCTCCCTCGGAATGGCTCAAGATAGCAAGTAGCAATGCCCAAATATTCCGTGCTGCCTGGGAGATGGTTGGAAATGACTCGTCGACTCAACTGGCGAAATTGATGCATTCAACGCCCCTAGCATGGGACAAGAACAAGCACCAGCGTGAGGGGCTCGGCCAGCGCCAGCGTCTTCAGCATATCTTGATCGCCCAGAACAACGAAGAGAGTGATGCCGATGACCCGGACTGTTGGGACATCGGGGTACGGGAAGCCTACGAGTCGGCCGCGGGCTATATCGGTGGCTTACTGCAGGCAATGCAAACGTGCGAGGAGCCATCTGGTCAGATCAAGCGGCGGATAATGGTCTTTCCCTTACTCGTCGATACACGATTTATCGACCTTGTAACCGAAGGTCGACCACGAGCTTTAGTTATCATGGCTCACTACTTCGCGCTTGTTGTGGCGTTGGAATCCTCCTGGTTTATTGGCGATACCGGTGCGCGGGAGGTTAAAGCTATAGCCTCCCATCTACCGACTTGGTGGCAGGGCTTCATGGATCTACCCATGCGCGCCATTAACGGGGATTTCACATACAAATCTTGAAACAGGAGCCTACACCTAGCTATATCGGCTCGGTATCGCGTCCAGCGTTATACTTGCTGGCGGATCTCGTTTTCCGCGCCCATACGGAACATCCCGTCAGACCCATCACCGCCGTTGCTGCTAGAAATTTGAGATTTACAGATATGGTGTGCCATCATCGTGGCGATCATCTCCGGCACCAACGAAGCAGGATTGTGTAGGTCGTGGATTACCCTTATAGCAAAATCAACAACTTCTAGCTCGTCTGTGGGAAATTTCATGCAATGGGCCTTACATTATATCTTAACTGTTGCTTTGAACATCATATGGCTCAACCCGCACCCCCATTATACCATCACTTTTGGCACCTTTTATTTACACATTCTTGGGGGTGACGTGTACTCTGAGATCATCTCCCTCGAGGGGGGCCATAATCCCAAATGTCGGCTTCGCGCTGTCTACTCTGGGAAACTTCTGTGTCAAAGTATTCGGGCCTTCCGCCCGCTCAATATTGTACCGGTGGAGTGCTGTGCCAATGAAACAGAGGACTTCCTGCCTCGCCACGAAGCGGCCGGCACAGAGAGTTGCTCCTCCGCCAAATGGACGGTAACTTGAGCTCCTCGTTAAATTCCGTTTCTCAACGAACCGCGTGGGTCGGAATTTGGAAAAATCGTCCCCAAAGACGTCCTGGTTTTCGTGCAATTGACGATACGGTAGCATGATCTTCCGGCCCTTACGAAGGACCTTTCCACCGATCAACGTGTCTTCAGCAATATATCGCATGCTAGCTGAGCTTGAATAAAGACGCAGAACTTCACTAAGAACTGAGTCCAGGATCGGGCACTTGTTCGTGAGATGCTCAAGGCTGGGCCCATCCACGCGGTTTTCGAGGAATACCTCCTCCTTGACAGATGCATATAGGCCTGGGTCGCTGAGGAGATGGCACAGTGCCCAAAAACAGAACTTGTAGGTATTCCCGTTGACACTAAGCGTTGTATCCACGACTCTGTTAGACGCCTCTAGCATAGTAAATACCATATCAAGTAACATGGACTTACACGAAAAAGATAATAAGGATTGCGGCAGACATATGACTCTCTCCCAAACCTAAGTTTCTCGACTCCGTTTCAAGCGACTTTGTGAACCAGGCACAATCCTCGCGCTCTTCTCTTGGTAAGCGGTAATATTGAGTGAGAATCTCAGTTATTGCGTCTCGAGCAGCCAGAGCGTCTCGCGAAAAGACACTCGGGTATTGAAACAAGAGTTTCCACACGCCACGATCGAGGGCATAGAAAGACTTGAGCATGTCTGGTGTCAGTCCCCACAGCCTATCTCCCCAATAAGTCTTCGTTCCCGCTTCTACAAGGACGCGTCCACACAACCCCAAGAGGGAAATCTCAATTCCCTTGCTGGATTTTTGGCTCCCGAGACACTCGCCTTGGGATATATTCTCCCATATCAGCCCACGTTTAATATGCTCAAGCAAGACGTCGGTCAGTGGCCCGGCTTGTGAGTTTGGGCCTGGGAGCAGCTGGATATGGTGGAAATCGACAGCTAACCTAACCAGTGATTTCCCCGAAGGATTAAGGCTAGAGTCCTTTCGCCCAGAAATATATTGTGGTGGTTCTTCGCTCATCTTCTCCACTGTCCTCCTGTCTGTGCCGCAGGATAGCATCAAGTCCTGAACGAATACATCGAATGACAACGAGGTATTGTTCTTGTATACTTGGGCAACATCGTTGGGGTTCACGACAATGTACACCTCCTCACCGGCCAGTGTGATGCTGAATGGTTCTCGTAACGGATTGCTAGCACTACAAGCAAATTGTGTCAGTCAGGAGCTCTGGGTCTGATTTTTGATAAAGTCACATACAGCCCCGAATTGAGAAGACCATGAGCATCTTTGAAGAATTCAATTGTGCATCCTATGTGTTTATTGTTAACTCATGGAAGCGTTGGTTGATTTCTTATGTACTTGACCTACCGAGCCCTATGCATATTTAGTAATTTTGGTGCGGTCAACAGGCGCAGGGTTTGCTTACAAGGTATCAAATATGGCAGCGGCCTTGGGTCCTTTGGGAACAATTTAGGGACAATTGTGAATCTCCAAACTCTCCAAACGACCCAGAAAATAGCTCCGAGGAGGAGAGTGTTACGGGCAATGCAAAGTACAGCATTAGAATAAAATGAACTGGCCATGTTTTCTATGTGCACCGGAAAAAGGTCCATGGCTGATTAGCGACCGTCACCAAAAAAATATATATTATCAAGGTGCCGAGTGCTACCTAGGTTGGGAAGAGGCTTACATGCCTTTGTGGGCTTCCTGGTTGAAGATATATTTAGGGGCTTCACTGACGGCTGGACATCTATGTAGCCATCGTCGTTACGAGGTACAAAGTACATGCATGGGTATATTAACCCTGGGCCAGCAACGGCGTCTTCGGTGAAATATGTGCAGGCATCCCGGTCACATCCCTGCATCCATCCTTGCGCAAAGTCATCAGCTGCTAAACTTAGATCCTGACGATGGACTGTCAGCGAGGAGTTACTACTCTATGCTCCATAAACCGCAGCCAAGTTTCTCAGCCTGCGTGTGCCCGGACCGATGGCCGACATTCTTGTACGCCTTATGCATGGCTCCAGAGCGAGTATATTTCTGGCCCGCCCTCGGTGCATCTTTATATCAATCTTCCCAGCGCTTCCGAGGGCCTAACGCAAGTCCAACTTCTGTGATGCTGGACGTTCTTTCTTTGTTCGATAACTAGTTATATTTTGTTCTTCCAACGCAGCCATGAGTTTGCCCCCAGGATCGCCCATAGATCTAAATCTCGTCCCGGCGGGACCTCCACCACCCGGAGTGCTTCCTATCATCGGTGGTGGACCGTCACTTGGCACAACGACTATCGTTCTAGAATGTGTCATGATGGCCATCGCAGCGACAGCTGTTCTCTGTCGAGTTATATCGACCTATCCCGTACGGGGTCGTCGTTCATCAGGGCTTGGTTTGGCCGATTGTAAGAAGCATCTTCACCACCCCATATATTTCACTAGAATAGTGCCCCTAACAGGTATATTACAGACGCCTCTCTAGCCGCGATGCTCCTTGCGATTGCTCAGTCCTCTCTTGTCATTTCACGTACGTGGATACCTGCTCTAGATCTAAGAAATGTTGTTAGGCTAACTTGCTTCCAGTCCACGATTACGAGCGTCACCAGTGGAACATCTCGGTGGGTTCGTTAACTAGCAGCTACTTCAAGGTAAGCCTAACTAAATATTAACGTTGGTAGCCTTTATGCTAATACGTTCGAATGCAGAGAGGCTTTGCCCAAAACCTGATCGCCTGGCCAAGTATTTTTTGCGCTAAATTGGCTATCCTTCTTCTCTACCTTCGAATATTCCGAGTCAAACATTCTCTGAGATGGGCAGTATATGGAGGAGCTGTGTGGGCAGCGCTTACTTATCTTCCCAATATTGCTGTTGCCACCTATTTCTGTGCTGCCCACCCAGATGAACAATGGGGCTTTAACGTTGGAATGCGATGCTCACAAAAGGGGCCACTGAAATGGCTTGTTGTGTCAGCAACTATGTCAGTGATACTGGACCTCTATATATTCGCAGTCCCGATTCCTATTGTTATGTCCTTGAAGATGAGCAATAAAAAGAGATTGGGGATCCTCCTTATCTTTTTTACTGCATTTCTGTACGTTGAAACTCTTATACTCCAGGCCACCAGGATGCCAGAGAATGCTAACCAGAGAGTATAGGGCTTGTATATGTGCAGTTTTAACCCTGGTATATCGTGTTCGCCTGCTTCAAACAACGGATTCACTGTGGCTTAGTGCACAACTTTTTATCTGCAAGTATGTTGTCCCCAATTTGCCCCAATTTTAAAGTCCTATTATTTACAAAACCCTCTGCATATATAGTGCTGTCGAGAATTACATTGCTATCATCGTGGGCTCGATTCCTGGATGCAATACGTACTACAAGTCATATATCATGGAGTCACCCCTACTTAACCGGATGTCTTCATACTTCACAGGCAGCAAATCCGCTAAGGGCGAGAGCTCGAACACATACTCGTCAAAAACCTCTTACCAGCTGAGGGATTCCAGCAGCAACAGCGAGTCTATCAACACTCTGCAGCCCACCCAGCCCAATCAAGTTACATGACAATGCAGCACAAAAAATCTTGATTAGTAATTAATAGGATGAAGCAGAGGAACAGTTGTAATTCTAGGATTACTCAGGCATGGCGAGTTGTTATGCAAGGGTGAAGCAGTTAATAAAAGCAAAGTTAATCATGTCTAATGCATAGGTATACTCAGCCTTGTGTAGCCAGCATTTGGGTAACAGGATGCAGCTTATATTAAACATTAGCTCAGCCGTAGTTCAGTTGTTCATTGTTTAATTAAGTAACTATGGGGGCGCAGACTAGGGTAGATCCCTCGTCCACTCCTTTGGCCGAGTTGTCTGTTGGTGCCAGGGGGCCAACCGGTAACAAAGACAAGGCAGCCTCGAATAAAATGGAGTGCGCAACTCTCTATAACTAGTTAGCTGAGTGGAAGCTCCCTGGATTATTTGTAGCTCTCACTTCGAGCTACTTCCGCCCACCCCACTGCATCCTAACAACGACAACAACAACCTCGTTTTGACAACCATGGCCGGCTCAACGGAATCATCTACGATTCCTCAGATATCAATTCTCGTAACCGGTGGTTGTGGATTTCTTGGAGCACACATCGTCCAGCAGCTCCTCGATGACCCTTATCCCTTCGCCGTCGCGGTCGTCAGTCGCAATCCCAAAGCCGCCAGTCAACACCACGACTCGCGAGTATCCTACCACGCGGCGGATATCACAAGCAAGCCTCAGATTGAGGCACTGTTTAACAAGATACAACCCCAAGTGGTGATCCACACCGCATCCGCAATGCATACTGCATCATCTCGTGAATTGCATCATACCAATGTTCAGGGGACTCAGGTTCTCCTACAATGTGCAACCACTTGCGATAAAACGCTGGCATTCGTTTACACGTCGTCTGACTCTGCGGTGGTGCCGTCTCAGAAGCTTTTGGTCGAGAGTGAGGCCCAACTCTATACGGAGACCTTCTACAGAAACCCTTATTGCAAGACGAAGGCCATCGCCGATGCAGCAGTCCTGGCTGCCAACTCTCCCAATTTACGCACTGCAACTATTCGCATACCCGGCATATATGGGGAAAATGACACTAACTTCATTCCACAACTGGTATCAAGCATCCGCAAGGGCGAATACAAGACACAGATAGGCCCAAATAACAAACTATTTGAGTTTGTGTACGTCAAGAGCGCCGCAAGAGCTCATGTACTTGCCGCAAAGTCACTTCTTAACATGGACACTGGTGGCCCAAAAGTCGACGGTGAAGCCTTTTTTATCACGGACGGGAAACCGCAGCCTTTTTTTGATTTTGCGCGAAAGGCATATGCTGCGGCTGGCTACCCGGTAGCTTCCAATCAGATAACCGTTATCCCACTTGGAATGATGTTGATCATGGCGTCGATGATAGAGTGGGCGTATTATATCTTTACCCTAGGGAGGAAACGCTCTCAGATCACACGGGACGGCATTGAGCACCTTGATTCGGGATGTCACTGGTCGATAGACAAGGCGAGAGAGCGATTAGGCTATGAGCCGGTGATGGAACAAGATGAGGCGATTGAGCAGACTATGAAATGGGCGATGGCAAATTTGTGATGCAAACGAAAAATGTAGTCTCTGCTTTTAATTTGTGTGTTATTCCTATTTCTATCCCAGGCTCTAGCACATAATCTGTAAGCTAATATAAGATTACAAGCATATTAAAAGTTTCCTAAATTGCGAATATAAACTCAACAACTATATCACCATGAAAAGCTTTAGTTCTGTACAGTTCATATACGACGTCTAAAAAGCCTACAGGTAGATAAAGACCTAACAAATTCTATAGGGGGGCCTCAATCATTTCAATCTTCACCTCTATCCTTGACAAGTAAAGATATTGTAGATTTCGGTACCACTGCTGATCTCCATTGGAAGGAGTTTGATCCTCGAAATCCAAGAACCTCACAATCATAATGGACGAGCATTTTTGCTAACATCAATTTCAGAACTGCAGTGGCGTAGAAGCGGCCAGGGCTAGATGAGAACAAGTCGCGTTAGCCAGGCATTTCTTGGTGTCATATCCATCTTCTACTGACATACCAGACTATACGTCCCAAGCCCCAGACTAGCCAGTCACGCGAGGCTGCTGTAAGGCTGTGGCATTCCTTATTCAAGAAACGAAGTCTGTCGAATTGCATAGCGTTTATGAAGTTCTTCTCATCCCGCATCATGGAACGATGTGGCACACATACCCACTCCCCCTTACGGACATGTAGTCCGTCAGAGAAAGTGAAAGGCCGCAGAGCTTGTCTGCGTATACCGGCTATAGACCAGATATAATTAGGTAATCGGTCGAGGGTAAAATGTTAATTGCAAGGAGATCATGGCTTACTGCTTTCAAAGGCGTTTAATCGAGCTGATTCGCTGAGAAAACTGTCCAGGAGCGGGAGATCGTCACCAGCGCCCGTTAAGCTGCTAAAATCCAAATTTTTAACTTCCTCGCGAAGCGGATCAACGCATTCTGGATGCGAGTATAAATCTAGCAGTGCAAAAGTTGCTGCCTAGACATTTTTGGTCAAATCTGGCCTGGGTATAACCACTTTCTGACAGAATAGGCGTACTATGGATAAGGTGTGCACTGATCCATACCATACTCCCATCACCTCGCCGACGAGACGATCCGTACTCCAGGGACATTTCTTGGGTGCTGTTTCGATGAGCCATTGTAGCCCGTCGCTCTATAGATTTAATACTAGTCAATAATCAGGTAATACGGACAATGGCAAGGGAAACAGTTACCGGGGGAGGCTGATCATCTCCTTTACACGCGTTAGTCCGCTTTTTAATCTCGGCGGAGAGGAGGCGATGCAATGATCCTGAGGAACGATAGTTCCGAGTGAACCAGCTAGCAATGAACCTATAGCCCTCAGTTAGTAAAAGTAGTACTTTAGGAGATAACATGAAAGTCATACTGAGCAAAAGGCTTGGGAAGAACCCTCAGAATTTCTGCAGCAAATGCAGAGTCCTGGGGAAAATTATAAGCTGCGTCGTAGAATTCGGGGTCCTCGGCTATATTTAGTTAGTTAAACAGTTAACTCGTTTATCGAAACGAATGTCAAAAGCCACTCTTAAGCCGCACCTAATTCACGGCCAAAAAATACATAACAGTTAATCCGAGTAACAACCCTTTTCGAGAACTCATAGACGGGAATAGAGCGGGATCCTAGGAGAAAAGGTCAGTGGGGGGGGTTTTTTTTTTTGTGGAGCGGAATTACACCGTGGTGAACTCACCTTTGTTAGGTTGGTATCGTTTTAGCTCCAAGTGTATGTGGTTCGCAATGGCATTGTCTAGATCTGGTAATATCTTAGGGAGTTGTGAGGTTAGGATAGTGCGTAGGGCTCGGACAAATCCTATGCCTTCAACCCCCCTGACATCTTTCCACTCGAAACCATGCATTGTAGATTTAGGTTGCAAAAACTAGTTAAGGGATGGGTTAGCAGGAGGTTGAAATGGCCGAGAATAAAAACGTACATCCTTCGCAACAGCGTGAAGCGACAGCACATCCAGCGGTGCCCTATTGATCTCTTCCATATGCAAAGGTGATGTGACCATGTGTTGTATTCTCCCGGGAGTAACAATCTCAAAAGGTAGCCCTTTCGCCTACACCTCGAGTGAGTCAATGTATACACTTAATAGAGGGGGAAGGGAATGGTATATACCAGAATGTATGATTTATCGATAACATCTGTTCCATTGAATAAATATGCTAGGCTCAAAAATACATTTTTCACCAAGTTATATAGCTTGCCAGCAAATTCGGCACATGGAGTAAAAACACTTTGTTCCTAATTCTGTTGTCAATATTAACTTTTTTTAGGAAAGCAATGACCTACATACCGTTATAACCGGGAGGGTTGTGCATAATGCGAGACCAATAGCACACCCCGCATAAGGATATGCTTCTATGAGTTCTCCCAGCATGATGGTTGATAAGGAATTTCAAGTGTATCATGAGATATTCGGCCTTGAGAAAATATAAATTCTGGGAACGAACCCAACTTTACATTTCTAGTAAAAGTCAAGGACTCCGAGGCTGATATTGCGTTCGACCGAATATTCGCCCCCATTTTTAGATATATTGCTACTATGTATATGCTTGGCCCTGACAAAGGGTATATAGCCAATCGGTGACTTGACCGAAGACACCAAGTGTAGGGGATAGGTACCTGCGACATAATGTTGGATTCAGTGTCTAGAATAGGTAATCAGCATAAGCACGATGCATATATACATCATCATACCTCAGCCGCATTGGCTCAGCCGCGCCTAGTCTTTCAACGGTAAATCCGGGCCGGACATTAATTAACTCTTCCCTCGTTTGCAAGGAAAACCCATACCTAGGCATAATACTGTGGAGATCATGTGCGACACAGGATCATACATGTATTTAGTGGCGTGGCAGCTATATAGCTGTTGGTACTCCCCTGTATTTAAATGGCTGGACAGCTAGACTTCATTCCTACCTCAGGATTGTCTTTTCTGTCTCCACGATCGCTCCAAAATCGCTGAACGCTGAAGCTGAGAAGTGAGCTGGCGTATCAAACCTCCTCTAAACACAATTCAGACAGAAGGGAATAACATCTTCATCATGGTGTTGATGCAAGCTCTCCCCGGTATCTTGGTAATATTGTGTATTCTTGCCTACCTTAACAAGGCTCTCGGCATAAAGAAACATGATGCTGAGCCCCCTTTTATCCCAACCTCAATACCACATTTCGGTCATCTTTTTGGGTTACTGAGCCAGCAGATAGCATATTATGCCAAGTTAAGGTACGTCAGCTTAGTATCAGTAAAATATGCCATTTGCTAACTAGCATTGATGGATAGCGCAAAATATGGGCATAAGATTTATAGCCTCGCAATGCCAGGTGGACGAATTTATATAGTCAATTCGCCTAGCATCATCTCCGAAATCCAAAAACACCCGACGGTGTTGTCATTCTGGTTTATCGAAGCTTCACTCACGAAGAACCTCGGCGGCATCAGCAACCATGCAAATGATATACTCCTAGAGAATGCGAGAGGAGACAAAGGTCAACATAGCTTAGTGGTTGACGGCATGAAAGCTACACACAAGGCTATGTCTGGTCAGAGTCTCGATCGCATGACCCTTGCTGCCATCAAGCGAGCTAAGAAGGAGCTGGATCGGCTAAGCGATACGTCGACAGAATTGGACTTGTGGGATTGGGTGCAACGCCTATTTTCGCTGGCAGTTTCCAACAGCGTTTATGGGCCAGACAATCCATACGAGGATACAAAACTAGAGCGTGGGCTTTCGTGAGTTACCCTACATTTTTTGTCATGGCGTGGAAACAATTAACTGACCAATAATGCCAGAGAGTTTGCGGATCACACCGTCACCTTCTTAACTGGCTTGCCCCCGTGGCTATTCATTCCGAAGGCCTATGCTGCACGTGAGAGCATCGTCGCTAGTTTCGAGAACTATTTTGCTGTAAAAAGCGACGAGAAGGGCTCCGAGCTTGTCCAAGCTAGGGCCAGAGTTCTCAGGGACTATGGCATCCCTGAAGCGGATATTGCACGATTCGAAGCTGTCAACGGCTTTGGAATCCTGTTGAATCTCCTGCCCACAGCGTACTGGACAGTATATCACATCTTCTCAGATCCCGAGCTCCTCGACGCCGTGCGAAAGGAAGCAGAGACGTATCTACCTCCCGATAATGGTTCACTACCGTATGAAACCGAGCATATTGCTCAGCTTGACAAGATGACCATCTTGACTTCCACGTTAAAGGAGTCTCTGCGCTTTCACGCTTCCGGAGCCGCCGCCCGCATGGTAATGCAAGATCATCTGCTATCGAAGCAGTGGCTACTCAAGAAAGATTCATACGTCTTCATCCCTAACCGATCGGCGCACTTTGACCAGGAGGCTTGGGGAGACAACGCAGATAAATTCAATCCGTACAGGTTTGATCGGCAAAGGGGTGAGAAGATACACGCCGCAGCTTTCCGAGGTTTCGGAGGGGGAGCGAACCTTTGTCCCGGTCGGGCGTTTTCCACTCGACTTATCGTGGCAGTTGTGGCTTCATTGGTGCTGAGATACGATGTAAAGCCGGTGTCAGCCAGTGGAAAATGGGAAGACCCTGGGCATGACGAAAGCAGTATGGCGATTGTCCTGGCACGTCCAAAGAGGAGAACGAGAGTTAAGATCGTATCAAGGGGAATCTAGCAGCATGTGCGCAAATGAACCGGTAACAGAAAGAATATTATCCATGTTCGTATCATTCTGCCTTGTAATAGGTTACTCCGTATTCCGCGTATATTATGGAAGTCCAGGCCATGTTCTATATGCTCTCCCGTCCGATCAAATGTCGTTGAAGTACTCCGTAAACGGAAAAAAGAAACATGCATGCCAAGCGAGGAGATTTTTGTTTGTATATTTAGCACCGGAGCCAAACTTCTTGGCACGGCGGCATGTCGGCCCGCCCCCATGTAACCAGCGAGTCCACAACCTTAATGCTTCAAATTATGCCTCCTACCGCAGGGACTCGATCTTGATTTCTCTGTAATCAAACAGCGCCGTTAATCTACCATGCTGGGGCCGAATGAATTTAATCCCGGCCGGGGTCCAAGCCTTGCGAGAGAAGGATTATGGTGTGGCACCATCCACTATCCCGTTTGCAGGGTGACACTGGCAACCCGTTGGCTGGAAGGAAGGTTGCTGGCAGCTGGGGCTGAGCGCACAGCTGCTGCCGATGGGCCCTTGACAGATTTATTAAACGCATAAACGTTCCATATACCGCTCGAGGAGGCATCTCCGGAGCCATAGCTTGATTTTAGATGCGGCTTTCAACCCTTTTTTTTTGACAACTTGCTCTATCCCGAGTAGATTTTCGAGGCACACGACGCACCATGCTCTCTGAGAATCTGTCAAGAGTATTCTCCCAACTTGGGGCAATCGATACCGCCATATTCCGCAACCCGTTTTTTGGTGGCGTCATAGCTGTCATATTTTTACTACTCACATGGCGGACCGTTAAATTTACCCTAGTGCCCATATTGAGACCAAATGAGCCAAAAGAATACCCATATTGGATTCCTGGTAACCCGCCCAGCACCCTCTCTGTTCTATCTCCTGCTTAGAGTCACAAACTGATGCTCATTCAGGCGTCGGCCATATCAGAGGGTTTGTGGCCAACTCCCAGGAATTACTTACTCGGGCAAGGTAAATCACCAATGTCCTCATCCGTCATCTATGGGATGTTCAAATTCTGACGAAATAGGCTATACTTTGGAGATACACGCGAGCCCTTTGCAATAACTATAGCGAATCAACTGTTCTATATCATCACTAACTCTAATGATGTCTCTGCCGTGTTTCGAAATTCGACCTCCTTAACCTTTGAAATATTCGCTCAGGAGATCTTGCACGACCTTGGTTGCTCTGAGCTCTCAATCAAGCAGATGTATGGTGACCCAGATCCGACTGAAGCAGGCAGCCAGAAACCTCATACCAAATCACCAAGTCGCATGGCTCGCGATTTCCACATGCACCAACTTTTCCCTGGAGGTCTGCTAGATGATATCAACATTAAATTTATTCAGTACTTCCAAAGGACCCTTGACCTTGAATCTCTTGTTGCGCAACCGAAGTATGCCACTCAAATTGCTTCAGATGCCGTCCGAGTTTCCTTGTTTGAGATGTCGTCCGATCTTTTTACCAACGCAGCACAGGACGTTTACTTCGGTAAACTTCTCCGCAATATTGCACCTAACCTGGCCTATGACCTCCTAGAGTATGACGATCTTGCATGGCAGGTCCTGTTTCGCTATCCACGATTTCTGAGCACAAAGATGGTATCAGCGCGAACTCGAGTCTTTGACGGCCTGGAAAAGTATTTTGCTTCCCCCGCCAACGAGCGACAGGACACCGTTTGGTTCACGCCAACTTTAGAGAAGGAAATGCGCAATGCAGGGCTCAATAATAGAGATATTGCTATTATGATGATGACAATATATTGGGGGTAAGCAGTGACTTACGGTCTTCATGTCTCGGTCATGTCAGTCGCTAATTTATATGGCCAGGCTGAGTACAAACACCCGAAAGAGCGTTTTCTGGGTTCTTGCGTACATCATATTTGACGCAGAACTCATGGCGACCGTTCGTCGTGAGGTTTCTGCCGCCTTTGAGGGTGACCAGATAGATGTGGATCATATTACAGAGAACTGCCCCCGCTTACGAGGTGTCTGGGACGAGACTCTTCGCACCACTGCATTTTCATCCTCAGTTCGCTATGTAGCGGAAGACACCGTTATTGGTAACAAGTTACTGCGAAAAGGCCATCGTATTATGATGCCCTATAGGCAGCTCCACCTGGACGAATCTATATTTGGGGAGCGCGTAGCGAAGTTCGATAGTGAGCGATTCATCAAGGATACCCAGCTACGCAGATACAATATGGGGTTTGGAGGGGGTGCAACACAATGCCCTGGCCGCCACCTTGCGAGACAGGTGGTCATGGTGTTTGCTGCAATGCTGGTTTATCAATTCGATATAGCTCTTGACCCGCCTAATCAGGAATTCCCCAAAGCTGAGGAGAAGATTCCTGTTCTTGGAATAATTGGTATCAAGACCGACCTCAGTCTCAGACTGACAAAAAGAGATTCTTATAAAATGTAATAGAATGCTATACGAGAGATAAAATTATTTGCTCGAGATCAGAGCCTCAATCGTTTCCCTCCATAATTCAATTGCAGGTTAAAAACGCGAGCAGTACTTTGATACTTGGAAACTATATTACGCGGTTCAAGGCAACTATCATAGTAGGTTTTCCACGGAAATACATGATAGCCTCGATTGCTAGCTTTTTTAACTTATTAGTGGTTACGCCTGTGTCATACTCATTCTTTGCATGTACGACCCAATCTAATAGGTCTAATGCTAATCCGCGGGATAGCATAGCCATTCAATCATGTTACCGCAGGCCGGCATCCTAAACCTTGATCATTTCCATCATATAGTCCAAGGATTATAATTTATGCCCACCCATCCATCAGCTCGGCCCGAGCCCAGGCTATGCTGTCAGCTGCAGGGTTGCTCGGGGGCCTCATCCTCTGCATGTATGCGGTGTCCGGTACCACCGTGGTACAGGTACGGTCGACTAATGTGCTCCCAGACTAGTCGACATTGATGTTCTTTTTTATACCCATGACACCCCAATTGGTGGCCTGCCTACGAGAGACGGCCGACGTTACGTTGAATTTGGAGTGCAACTTGATATTTCATATTGCATTAGATGCCCGCCAAAATGTTGGCCCTGAATATATTCAGACAACCCTATCTCTCTCTAGCAATCCTATGCCTACCCCTAACACTAGCAAGTACTCAGAGCCAACTTTGTGTATGTATAGATTTGCCTTTGTTTCCTTTCCACGCGGATTTTTAGACAGGGTGAACACTAACTGAACTTTTTAGTGTACGGCCATTCAGCACGTACTCCCAAATAGAGTCTTCTATGGTGATAGTTCTACTTACAACGCCTCGCTTTCTTCATACTGGGCGGCCCAAGAGACCGAGACAAGACCTCTCTGTGTTGTGACCGCCGAATCTCCTCAACATGTCCAGGCGGCTGTTTCTATACTTGCGGATCTCAACTCAGGGCCACAAATCCTCTGCCCCTTCGCGGTTCTAGCCGGGGGTCATGGAAAATCTGGCAATTCGAACCAGCAAGGCGGAGTTAATATCGACCTTAGGGCTATGAAATCTGTTACTGTGAGCGATGACCACAAGTTGGTTAGAATTGGACCAGGAGCAAAATGGGTGGATGTATACCGTGAGTTAGATCCTTTAAATAGGACAGCTCCAGGTGGCCGAGATGGTACTGTCGGTGTCGGGGGTTTATCCCTCGCAGGTAAGCAACCTACTCCTGTACTGCTCCTCAGTCCAAATTACTCAGTCCAAATTAATACTAATAATCAAGCCAAATAGGGGGCGTGTCCTATTCTTCTCCAGAAGTAGGTTTCTCTTGCGATAATATCGAAAATTTTCAGGTCGTGCTATCCAGCGGTAAGATTATAAATGCAAACCAGACATCGCATTATGACCTCTTCCTCGCACTTCGCGGTGGTGGCAACAATTTTGGTATCGTCACCCGGATTGATATGAAGACCTTGTCCCTGGGTGATATGTGGGGTGGAACTGCCTATTATAATATTAGCACATACCCGGAGCAGATTCGAGCTTTTCATGCGTTCAATGCCGACCCAGAGTACGACAAACACTCCAACATGTACCAGGCGTTTGGCTTCAGCGGCAATACCACGGTAGTTTTGAATAATCTGATATATTCCCTGCCAACGCCAGAGTTACCGCAAAAACTCAGAGCGTTTGCGGATATCAAGCCCGCCCTATACAACACATTGAGGGTTTCGAATATGTCTGCATTTGCAACTGAGCAAGCTATAGCAGCCCCAGCTGGGAACCGGTAAGTGACTGCAACCACGTCTCTTTTTCCTTCATTGAACTCCTTGTTGGCATGCCTGAAGGTGGAAAGCCTGGTAAATGAATTATGAACTAATCAGGTGTTTAATAGCCAAGTTGGGTACACCACAACGTTCAAAAATTCACTAGAGATGTTGACAGATTCCTTCAATATATGGAACGGTACTATTCCGTTACTTAGCTCGATGCCAGGACTTCAGTATTCTTGGACTTTTGAGCCTCTCCCGCCTATCATTGCTGCAAACTCCGCCCGTAGGGGTGGGAATATGCTTGGAATTACCACTGCTGACGGACCGCTAGTCTTGTGCCTACTATCAGTCACATACTCTGAGGCTAAGGACGACGAGACAGCACGCAGAGTGGCACAGAAAGTCATCGCAGATGTTGAGATACGCGCGAAGCAGCTGGGCGTCTTCCATCCATTTAAGTATGCGGGATATGCGGGCAAGGGTCAAAACCCCATTCTTAGTTACGGTGTGAGAAATGTTCAATTCATGAAGAAGGTTAGTCGACGGTTTGACCCCAGTCGAATATTCCAATATGCAGTACCAGGAGGTTTCAAACTAGACGATGTACATAATTGAGATGCGCAATCGCAATAGATTCCAATGGATAGAGATTCCACCTAACCGCTCCATGAACTAGCTAGCTCCCTCTTCTAGAAGGCAAGTGATTGGTCTGGATCTGACTAGAGATAAAGGAAGGGGAATGACTCGTACCAATGCAACAGGATGCTTTACCACCTCCAGGCTCAACGACTCTCGACGTACCCCTTCAAATCTCGGGCCAGAACTTCAAATTGGTGCTGAAAATCATCCTTGAGTGGAAGCAGAATCTCCCTTGCTTTCTCGCCATACTGAGTCTGCCAATGTGTATATCTTGTCCAGCCACCTCCAAGGGGCGTGAACGCACTCACATGCTCAGAGTGACCGATAAGAGCTTCCAACTCATCATTCTTCCAGGCAGTAAGCGCAGGGCGCTTGACAACCGTCACAATATCGGTTCCATTCGAGCTAGAGCCAGGGGGTATACCGGTTGAGCTGAAGAGTATAGGCATGCCAACGCGTACCTGTGCAGGGGAGTTGACTCCAGTGGGCGGAATTGCGTTGTAGACGAAAGTGTTCCATTTAGAATAGCGTCGGAAATCTAGGATTGCGTCGCAAACTTGTTGCGCCGATCCCTTAATTATGATGCTCGCGCAGACAGAAAATACAGCATCGGTGAGCCCATATGTCGGCGTCGAATACAACTCAGCATTCGTACAATCAGGAATTGGGTAGCGGCTCGGGCTGCCGACGACAAGTGGCACAAGGGTAAGTAGAGCAGGAAGTAGCAACATAGCGGTAACCAATGGGAAGAATCAAGGCTCTGCTGAGTATGTTTTGTGCGCGGTTGTACTGAATAAGACGTTTGGGAGGATTGGGGCTCTCAATTGAACACTCCCGGTGGTACTTGAGCAAGTTATAATCGATTGCCATGCCTGAGAATGGTAGCATCCGATAGAAACCATCCGCCACGAGGCTGCAGAGGCAAGGATTGCAGTCATCGTATCGCGAGAATTATCCCGTATATATCTTTGCACTGACGTTTCGAGAAACGGATTCAGATCCTTCGGCCTGACACGACGGCAACAAGAGACGACATGGGCCGTTTTGCTCGACCAGCCTTGTCCATCTAAATACCGAAGACGGAGCGGTCACAAGATATCTACACCATTTCTCGGGAGATAATAACACGATGATATCCGGAGGAGTTGCCATTCGGACTCCTCGCGAGGAGATGCGTGGCAAAGGATCATGAATGCAGCATGGCTCGGGGAGTCAGGGGTTGGTCAACTATTTGACTCGTTCGATATTATTATAATTAGGCTTTGCCATGCTGTTCTTTAGGCGAGATATAGTTTGAGCCCAAAAAATATATCGGTGCGTTTTAAAAATAGCCAATATCTTCAAGAGTCTCCCCTCCACCAGCCGACTCTCCTGCTCTGCTCCTTTCCGCGAAGATGATGCAAATCTGGCTGGTGTGCCGTGATGATGAAGCTGGATCGCCTGTGGGATCCTGTGAAAGCTTCTCCTCGGCCTTCAAGGTGGACATCAAGATACCCTTGCATCAGGATTTGCGGCATGAATACCAGCTACTTACCGCCTCAAATTCCCAGGAGATGAGTAGGAGGGAGATCCGATGTCACAATGGCTACGTGCACACTGTTCATACTCAATTCCTAGTAGAATTAGGGACATTACTCTCTAATGAAGAGGACACTCCTGCAAATATCAAAATAGACAGTATTCCAGTGAGCTATACATATCTTCCTAGAGCGAAAGTAGGCAACAGTTCACGGCCGTCCAACTCGCAGACCTCGAAAGCATAGTCTACATAACCTCACATATTTCCAAAACCCGCAGTGGTCACGGCGACTACAAGCTAGACATTCTCACTAAATATCACATTTATTTTGGACCGTACTCAAGTCTTACTTATGTTGATCTCGCTGACAAGGTAAACTGGGGAGTATTGACGCCAGTCATGGGAGGTGTGCCCCCTGAGAATTTGAAGCCTTTCTTATTAGCGAGTCGGCGGATATCTCGATAGAAGCAAAAAGTTCATCTTACGGATTATAAGACCTAATCCAGGGACAGGCTAACGAGCTTCTCGACCACAACTAGTCCAATGGAATATAACCGATTTATCGGTCTTGAATATCTATTGCTGTGCGCAGCATAGTTCACTTTAACCTCGTTGAAAGAATGGCATGGGCCATGATACTGATAATACTCAAAGAATTTTGGGAGAAGTCTCGGGCTGTAAGGGGCTATAGCATGAGACAGGTTGGCATCGACCTCTGTGCTCTTAACAGTACTGTTGTACTACTCCATGGGTTGCTTCTCAATTAATTATTACCTTATAACTGGATATTTAAACTATTATACTTTCGATAAATCAACAAAAACATAACTAGAATATCTCATTTCTAGATTGATGTATTAACTACTAGAATGCCGCTATCCATACATAAACAAAACTATAAAATATACACAGCTAACAGACGCGGAGATAGTTAAAATAGTGACTGAAAGTTAGATAGAAAACCAGACTGCCAGCATCGCTATGCTTGCTAATGAGCAATCGGACATGCTGAAACATGTTCTTCTCCCTCGTCCCCTTCACTCTCCACACCAGCTTCCGCCCGTGGAGTAATGACAACGTCTCCGTTCTTAGCAATTTGCCTGAACATCTCCATGGGATCCTGCCAAACCTCAATGGACTGGATTTGGAGCTTGTCGTTTACTTTTGCGATGACTATTCCTTCGATATCGATAGGTCCGTTGTGCGCTTTGATAGTGACCTTATCTCCTTTCCTATAGTGATTTGCCGTAAGCACAATTGTTACCCGTAGGGAGGATTGAAATTAAACCTTGTCTGGGAGGGCAACACTCACTCATTCACACCAACATAATCATTAACCATCTGTCCCCAATGCCTCCATTTAAAGACCACCACGGGTGGACCGCTATACACCTCCATCACCTCCCACGCGAACGTTGGCATCATCCTCTTGAAAGTTTTGTGGCTTTTTGCAAAGTCTGATTGCTCCGGGTCGTAGTATGGGTTGGACGGGATGATGGCGTTGTATGTACCCACTCTGAGCATATGGCTCGGAGATTGAGTTGGCCCTCCGTTCACAGAGAAAACATAGGTTTCTTGGTCAACAGTTCGCCAGTCGGCAAAGTTGGGTTTGAACGATGCTTCAATTTCCCAGTTCTTCACGAGGTTTTCCACTAAATTTGGTAGGCTGCCAGCTTCGTGGTTCATTTTCTTGCCTATACGGGATACTGATTAGCTCGACTTTCTTTGCGTCTCCGGGAGGCATCCTTATTTAGATATACCTTCCTCGTAAACCTTCCGTGTTTTCGAGTAATCTGGTGCGCGCTTGTATCTCCAAGAAATATCATCTTTGAGGACGGCATCGGGGTCTAGAACGTAGTCAGGGAGGGCTGGGGCGGCCTTTTCTTCTGCCATATTGAACGTGATATCGAAAATATGCTGAGGATGGAGGGATGATGAGAGAGAAGTAGAGGAATAGCCGAATTGACTGCAATGATATACCTCTCTGTTCAAGGGGAGAGGATAAACCGAAATATATAGCAGTAAAACGTGGCTCGGAGGATTGCAGCTTTGGTTCCCCTCCTCCGCTTTTCAGTCCAGGGCCAGCGTACATGTCGGAGCCAGGGGGAGCCATATCCTTCACCTATAATGACATGGGGACGCGAACCCTCCAAAATAGTGGACGCATTGTATTGGGCCAGCCGTCCGCCCATGGTATCGAAACAAAAAAACTCCTGTGGTGGGACTGCCTAGAAAGAGAGGACTTGTAAGGTGTACACGATAATATATGTACGGAGTATATACTTGATACTGGAATAGGAGTATGGAGTGGATCTTGAAGCTCGAGAGAGCGCGGCTCCTTGCTATATTATCACCTATCCAGCAAGAGGCTCAGCGTGATAGCTAGCAGCCATTATGTTTTCAGCTTTCTCTAATAAGCCGAGTAGCATTGGCTCCCTACTCTCGAAGCCACGTTGTCCGGCCCATCCCTTTGCCTGAATCCCTGGCGTGCTCCATACGGAGGCCTCCATCCACGGGCCAAGATACGCAGTCCCCCTGTTGATACTAACTGGAATATATCCCGGGACCCAGAATCCACGGTCCTTGGTCGCAAATGGGCGCTTTATATATATTGCTGTGTGGGATATCGACCGGGATGCGCGTTGCGACAAGGGCTGCCAGCCAATCAAGCCCCGGGCGTCGGGATCCTCGGCCGTTTTATCGTAGCCGGCGCAAACTGTGGACACACTTGATTCCGAACGGGCAGGAGGGAATCATAGGGATAGATTCGATATCGCGTTATACTTGTACAGAGTAAAGACTGACTGGATAAGTAGCCACTCGCCAGCATCTATCTAGCCTCAATATCACATGTCCAGCTTATTCAGGGCTTGGCTATGGAGTTCACATATTATCTACTCGTGTAGCGGCTATTATGACTTTAGAGACTTAGTTTATTAATGACTTTGTAAATTATCGTCTGCTGGCCGGTTAATAACCCGGCTGTTGGTTGTATTTTTCATGACGTTTGTTTGGCAGGCGTCGGGCCACCAGTAGTTGGAAGACCCATAAAGATCTTGAATGAATCGTAACTAAAGAATTGTTAGCACGATCCTGGCTAAACTCATCGACTTGTCTGAATCGGATATAACTTACATCATCCATTGAAGACCAGTCTTGTGTACACAGATATATGTTAGCGATAATTATCCGATCTGGCTTGTCCTGGGTAATATACGTACCAGCGTCCCCACCATGACAATCCTAACAGGGAGGCCGTTCCACAGCCCGGCGAATCCAATTTGTTTATAGATACGGGTCATGGCCGCCCCGAAAGCCTCTCCGGGCATCCGGTTCGCGTTAAGCTTGCTCACCATGACGTCTGCTGGATGGGAGACGGCTGCGCAGAGAATACCGGCCAAGTATCCACCAGTAAATGCAACGGCAGTTTGTGCCCCTTTATTGTAGTCTGACTTTTGGCCGGGAAGGTAATTGTATATCATCTCGACGATCTTCTCGAAAGAGGCAAATTTCATCATCGTGTATGGAATCTGCCGGCCCCAGAGCGGATACAGACCCTTGTAGAGGCTATAAAAGTGCTTAGTGGCGCACATATACATGTCAACTCGAGTGCGGATGGCTTCAACTTACCCTGCTATGCCTTCCTTTGCAGTGACATGAGAGATGCCAGAAAACGTCCCGGTTGCGAAAGGCGGAATCGTAGTCTGCATTCGCACTTTGACTGCTTCAAAGGGGCATAGAGCAACGTCAGCGATCAGTTCAGCACTTGCACTTGCAGCAAGGTAAACTGGTGTCTTCCAGCGGTTGAAAACGTCTTCCCCGAGAAGGTCGGCGTAGTATTTCTTGAAGAGCTCGTATCCACCGTACTTGAATGCTCCTTGGGCCTAAGACCTGAATCAGAACCTGGAACTATCTTGGGACTTCTCATGGAACAATCGTGGAATCTCACCGAGTACCCAAAGAATGTTGGGCCCCAACCAGTGAAAATGCCGCGCACTCCTTCAGCACGGCCAATTTTCCCCCAGGCATCAAGGATGCCCTTATACATCGTTGGGTCGATCTGGAGCCGGCATTTTGCTAGATCCATGGGGGTCACGGCAGCGTGCGTCAAGCCCTAGGTATATATTGTCAGCAGAGCAATCTTCAAATATGAGATGGAAATATGAGGTCAATGAACTGCCAACGAGTCTTGAAGTGGAACCTCAAAATGGGCGTGTCGGGAGAGCTACGTACGCAGGCAAGTATTCCACCTGTGATACAGGAAGCATAGTACTTCCCAGAGTAGAGCTCAATCTTTCCGGCAGGCCCTGATCCCTTTGAGCCTGCATCTCCATCACCTCGAGCGGCGTCAGCTCTCCTTTTCACATCTTCTGCGACGCTCCATGCGGGAAAAGGCATTCTGTATGTCTGCGTTGCCATGGAGGCTTCAAGCTGTCCCTTTTGGCCCCAACGGGATTCTTGTACGGCAGCAGTGCCTAAGATTAGGTCCTTGGGGAAGATGGAAGGCATGTTGTGTCTTCAAAGGACCTGGATAGTTAACAAAGAATTGTTAATAGCTTTGCCATGACCATTATTCACAACGATCGGAGTGAGAATTGGCCGGTTATAACGAGAGATAGACATGGCTCACTTTATGCACAGCTACTATGGGGGAGTAAAGTCAATTGAACCCTAGATCCTGGGTAGTCATCTAGTTATATGATAGCAAGTATGTAGACGACCAGACGGTTGGCCTTCTAGATGCGGCAACGTTGAAGTACCTCGTCGCAGGTACGGAGGATATCGGTCAATAGCAATGTCCAGCATCAGACAGAGTGCGAGAGGGAGATGTCTCACAGGCCTGCATCCCCGGAAGTGGCGGGAGGGTAGAGCAGCCTTGGACATGCATCGGAAGGAATCCTGATGTCGCATCTTTCTTTCTCCGGCGTATGACGTAACTCGGAGATAAGAAGATAGGGGTCACGTGGCCCATCTCGATTGTCAACCTCCAGGGCTTCATAATCTTGCATCCATGGATCGCATCGATCTCGACGGCGCAAGGAACAAACATCGAGCGACAGCGTTGCCATTGCGTCCTTCTGTCGGCTGACATAGTCAATTCATTGCTAGCCGCCGTGCCCAAACTGTTAAATAGAACAGTCGCCATCGGAACGTCTGCCAGTCTAGCGTATAGTTGGGATCGTTGGAGCCTGAGCGCATCTTACATCCAAAACTAAAGATGACCTCGTACGCGTCTGCAAGTCAGGCATATGAACGCGAAAGGGCCCCTACGCACGATGTGATCTCTTCCACTACAGCTCCAAGCGCGTGGTCAGGCAGATATAGAGGGGTATGCACCGTTTTCTTTCCCATAATACTCGCCGAACCCCGCCATCTACACATTTTTTTTTTACTTCTTCTAGTTCGAGTGCTAACATTGGAAACATAGGCTACTGTGGAAGACCTTGACCCCCCACCTGCGCTCTCTACTTCGCCGAGTAACCTTATATCTTCGGCTCTACTCTCTGCATACGAACGTGACTACACCCATTTAACCGTTATATCCTCGGATTCCCGCTCTCTTCTGGGCTATCTTTCCATTCCACGGCTAAAGGAACTTCTAAAGGCCGGCACAGTATCCGAGTCCGATCCCGTTGAGAAGGCGATGTTGAAATTTCGGCGGAAAGGTCACGTTTATCAAGTCATAACTATGGATACCCCTCTAGAAGAGCTAGAACGGTTTTTCGATGGCGAACTGGACACGTCTGGTGGGAAGAGCGAAACCAGGCAAAAGCAGGACTTTGCGGTGGTCACCGACGCCAGTCGTAAATTTGTTCTGGGCGTTGCGACTAGAGAAGATTTGGAGCAGTTTGTTAAAAGACGGCCTAGCTGATTAGGATTAACCGCCATTCACGCGTCTAGAATCTAAAGATGAATCCTATGCCTGATTACCCACTCCATGCCTTGCCCGGAGAGGATACCCAAACAATCCCAAAGAGTAGGCATTAAATTATGCTCATTAGCAACAGTTGCAATATACCAGTTACATCACTGCGTGGGGCATGTCATTTTACTTTCCTTTTTTTAGGGCGACATTTAACTGGCGGGAATTATATCATGCTTAACAGCCTCAAATATGAGGAAATATGGAGCCGTAATGGCGAAAAGTTGGCCATACAGAATATTTTCGCGAGAAAATTAATGATGTTCTATTTGCATTAAGATTAAAAAGCTGTATATAAGGCTAAGGGACTTGTAGGCCTAAACATATATCCCCCAACTCAATCACTCGTCCGAGGAGCAACTTTGTAAAATAGTGTGAATGCATGTTGGCTACTGGAATGAACTGGGTATATAGCAGGCCAAACAAAAAGGAAAAAGGATACTACCGAACATGTCTCAATCTCCTTGTCGCTTCTGCTGCAATTAATGCACTCAAGGCCCCGATGAATAAACGTAGTCCAATCACATTGGGGCCACCAGGATTGATATCCATCCAGTCAGGCCCGGGCCTGTCATTCCCTGGAAGAGGTTGTGTCCGAGCCAGAGCTGCTGTATTTGGCTCTAGGATGCTGAACACAACCCAGCTAATAAACGTACCCAGAAACTGGGGAAGAGTTGTGTACACATTCAGCACCCCGAGGTAAATTCCAGCCAGTTCCCCGGTTGATATGCTAGTTCCGTCATCATCGCTTTCGTCGCCGCTATCACTAGAATCATAGCCGTGGTTCAACCGCAGCACCCCGTCGTCCAGCTCCACATCTGAGGCGGAGCGAACGTGGTTGTGAGAGTTCTGTCGGCGAAAGTAAGTTGCAGATGTTATCATGGTAACAGTTGGATCTCTCGAGGTAACTGGCACTCCGAGACGATTGATTTCCTCACCCATGAATGTAAATGGCGCCCAGCAGGTGACTGCCCATGGGATACCACAAATGGCAACTAAAAATGTAGCAAATTGGACCGAACTTGTCAAGGGGGTGAATATCATTGTCACGGCGAATACCAAATGCGAGATCATCCAGGTTGTTTCGAGATCGGGGCGGACTGCCGATATTCTTTTTAGGAAGCGGCTAACTGCGATAGGAACTCGAGGGTTGAAAGAGCTTTTTAGGCTTCCAGTAGAACGAACCCCAAATGGCAACAGGACAGACGTAGTTAACGTCACCAGAGAGAATACCACAAGAGATAGGCTACCTAGCCGACCAACATCGCCTAATAAATCTTTCGATTTTTGAGGATCTGATTTTGGCGCCTCATAGCGAAAGTATGTTTCCCCGACCCAAGTAGAGCCATAAAACAAAAAAGGGAACCATCCTTAGAAAGTGGAATTAGTGAATATAATCGGAAACTTCAAGGTGATTTTCAGGGGTCTAACCAAGCCATGCCCAGAATTGAGCCCAGCATATAGCTTTAATACGTGGCGGTAGAGTAAACGCTGTTCGGAATAATCTGGAAAGTATCTGTACTGCCCCAAGCTTGCTCTCACCACCCCTATAGAAAAGCGGTATCAGAAAGGTATCCAATTAGCCAAGCTGCACAAATTAAAATAGAAAAGGATCGCATGAGCATACCTAGCTGATATTAATATCCTTTCTTGTACAGAATATGAAGTAGCAAGGACACTGGTGAGCAGAGATATGGCAGCTATAACTGTCATCTGCTTGAACTGACTGTCCCCTAAGGAAGTTCCGAGAAATCGAGGAGTGTCAATTGCGCCGATAACATAACCAATAAGGTGTCCGGCAGCTACCATCCTACCAGCTTCTTAAACTTAGCTACCTTACCCTTGCGTTGATTTGGGGATAAGGATGCGAGACTTACCCCATGCGGAGCCGAGCTGTTGTTGTGGAATAGGTAAAGTATCGACAATCAAGCTCCGGCAGCATGTTTGGACTGCTCAATAGTTAGCAATTGAGGCGAAATGAACGGCGTCTGGGCGTAGCACATACCGACATTGATCGAGAAATCAACGGCGTATATACTGAAAACAGCGACCACGATCGTGATATTTTTCTTCTGTTATTGTATGTCAGCCCGTGCACGTCTAGTAGGAGATGAATAGTTAACATACGGTTGCTTCATCACTAACGAAGAAACCAACAAGTTCCGTTGCCCAGCCAAGTATAAGTAGACATATACTGACAACGACTGACCCGCCAACCATGAACGGCCGTCGTCGCCCCCACTTGGATTTCGAATGATCCGCAAACACCCCGACCAGTGGCTGTATAATTAGCCCTGACAGAGGTCCTGCAATCCATACCAACGAGGTACGTGACTTCGTCAGGCCCAGCTTTAGCAGATACGGGGTAAAATCTGTTCAAATATCCAAACAATTCAGCAAGAGCCGTAATGATAATGCTTGTTGCAAACATTTGTTTGTCCTAAAAACGGAGCATGGAGGCTATAATTACATGTCATCTCAACGCCCCATGTAAACCTTTACCAGCAGCCGGAAAACAGAGGTCATAGTTAATATAAGATATCCAAAGAGTATTAAGGGTTAAGGGTTCATCGCTTTAATGGGCAGCAGAAATGCAGTGCATGTAAGAGGGTATTATATGGGGAACTGGGCAAAGGGACATACTGTAATCCAGCTAGACTAAACGTCAGCAGCGCCATGCGCATAGCCTCTGTCTTGCCCTTGATCGAGGGGCTTCCAATCCATGATGCCGCACGCCGCATGTCATATGCCGTTTCTCAATTATGGATCCAAACTGGCTGGTAGTACCCCGAACGTGTAAGCAGGACGAGAAAAAATAGACATAAAATCAGCCCGCAACAGACCCTACAGCTTCAAAAATGTGCATGGAGATTCCATTAATTTAATGAATCGTATCAAGTTATCGATATTTAATTAAATAAAGCAAGGGGAGACAGGGATTTGGAGCTTCAGCTCGGACGGTGTTTACATAAGCAAGAAAAGACGCGGCTGAAGTCTTGGCGCGGCTCATATCAGCTTAGTCATCATTAAATGTTGAGGCCATCCATGGATGGATGTATGTATATCTGGATGGTCAAGAATGTGTGGATTGAGAATAGATCGTTGAGAATATTCATTATGGTTGCCTGGGACGGCTGGGTTGTGTAAAAAAAGATATTGCAGTAATCAGAAGCCAACGTCTGTGGAAAAGAGAGGGAGAAAGAACCCTGCCCCGGACCAGTAAAGAAGAAAGTCTAGGGCATAACATGATGATTCGTCCACATGAAGAATTGTAAGAGTAGCTCAAGGTCAGGGATAAGAGATAGTTATTGGAGGAAATCGGAAACCAAAATAACGGCAGCGGAAACGATTTTACGGGGAGCACACGTCAAAATGGTGTGTGCGTCGACACCCCTGCATTTGTAGATAATAGGGACATATTTTATTTCCATTATACACCCATTTATTCATGGGGAGATCATCGCAAACAGTGGTGATGGGGGTTGTGGGGGCGGATATCATCATAAACATTGCTAGCCCGATTACAGGCGGTTGGGTGTCGCGGTGAGTGGCCACTGGTAACCTGCAGCATCGCTAAACTTATAACCGAAGGATGACGTGAAGTCATCGAGAACGGCCGGTCCGCGGGAACCTACGTACGAGTTAGCAAGGTCGGGTCAATTACCACCAAGGACCAGATTCAAAACACTCACCATAAGGATACTCCATTGGTACAATTTCTTTGTTGTCATCTAGATAGTGCAGCAAGGGGGTGAAAATCCTCCAGCTCGCATCGAGCTCATCGTCACGGACAAAGTTCGAATGATCTCCCTTGAGTGCATCCAGAATGAGAGACTCGTAGGCTTCTGGGATCTTTAGATCTGAGAATCGTCGACGGTAGGTGAGGTCGAGCTCGGTGACGACGGTTTGCATGGACAGACCAGGCAGTTTTGAATTCATTTTGATGTATACCGATTCATTGGGCTGCACGCGTATGACCAGCTCATTCCTAGGGATATCTTTGAATATACCAGAGGTGACATCACGGAACTGGATTCGGATCTCGGTCTTTTGTTCGTTGAGAGCTGTAAAACCAGGTTAGTATGGGCTTTCAAGACTAAATAGTCAACTAGGTGACCATTGGCAACGGGTGAAACTAACCCTTTCCAGCCTTCAAAATGAAGGGCACACCGTCCCACCGTTCATTCTTGATGTATGCAACCATTGCACAGAAGGTAGCACACCTGGAATCTTTTGGGACTGTTTCATCTTCCTTGTATGCAGGCTTAGTGCCATCTAGGGACTTGCCATATTGCCCAATGATGACATTCTTAGGCTCGATGGCATCTATACCCCTTAGTACTCTTACTTTCTCGTCACGGATATCCTCTGCAGAGAAGGAGATGGGCCTCTCCATCGCAAGGAGCGTAAGAACTTGGAGAAGATCTGATGATTGAAATTAGTGGGCCATCCATTAAAGCACTACCAAGGATCAACATACGATTTTGCATGACATCTCTGACAATTCCAAACTCGTCAAAGTAGCCGCCCCGGCCCTCCGTACCAAACGGCTCCTTGAATGTGATCTAAATCAGGCAGCGGGTCAGCCAAGAGTTCCTTCTTTTGAATTTCATCAAAAGGGTACATTGAACGTACTTGGACATTATCTATGTGGTGCCGATTCCAGGTAGCGCCGAAGAACTCATTACCGAAGCGCAGAATGAGAATGTTCTTCACCATCTCCTTTCCAAGGTAATGGTCGATACGGAATATCTCTTCTTCTCTCCAGTTGGGCTCAAGGGCTCTCTGTAGCTCTCGTGAACTGCCCAAATCTTTGCCGAACGGCTTCTCAACCTGTATATCCCAGGATCGTTAGCCACACATTCATATGGATGAATTGCCGGGGTGTGCGTACAATTATTCTTGTGATTCCATTTTTAGGGTAGCAGTTTTTCTTCAGGTGTTGGGAGACGGTGATGAAAACACTTGGCGGTAGGGCCATGTAGAAGACCCTGTTTTGTTCTTTTCGACCTTGCTCCAGCTCCTCTAGATGATTTCGGAGCGTGATGAAGGACTCATCCTGGTCGTATTGCCCGGAGATATAAGAGCAGAGCTCGCAGAACCCGGTCAATTGTTCTTCGAGTTCCTTTGTAGGGACCTTGATATAGGACCGAATTCGCCGAACATACTCGTCGTGGTCCATCTTGGTGCGGGCATATCCGACAATCTTGATGTCTTTGGGCAGGAACTTATTTCGGTACTGCAGTCGAGGGCTATTAGTGGCGGTACGCGAGCGGAGGGGGAGCAACCTATGCTGAGCCCATATATGGGAGGTCACCTACAAGGCCGAAGAGTGCCGGGAACTACATCCATTAGCATGATTACCACCACCGTAGCCGTGAATTGACGATTTACTCACCGTCTTCTTCTTCGCCAGGTCCCCAGACGCACCCAGGACAACGATCACCGTATCATCCTTGAGCTCCATCGAACTAAGAGAGAGGTCACCATCAGCAGGCTATTCCGAGAGTAGAAACGTAGATAGATGCAGGCTCAGGGCCCCCGGTGCCACAGCCAGTAAACACAGACAGGAATGCTTACCCTGGAGCGTTGTCGTTGTGTGTCATCGAGCTCGCCATCTCGTCAAAGGACGCTCAGCTCGCGCGTTTGATATCTGGGCTGGCGGGGTGATGGAACAACCAGCGGGATCAGCGGGACAGCAATTGCCCCACCAACAGCAGCAGCAGTGGCAGCGAGGAGACACAGAGCAGCAGCAGCAGTGCAGAGCAGCAGTTCCTCGGGCGGCGCAGGGCACAATGGTCGTATATACGAAGGCGACGAGGATGGAGAGCGAAAGTCTGGCAGCGTTCGACGAGCGGGAGGACGGACGCAGTACCGGTGCTACGGTGGGGCGGCCTTCCCTGGTCGCCAGAACTCACTCTTAACTCGCCGTCGACAGACACGCTGACATCTACTCTCTACTCTACACTTTATTAGATTCTATATTATCCAGGTTGGTTGGATCGATATGTCGGACGATAGGCCTGGAGCCGATCACTCCGCCGTTCCTTTTGCTGCGGACAGTTCTATACTGACTAATGGCACGATAGCATCCGGTCTCGACCTGGTTCAGCGTACGGCCTCTTCAGCCGGAGGTTCACCTGACCAGAATCCTCCATTATTGGCACCCTTGGTCCCTGAACGCGAGGGATATGTACGGACTCCGAAGTCCCGGGCAAATAAAGTATGCATGGAGTGATCTACGACCCCTGTGGATTCGGCGCAGCGTTCCCTCTGTTGTTTTGATGTCATCGGCATCATGGCATCCATGGGAGAGAAGAGACGTGGGAGCCGTACGATGGCGATATAGTCGATATAGCGAGTGAGCCGTGTACTAGAACGGCTCGCCGATACTAAACACCCATTTACTATATAATAGACGGGTCCAACATCAGCAACACTCCCTGCACGAATCTATTGCTCAGTTCTACGAGCTGGGATCATTAACTGCTTCGGAGCCGGAGGTCTCCTGCCAAGTTGTGAGATACGCCGTACTCTGAAACCGCCATCTACAGCCGAGAGTATATGGCATGGCGGATCAATATCAGCGCGGCTCTATGTGTAGGAGAAGTTATATTCAATCCGCGTGTCACCTAGTCGCTGGTCACCGTCAATCCAGTTCTCGAGCATCGTGAAAAGTGGTGAAAGGAAGGATGTTTTAAAAGACGCATTCCAACCGAACAGGGGTATGCGATGTAACTTCTGCCTCCGACGCACCTTTTGCCTGAACCGAATATGCGCTCTTCGCACGCGTGGTAAGACGATTAGTTACTGAAACTCCACGTGGAAAATGCATGGGATGCGGATGCCCACGCTCTTATTCGGACGGATGCATGTTGAAAAGTGGCCACTGATACGAAAGGAGCTGATATACCGTTCGAAACCAGGGAAATATATGGCGACGGACACGAAGAAGCTCGAGGAAAACACAGTCTAAAAGACAAGACATGGGTACGATCAAGCCTCCACGGTCACCTACACATCGGACTTCGGAAAGATGGTGAGCACCGACTCGGTACGCTGCAGACAGCTCTCAAGATGACGTCTACCAAGGAAGATTGCTCGCCTTAAAAATAGTCTACGTTGTGGCTTGACTTTTGCATGGACGGAGGCATGGCTGGGGTGCATCCATCCGTGGTGTATCGGGTATTCGTCGCGGCGAGTGTGCAAGAACCACACTTGGCTATCTTCCACCTTCGCTCGCTTCCTTCTCATCCGGAAGGTCTTTCACCCTACATGCAAGGGCAGCTCACAATATTCAGACGCCAATTCCACGTGGAAAGTGTCCACTTCGTGGTTCGCATGGCGAAGAAAAAGCTGTATACATCCGGTGGACAGAGGGCTGATATTACATCAGCAATGCAAAAAGCTCCGTTCTTTTACCAACAACTGGCCAATCTCAGCACCATCTCAGAGAACCCAAGCGAAACACGCCTGGTGCGAGCTTATGTTTGGTTGATGCATCCAACCTTACTTCTTTTGGCTCGGCAGGAAACTCCATCTTCGAGCTTCGCACGTATAGCCCGGAGGTATTCATCGTGTCCATGACATTCCTTACCATGTCTTTACACATGGTGCTATAATGCAATTCGCTTTGTCTAGCCTATGTGGTAGCTGGAGACGGCGTATAATGGGTCAGAATTGGAACCTTTCATTTTGGCATCATGGTGCGGTGAAAAGAATGGCATACATTATGCATTCATAGCAGAGGGCTGTCATGGCTTGGAAAGCTGGTAAGGATAGTTAGATTCCTCTGTAGGAACGCTCCTTGTCCTTCGCGTCAAGTAGCTTTCCCAGCTAGCTTGTCTTAGCTTGCTCCTGTTCCCATGCTCAGGCAGTTGGCTACCACTACGGTACCGCGAATACCTTCGCTTGGATGGGTGAAATGCTCCGTCAATACGCTTGAGTTTCGCTCTCTGCGGCGAAACATCACGATCACACGTTCTATTCTTATCATATATTTAAGAACAGAGGCGCTATATTTATTATTCCTCTTAGATCTCTTCTTTGATCAACTCCCCTAGGGCTAGTGACCAACACCTGAACCTTGTTCAGACAATATATACTCCCGCCTGGTGCCAGATTCTATCTTTCGCCCTTAGTGCCACTTTTCTTTAATTTCTAGTGATATCCTGCAGGCCAGAAAAGACTCAATACTTATACACTAGTCCATAACACACCCGGCCGACTTTGGTTGTGTGTATTCTCTAGCGAAGACTGACTTTGTTGGAGGCCGTTTCGACCGGTTCTCGCCCTCTTCATCGTTGCTCTTCCTATATTATCTCATTCTACTTGCTCAGCCATGACGCGCCCAGTCGATCGGAGGCGGGCTCTCCGGCCCGTCAGCATAGGACCGAGGGCTCAACGCCCGATGAGCTTCACATTTCCAGATTTCCCCTTCAATCCAGAGAGTGATGTATTTCCATACGCAGAACCGAACAAACGACTATCGTACTTCAAGTACCCAGATGTCGACCCAGTATCACCGCTTCCAGTGCTCGACCCATCGCGGAACGGGAGTCAAGACACGATCGTTCCTCCGCCGTATGAAGGCCATGATGCGGAAAAAGCAGACCCGCCACCAGAAGCTCCCCCAAGCAAAATGACCAGACAAGAGATTGTTATTATCATGACGGCATTATGTGTAAGTCTCTGCACTACTAAGAATGGATTCGTGCGGATGAGAAGATTATCTAACGCCTTAATCTTTGGTTTAGTTGGCTCTGTTTCTCGCTGCTCTTGATATGGTTAGTTCATACGCTGCTTCCCTTTCCCGCTATCCCGATACCAGATTTCTGATAGATTACTCTAGACTATTATTTCTACCTCTCTCCCTACGATATCTAAAGTATTCAATGCCAACGAGAGTGGCTATACCTGGATGGCTTCATCCTACCTCCTTGCTAATGCTTCATGTGTGCCCCTTTGGGGAAAGCTCAGTGACATCTGGGGTCGCAAAGTTCTCATTCTAGCAGCCAATGTACTGTTCCTTGTTGGAAGTTTGCTCTGTGGAATTGCGCCCGGTCTGGCCATCTTCTTAGTTGGAAGAGGTATTCAAGGTGTTGGCGGAGGTGGCCTGATTATTTTAGGACAAATTTGTGTCAGTGATTTGTTTAGCGCAAGGTAAGCTTATAACCCTTCCTGGGGCATATTACAGCCGCGACTCCGCTAACTCATACAATTCTAGAGAACGCCCAGTATACTATGCATTGTTCGGCGCCACATGGGCTGTTGCTGGCGCACTTGGTCCTGTGATAGGCGGACTGCTGACGCAGAACACTTCCTGGCGCTGGTGCTTTTACATCAATCGTGCGTATTCCACTTCTCCTTTGCAGAATTAAAGAGGAATTTGCGGCCAACTGGTTCTATTTATGCTAACTTGACTGCGCGATTTAGTGCCCGTTGGTGGTATTTGCTTTGTGATTCTGTTCTTCTTCCTAAAGATCGAGTCACCCAAAACACCTCTCCTCGCTGGATTGCGTGTTATTGACTGGCTGGGCACCATGACCATTGTCGGAGGTACCGTCATGCTATTGTTTGGTTTGGAATTTGGCGGTGTCAGCTTCCCCTGGAACTCTCCAACAACTATCGGCCTAATTCTCGGTGGTATTATTACTTTGGGCATATTTGGAGCTATTGAGCGATATTACGCGAAATACCCGATCATGCCCCCTGCCGTCTTCGATGGCATGAACAACATCTTGATCCTGGGGGTTAACTGGGTCCATGCCTCTCTTTTCATTTCCGGAGCATACTTCCTTCCGATTTACTTCCAGATTGTCCTCGGCGTCGGTCCAACTCTCAGCGGTGTTTATATCCTACCACAGGTTATGGGCCTGTCCGTTGTTGCTATGTTGACAGGAATGTTTATCCGAAACACTGGCAAATATGTCTGGATTATGCGCATTAGCATGCTGGTCACAACATTAGGATACGGCTTATTTTTGGATTTCCAGCCATACACTTCCTGGCCTCGACTCATTATCTATCAGCTCATATCTGGTATTGGTATTGGGCCCAACTTCCAAGCACCCCTGATTGCCATCCAAAACAATATGCCGGCTGGTGACGTCTCGGGAGCGACTTCGACCTTCGGCTTCATGCGCCAGCTCGCCACCTCGTCATCCATCGTGCTCGGTAGCGTGGTGTATCAAAACATCATCAACGGCAAGGAGGCGCTGCTAACTGAGGTCTTGGGACCGGAACTAGCTCCCCACTTCCTTGGAAGCATTGCTGGTGCAAATATTGATCTGATGGATCAATTAACGCAGTCCCAGAAAGATATTGTGCTGAATGAGTATACCACTGCCCTCAAACGTGCCTGGCTATTCTATACAGCTCTCGGTGCTCTAGGTTGCGTTTTCAGCTTCTTCGTCCGCGAAAAGGTGCTCAGTCAAAGCCACGAGGTAACCAAGACAGGGCTGGAGCAGCAAGAGCGGGCTCGACTGGCACGTATTGCGGCCGCAAAGAACCCTGCAGAAGAACAAACGGAATGGCCAGGTAACAGGACATAATATAGCTCTGATAAATCTCCACAGATGATTGGTTGATGCAAGTTTCATTTTCCGTCCATGTATTTGATTTCATGCATATGTTGGTTTGGCCGTTTCTTTTGGGATAGACTACTTGCTGTCGGCCATTTTCCGACTTTTTAACTTGAGCTGTGTTCGCAAGCTGCCTGCAGCAATGATTATGACCTATCGTTCATTATGTACATACTTAATATTATCCAGGTGTATCTGGCGTTATAATTAATTTAAATTCTACCTAAATCTTATTACTGAATATTGTTTTATGGGAAAAGAATAATTATGCATAGCCAAACCCACCCGAGAAGCGCTCACTTTCTATAATTTCCATATGGGCATAACCAATACATCTATTTAGCTGTTTGGCTATTCATTATGGCGCTATAACACATGGTATGATGAGTTACATGGTTCATCTATCAATGCGGATGTTATATGACGACGATATACATTAAATTCGAGCAGTTTCATAGCCCAAAGCGCCTTTTTGCTTCATAATTGTCCCATTCATTATTCTCGGAGCGGTAAGATCTCTAGAGGACGTGTCAGTTCCGCCAATTGTATACACTTCGAGCCTGCAAAGAATAAAAATAAGGGTATAAAGGGCCACATACCTGTTAAAAATTCTTCAAAACTAAGTGTTATATATCCATCCCGGTCGTCGTCATATCTCTTAAAGACATCGGTCATTCGCTTCAAGGTAATACACGCCTGCACAAAAAGATCAAAACTCATGCCATCATTCCGACCGGGAACCAAGGCTACACCGCGTTGTCCCTTGCTTTCAAATGTTGTGAATAAGGTCTGAACAAACGTTGGGCTCAGCTTATAGCCAAATGCGATTAACGCTTTGCTAAACTCCTGAAAACTGATTCGGCCGCTCATATCTTCGTCGAAGCGGTCAAATAGGCCTCGCCATGCAGCTAGAAATCTCCATAGTGCAACGAACTCGTCAAACCCTACTGTGCCGTTGCCGTCTCGGTCAAACATACGAATCATCATCGTGACCGTATCTCGATTGAACGACGTATAATCCCCATTCACTAGCGCGGAGCCTAGCTCGGAAGCACTGAGTGAACCTGAATTCGACGCGTTGGCTGCCCGAAATAGAGGGAAGAGGTCGTGTGGTTCGTTGGAGGCCGGCAGCGCAGCGCCAGCACCGCCGGCACTTGGCGGTAGCGGTGTGCGCGGAGGATATGACGAAGGCGGAGGCCGGTTTTGAGCTGGGTGAACAGGGCGGGGGCCAAAGCCATAGTGTTGTGGAGGAGGAGAGTGAAGACGGTTTGCTATAGACGGGTTTGGATTTTGGTTGTAGTATGGATCGGCTCGAAGGGGTGCGCTCGTCGACGGCGGATAGTCATATCGTCCTCCGCCTGGCTGCCGCGGAGGCTGGAAAGACTGAGTTGCAGAGGCGCGACGCTGTGCATGCGGATCAGGAATGCCTTGAGGCCGTTGGTTCTGGGCCGGCTGTTGAGGTGGTGGATGCAAGGCACCGAGCATCTGAGCTACCTATACGGACCCAACGGGGAGATTTTAGCCACACGCAGCTTCATGTAATAAGAGGGCCGGCCGGACGAACCTGCTCAGGCTCTGCGTGTCTATCTACTCGTTAGCAAACGGACTTGTGGAGAAGACGTATACTAGACGTATACTGGAGCGTATGGCGAGGTGCGAAGAGGACTCACGCTGGCAGCGCATCTGGATTGTACGCTCCCCTATAAGCCATTGCTATCTGCCCTGGGCGTTGTATTCATGCGACGTCTTCGCCTTCTGGTTATAACGCGGGTGTTCTTCTCTTAAGCCACAGCCAAATCTGCCCCGCGTTCGGTGATTCAATTTCGAGGATGTTCAAGCTAGCCGAGTATATGCAACAGTGAAGGAGACAGCCTGGAGAGTTGGAATTAGAGCAAGGAGAGGACGGCAACTGGGGATATACCAACAGTATTTATATCAGCCATCTAACGACTATCACCATGTGATCTAGTCCCCTTTTCCGCCGTTGTCGCTGGGTGAACAGATATATATACACAACTCACGGAACAAGGCGTAGAACTGCGCAAGTTGCCCCCCGCCAGCGATGCCCGAACTTCTCTCTATTCAGTTGATTCCGCTCGCCTGAGCCTACCCGTCCATTGGACAGCCGTTTGCGAGCCTTGGGACTTCGCCCTCTCTCTTCGTTTTCTTGAGATCGTCTGCGGCTCAGAGATGGAAGAACGATGTTCCAATTCCCGAGGCGGTTGAATTGCTTCTTCAGCGATTTAGTTAGAGACCGGCCTGCCCGTCATGATGCAGCGCGGACAAGCCACGATATTGAATACTTTCTTCGCTAGTTATTGAGCCTCGAGTGTATCTGGGAGAGTGGCGGACGCCCCTTTGATCGCGATGGCCTCTACAGAGCTGGAGTCGTGGAAAAGCCACTTCCCGGCCGGCGACCTCTGGGTATTTGGTTACGGGTTCGTTAAACATGCCTCCGTGTCGTCCTATCAACTCTTTGCCGTCCCTGAGGGGGCCGTATTCGGTGGAAGACAAGCCAGGCGACGCAGACTGTGTTTTCTGCGTGGATGTGAATAGCTGCTGATGTCTGGGAAACTGATAGGAGTCTGATATGGAAACCACCGCCACATTATGGTATGTCTACTCCGCCATGGGCTTAGTATCCAGGCAAAGCCATTACGATTCCCTTTAGATGGGCCCCTAAGCCGGTGCAGGGATATCTGCGCTAATGTCTGTCCAGACCAGCGAGTTGCTGGGTACATCAAGGGCTATGTTCGTCGGTTCTGGCAGGTAAGGTTGTCCTGCGTATGACAGTATCTATATAACATACTCGAGCTATCATGTCGAAGCGGGCACTCCGATCCAATAAGATGCTCTGATGGTGGGCTAACCGGCCACTATTTGCGCTGGAGCATATAGGCAAGGTGCGGTCACCCAGCATCTAGCTAAAACCATGCCATATACAGACTACTGATATCTTCCAGCACCGATCATCGTGGAACTCCAGATGCACCAGGTCGCGTGGTTACAGTTATCGAGCGTTCATTCTGGGAGTCCTTGTCCGACCCGGTCAGTCAATGCTTGATATATATACATTTATATATACTGGGCATAGGCGCCTGCAAGCTAACATCTCCTAGCAACGCGACCTAGAGCAGACCGCAGATGGCTCCCTGGTATGGGGAGCAGCATACCACATCCCCGCCTCACACGCTGAAGAAGTGAGTGCATATCTGGACCACCGGGAAATAGACGGATACAGTGTACATTACACACCCTTCCACCCGTGCTCAAGTTCCAAGAATGAAGCACACTTAAACTCCGTCCAGCGAGGATCCACGGCCGAGTCAGTCGCCGATATTCAGCCAATAAAATGCCTGGTCTATATTGGGCTGCCAACCAATACTCAGTTCCTCCGTGAGCCGGCCCTGCGTGAGCCTGATGCCGTCGCGAAGGTGATTTATGCAGGCCGAGGCCAGAGTGGGGAGAACAAGGATTATCTCTATTCCCTTGAGACAGCTCTCGAGGGGCTCGGTCTGGGCTCCTCGGATATTCACATCACCGATCTAGTACGCCGAGTGAAGGAGATGGAGAGAAGCTGACAGCGCCTCGCTTCTGCGCATTGCTTGATACATCCGGAGTTTTTATACAGCCACGATCTATTCTATTTAGAACGAAGTGGGGGGTGGGGCGCGGGATCTACTATAAAACGCCTTAGACCATACATTTTTCTTTTTCTGGGGCATCAACTTTGTTTCCCCTCTTGTCAGGATGCTAGATACTAGATAGAAGTCCGGTCGTTAAATCGAGATGGAGCTATTCGTGTCAAAAGTCGGTTATCAACATTTTAGATCGCCTCCCCTTCGATAACGTCCATGTGCAGGATAAACATATACAACGTCTGATAGAATCTTGGATCGCAACTTAATATTTCGGACAAGACAATTAATGGACACACCCCTTTTAACTCAAGGAAGCAAGCAGCATGCTCATCGTACAGATGGGGATTGTAAGAGAGTGAACAACCATTCGAAAGCATCAAGAAAAGGAGTCACCGTCAAATGTTTCGGGGGGGGGAGGTGGGGGGGAGCGTTTCCACACAAGAACAAGAAAAAATAGCAAGGACTGGTGGGTTTTTTTTTTCTTGTAGTAACAACTAAACTAGAGGTTGGGGGGGAATGTTTTCATAAAAAATAGGGCATGAGAAAGCTGAGCTGAGCCCCAGTCTCTTGATCAAGGTCATAAAAACAAGCCTTGCAGGCAAGACTTATAGAAAATGAGCAGAGAAGTAAAAAAAATATGGGGGGGTAATTAAAGAAATTACAAGAGGAACAGAGAAAAACCGTGGTGAAAGCTGCAGATACCCTTCTATCCTCGAAAGCAGCAAGATATTTTTTTTGCGTGAATGAAAAAGACGTTGAATGATCATGGCTGGTCGGTCAGATTACCTGATACATAGTTGTCTCACTCATTATTCATAAAGTCATGGCCCTTCCTAGTGAACTATCGTACGTTGCTGTCGAGAAATCGGTTCGAATGTGATAAAAAAAAAGATCTGGCCAGGTTCGAGGCGAAAGGCTGGTGAGGATGCTAGCACCATTCTAGAGCTGGTCTAGAGGGACAGAATTACATTCCACCGTTGCCTCCCTGGTTTTGGCCGGGGTATGGCTGTTGCTGCTGGTGCTGCGATTGTTGACCCCATCCTACATTTGACTTGTTAGCATGGACGAGAATGGCTGATACAATGTGATATAGAACGTACCTCCACCTTGGCGAGGCTCATGGCCACCACTGCCTATATAAATGATTAGTTGAGGGGATATCCTATGTTTAGAGATCATATTTACCATAGCCGCCGCCCTGGCTGCCGCTGTTGCTGTTGTTTTCGAAGCGGTTGTAGCCGCCGCCGCCGTAGCCTCCTCCCCGACGGGGTTGGCCGTAGCCGCCGCCGCCGCTGCTTTGGTAGCTACCACCGCCGCCGCCGCCGCCGCCAGCACCGCGCTCAGCAGCCTTGTCGATACGGATCACACGGCCATCGAATCTGACGGATAGGAGTCAGTCAAAGGGTGCCAGCCAGAAGATGAAAACGGTGGTAACATACTCCTGGTTGTTCATGGCCTCCATGGCAGCATCAGCTTCACCAGAGTTGGAGAAGCGGACGAATCCAAAACCACGGCTGCGGAGGGTATCGCGGTCCTTGACGACAATCTAGAGGAGAGATCAGCATGGAACCCAGGGAGACGGACAGGGGACGACCAACAGCTTCTTCGATAGAGCCATATGGTTGGAATCCCGCGCGAAGGGTCTCATCAGTCGTGTGCCATGCCAGGCCGCTGCCCGTTCAGAAAGCAGCTATTAGCAGGTGGAGCAGCGAGTCAAAAAAGCAAAGAGACCAAACAAACCCAATGAACAACTTTGTAGAGGACATCGTGAGGTAGAGATGGAAGCGCTGCTGAATATGTAGGGTACTAAGATGCTTCACGTAGAAGAAGGAAGAAGTGAGCAAAAAGGCCGACCTCAATCTCGAGCCAGTGAAACTTGACCGAGGATCACAGTAGAAAAAAAAAGGCGCGGGATGCAGGGGGGAGGGAGAGACAGAGCCGATGTTGAGTGGCAGATGTAAATACCTCCAGCAAAGAGCGAGCACAGGACAAACTCGGTTCCACCCAGGACAGAGCGAAGAGCGAGAAAGAGAGCGAAAGAGAGTGAAGTGAAGAGAATGATAAAATAGAAAAAATGAAAAGTGAGAAGGAGACTGTGTGCGCAGGCTAGTGAGAGCGCTCGTCACAAGGGGGACGGCGGGGAACCAGAGACAGCAGCCGGCCGCGAGGACGCAAGAGCAGAGCAGAGACTTCGACGGACAAAGGAGGGGCATTCAGGGTGCGTCGACCAGGCTTTTTATTTTCTTTTTCCCTATCTTGTCCCTATTTCTCGTCCCTCTTATCCTTTCGCGAGAGTCTGTACATGCCTGATAGCACCTAGAACGAGCACCGGCCATCCACAAGGTGTACGGAGTACGCGCATCATCCTCCTGGCCGTTCGACGGCGATGGCAGCCTTGGATAGCCAGGACCAGGACGCCCATCGAGCACCGCGATGGTTGCACTTAGCTCGTCGTCGACTGCCTTTCTCTGCCCGTTGACTGGCCCGTTGGCTCGTCCAGGGTTGAACCGTCACAATCTTACTTCGTCTGTATAGGCTGGGGCTGGCTGGCTGGCTCGTCACAGGCCGCGCTGAGGTGCCGGCATATACGCTGCTCTCTGCACCCTCTGCACCATCCCATCTGCGCCATCTGCACTCTCTGCATCACCATCGTGCGGAGAGGGAGCTATATTCTGCTATTCTTGAGCTTGGCAACTGCATACTCTCGACTGGCTCCATGATCGCCGTGTTCGTCCTGAGAGAACAGACGCTCTGCATCCCGGTTTCCATGGCTTGGGCTCCCACCAGCCTCCACACGAAAACTTAATCATACTAGCTTTACCACCAACCTCTGCGACTGCTGCATACGTGGATGCCTGGACAGGACGGAGGCTGAAGATATACGGCCTGGTGGATGCCCGATAAGACGTGAAGCGTGAGGCTGCTTATCTGTGCACTGTGGAGAGCCCGGAGTATCTGCATAAATATAATACCCGATCTGGTTATGCAGGGCTGGAATGAGTAAATGTGAGCCTTCCGGTGTAGTCTCCTCGGTAGTCTCGTCAAGAGCAGTGTATATAAGGCGTGGACCGCCGTCAGCTCTGGTCCATCTGCCCCAAATATCTCAAGCGTCTCAACCGTATGGTTCGGCAGTGTCTGAAGCCTCCTTGTTGGTCTGACCTCCTGCCATGAAGATGTTGCTGCCATAGGATGCCTTCAACTGCTGGAACGTCCTGCCTTCGTCCGGGTCCATGGCATCGCTCCTGGTCCATATAGAGTCCGTAGAGCCGTAGAGTCCGTATTTCCTATCTAGGCAAGTGTCTCTCCGTTCTCACAGTGAGCAAGAATGACTCATTTATGAGCCCTCTGATTGGCTGGAAGATGCACGCCAAGAACCCGCACCCATGGCAGTGGATCCAGGCTCATTTTCCTATTGGTGGAGAAGGAGTTTAGGTCTCGGCCCGAAGTCTTCCCGGCTGACTAAGTGGCTTATCTCACTTTCCCCCAAGGTCAGCTTTCGAAGGCCGGCGATGAAGATATATAAACCGCCCGAACACCTGCTGTGTCGACTCCTTTCTGTCCACGCTGCTCTCCGTTCGTGGCTCTCCCCCCAAGCGCTGAAGTCCCTCAGCTACACTTTGGTAGACCCCCCTTAAACCCCCCACCATCCCGTCATGTCGGCCTCTGCTTCTGCATCAGCCGCCTGCCCCCGCGAGTCCATCGGATTCTTCCAACCGGCCCGCCTCTCTGTCGCCAAGTGGCCGTCGTGATTGCAGTTCATCTGGCACCCTCGTGCCTCAATCTCCATCGGCTTATCCTTCGTCCTTTTTGCATTTGAATCCCGGCCCCTTGCTACCATATTCTCCCACGCCACTCGGCCCGCAGCTCGTGGACTCGACCTTCTTTCCGGCGCCAGATCCCTTTGCCAGCTTTCTTTCCGATACCTACCTTACCCAGGACCAATACCCTCTATCCACCACATTCTCAGACACCCCCGGCGTGACCCCAACCGTCTCTGTTGGGGATTCCTTTGACGACCCATTGCAAGCGTTTCTTTCGACGGAAGGCTTTGATTTCAGCAATATTGCAGAACAGCTCCTTGTACCATCTTCGATTGATAACAGTCCCACGTATACCCCGACATCAGAAGACAGCTCATTGCACTCCATGAAGGCATGCGAGCAGTATCTTCTAGACATCCCACTGACCAGTAACGCCGACGACTCCCGCTCCGAGACGGACCAGCCGTCCACCGCCGGCTCTGTTCGTTCCGCCAATTCAGGCCACAGCTCTCCCACCGGGCTTGACCTCGCTGCCGCTCCCATCCCCCCTGTCATACGCAGCCCGGCGTCATCTTCAAATTCCACCGCCGAATCGAGCAGTAGCCGTAAGCGACAGCGTGTGGATGTCGAAAAGCGATCTGAGGAAGAAATAGCCAACGAGAAACGCCAGCGAAACACGATGGCTGCTCGCAGGTTCCGTAAGAGAAAGGAAGACCGGATCTCTAGCTTGGAGCAGCAGCTCGCCGAAGCACTCCGAGAACGAGACGAGCTCAAGCTTCAAGTGGCAAGGCTCGAAGGGCAGAATATGATGTTGCGGAAGTAACCAGCAGCTAGACTGTATTATGTACTCTCCCTTCTAACCCTGTGCATTCCTGTGTTTGTTCACTGTCAATATGGGGTGAAAGCTGTAACGTTGGGGGGAGGGGTTACTGGTTTGCGTTTGTTTTGTGAATCTCGGGAATATTTGGATTGATATTGTATTTTATATACCGTTCAATCAGCGACTATAAAGCTCCTTACTCTCGTCTGATATCATAGTCCTGGCTTGTGTGTGTTTGAATATGTCGTCTCGAGGTTGGGGCGTGAGGTGACGTTGAATTACCCTTTTGGGTTTACTCATAGCAACCAAACCTGCTCCCCAAGTGCCCATACTCTATACCCATCCATACAGTTTTCAACATCATACCAGCGTGAACACGCATGGCCTCAATACCCCTTTGTCAAAACTAGCCTCGCGAGGGTCATAGTCTAGGTCTATTTTCTTCGTGGGAGATCTTGACCACGCCAGAACTAATCTTGCAACTCGTGTCTATTCATTCCCTGCCGGGCGACTAGCAAAGCTGGACATCAAAGGAAACAGTATATATCCCGGAGCCGATGACAAGAATACCACGGACAAGTCAACCAATATGGGTGTGAACGACAGCCCTATGCCGCGCGAGCCCGCTCGATATCGGTGTCGACCCAGGCATAAGACAAGAGAAGACCGATATGAGCCAAAAATGACAACCCGCGAACCAAGCAAGAAAGTGTCCTTACCGAAGAAGCCGAAACGGGTGCCTGGACGGAAAGCTGATAGTACGGCCCTCAAAAACAGCTTTAAACCATCGAATATTTCGCAGGAGCGTCTTACGGTATGGTAGCCGGCCGTCATATACTTTTAAGATTACGTCGCTGATTTGGTTCAAAAGCTCGATGGAAGCATTGGCGGAGGGCTCTTTCGACATGGCCGCGCCTCCTCGCCAGTTATGCGGAGTGAACGTGAGATATCCCTATCTTGTTTCTACGTATGATGTATTCTGATACCATCATGAAAACAGTTCCTGACCTTTCCTTTCCTGAACTCAACTTCCTCTCATCACGATCAAAGGCGAGACGTGAGTCTCCACAGCGTTCTGGTCTAGAGAAGAGAAAGTCCTTGGACTCATACGCGCAGAATACTATATCGAAATATTTCTCACCTTCGCGCTCAACCAGGCCTCGGCGTATTTCTGATAATCATGTCAAGGTCCATGATGATACCTCGCTATCAAAGCCTCGCGCGGATAAGCCACTCTTACCTTCAATAGAAGGACATGAGCGTTCTAGTTTGCGCGCTCAGGCTTTGGGCGAGGATACCCAGTGTTCTCTGCAAAGAGAGCAGCCCAAGACTAAGGATAGTGCTGCTGACCCTGATCAGTCACCTACAAACTATACATGGTCTCGAACAAACTCAGCGATACACGCAAAAGAACCTGAGGATAATCATCAGACCGTTGAGACTGGAGGTGCAGGAAGGGCTTGTAGGGGATTCGATCGCCCGAGTAGCGCGGGCTCCTCTCAGTTGGATTCTAGGGTGCGGGCCATGCTCTTCCACAATGCCTATATCTCCACCCCGTCAAAACCACACGTAGAGGATCACAAAAAGACATATAGCCTTGAAGATCTGTTTCAAATGGCAAAGCAAGTGTCCCCGCTGGTTACAACTACAAATCCACCCCATCACCCTACTTATATGGGGATTTCAGACGGACTATGCGAACAGAAGAATAAAAGCCAACATCCCCAAAAACCGAGAAACAGGGAACCTTTGACTCAGGAACCATCCTGGAGGCGGTCCTATCGCGCTTGTGAATACACGAAGTGGAGGACACAGTTCTCTCCGTCTCCATATAGCATATCCAGGGATACAGACCGTGTAACCAGGAAGGGAGCTGCTGAATGTCATTTCAATAGAGGTCAAAGATCAAGTTGTTCGCCAAAAGCCAGGGCCACGAGACAACTAGCCTTTTACCCTTACCAGAGTCGTCCGAACGGTCAATCCCGCTCTCTTGTGGCACCTGCACCACACCTTTCTACGGAATATACCCCTAGCCTTGGGAGAGATAGCCCGTTACTAACCTACAGCCGCCAGACCCAGCAACGATCCCAGGTCTTCCAGCCCATACGACAAGGAGAATCTGGAAATCTGCATAGACAACCTCTAGGCTTATACCTTGAAAATCAAAGTGCCACTAGTGCGCCCACTTTCAATCACCAATACCGCCTCTATGGCTCTCCGCCTCACTTTAACCTACCAAACGACCCACAATCCGATTTTGTAGACCTAGAGTTTGAATTTACTCAGGAGGGGCTTTTGGGCCAACGTCTGCATGCGCTGGATGATGAGATTCGTACTTTTCAAACCCCTTCCGAACATGGCAGAGATACTCCGCATACGCCGCAGAAGCTTCGCACACCTTCACCTTCAGAATCCAAGGCACTCCGCTTCCCTCTTGTGGGAGCTACAGATGAATCAAAATTAAATGTGAACCCATCGCAATTTTGGCGGCCAAATAGACTCTACTAATATCTCCAAGTACGATAGATGCTGTTTTACCTGTTTCTTTGGAGCTGCTGGCGTGGGTATATATACCCCCTACTTCTACAGATTTGAAATATGTGATATTCTTATTTTACTAGATACTCACATATCTTATAATTAGCTACAGTCGAAAAAGTAGAGGCTAGCGAGGACGGTTTGATTGAATACAATGTGTTGACATTCGAGTTGCATATTTGTATTAAAATTAATGGCTGAGTTTACGTCGCGTTGAATGCCACTTTAACTGTTTGGTGTGGTATGTCAAGTTGGAGCCTCATCGGCCCACTTTCGGGGTATCTTTCAAGCGACCTTCAACCACCTGTACGTCCATGAGCCCACGTCGCCTCACACTTCAAGATGCAGGGCTCCATCTGTCAGCCATCAAAGCCGTGTTGAAACAGGCAAGGTCGATCTATCAGTTATAGCCACAGAGATCTTGCTTGCCAGAGTCTCGAGCAGCTGTGGCTGATATTGACTAACTAGTCAGTGGTGGTAAAACCTGAGGTAACGACCTATCATTTGCATGAGTGAGCCGTGATTTGCATCTGCCACGGGCGGGCGGCCCGTTGCTGCATGTCCATTAGCTGCCCATAGCGGAACTATATTTATTCTATCGCTAGTTATGGCGCACATCGCGGAGCAAGTTCGGTTTTCACAATGCAATGCAATGCAGCGGCCCCGTCAAGAGAGCGAATGCCGACGACCATTCATATCGCCTGCAAGTGAAAGTGATACACGAATAGCGAGATACTCCTATCCCGACAGGCCAATGATGATCAGCTCTGGCGAATTGCCGAAATGTCAGTTACAACAGCAAACCCGCCGCGGGGGGTACAGGCCGTACCGCCTCACCATCGATCCTAATTTCACAGTCGAATACAATTCGCCCAAGCTTGATGACTCCGCCGCGTTGGCTTCTGTGGCTTGCATATTATCTCGTTGGAGCCTAAAGACATGTCTAGACCGCAACCCACTATACGGCCGTCCATGGGGATAAGCTAGGGAGCTCCGAAGGCATAACATATCCCATGCCTGTTAGCCCAACTTGAAGGGCCCTCTGCACTCGATGAGCCGCAAGGGGTGGGCTGTGGCTGGCTCTAGAACCCGAGAGAGGAATGGCCTTCCTTCGCACGGTAAACATAGCTCGAGCCAGGCAATGCTAAGATGTCTCCCGCAATCAACATCCATGTGGAGCATGAATGTACGTCTAGGCTTTGGAGTATAAGGGTTCCGGGCTCTAGAGCATATTATCCAGCTCAATCGCAGTTTTCCACTTAGCTGCTTAACCGAATCTGTTGCCAGGAGGCGTTCGTCGGGCGTGTTTTTTTGCATCAAGATTGCAGGATTAGTCCAAACCTCCTGTCATGGACACCATTTCTTATTGCTTGCGCCACATCTACAAAGTGCTTGGAGTGATCAACAATGGCCCTGTCAGTGGAACGGCAAAGGGCCCATCTTTTCTATTCCCTGTTTCATTGCAGTTTAATCGATCTTACGGAGATGCTGGCTCGTCCGCGATGCACTCCTCTCCTCACCGCTCTTGGATACGAAACGATTTCCCAGCTGTCGACCATACAGTGGTACGGGGCTTCCGGTTATCAGGCAGTGCAGGGCGGCAAACGCTCGAGTTTGGCCCCATCAAGCCCATCCCACAGATGCGAGTGGATAGGACTGTAACTATCAATTATTGAAGCATAGCGACATGCATGCTAAGGGAACTATGTTGCTTTTCAGAAGGTATATTCTCCAGTATGGCGTCCCACTGCCCACCAGCTAAGTAGGGAGCAGCCCTTGGGTCCGGGCAAAATGTTACATGTCACTGCGTCGGTCATGCCCTTGTCATGCAAATTTTGCCGCTAGAACTATGCCCCTGGTGCGACTGGTCAAGCCGTTAGATTAAGAGCTAGAGGAACTCGGGGCTTAAAATTGCCATTCCATTCTAACTCTTCGGTGAGCACATAGCTCCGTGCATTTAGATTTAGGGCCCAGGCCCAACTGTATACTCTGGCCAGGCCAGAGTGTGACGGGGGTCAAGAGATATACAATATCTGATCAACGATTTCAGATATCGCTAAGCTAGTCTACAATTCTTGGTCCTCATGGAGATACCTGAACACGTATATCCACATTCTGGGTATATAAGAAGTCATTTCTTCCCACTCAAATTGTGAATACAAGACCTTCTTCAGCTCACATATACTCCCGCATCTAGACAGCACCAAAAAAATCCGCCCCCCTCTTGAAACTCCTTTCTCGGAAGACGAGACAAAAGCCCCTAATCGAACCTTGCCACTTTTGGCTGAACGATCTGATAGATACAACTCATGTTGCCTGGACGCCAGCTTCCTCTGACCAGGGTCAATCTTATGTACCTCCAAGAGTCCTTACGAGAGGTAAAAGCTTTCATTTCTTCAATGTTTCACCTTCATCCTCCTTTATGGTCAAGAGATCTTGTATGGTTGACCAGATATTGGGACTTATAGGAATCTGATACGGATTCGACAGAAGCAGATGTTCTGGTACAGACTGAAAAAGCCCAAGCTTCAAGAAGAACACGGTGCCCTGGAGCTATGGCATCCTCTGGCAGAAATGGAGAGGTTGCGGTTCCTTGTCCTAAATGTTCGCCCAGTTTGCTCCACTGCCGGACATGCATCGACCATGCCTTCACATCAATTCCAACAGGCTCGGCGGCGACAACCACATCCACATCCACCCATTTACTAGACGCTATAAAGGATATAGCACCCTACAACCAACCCTCCTGCTTCAGGACTGACCACCCTGTTCAACGATATCTCACTCCTGGAACCCCTTATGACCCGCCGTTGGTTTCCAAGACAGCCCTTGAAGATTTGAACATCAGATATTCTGACAGAGACTCAGTCTATAAACGGTTCCTTATTGCAAAGGCCAACTACAAGGATACCAAGAATAGCTATTATAAGGACATTTGAGTGATCAAGGGGTAGAACTCTTGAGTTATATCGATATTGGCAAAACAGGCCGAGGGGGAGCGTACATCGTGGGATCCAGTCTTTAAGAAATATTTCCTATGTCTTTTGTTTTAATTTCTACTCTGATCTGCCTGGAGTATTGTGCTAGCTGTTCATATGCGGGATTGAATTGGGTTAATTAATATTGGTTATTTGGATATCATACTTACCGCAAGCAAATGCATATCATTTATAAACATGACCGTTAATCCCCTCTTCAGCACGGGTGTGGAGGTCAAATTGAAAAGTATCCTTGTCCTTTATTGTTGGTGCGGGCTATTGTCCAGTAAGCTCATAGACTAAAAACCTACCACAGTACTCCGTATGATGCTAGCTAGATGTAAAGGAGGCTGGCCCTTTGACGCTTAACGGTCAAGGTAAACCTAAGTTTAATTATTTGAGGATTACTTGATAGAGGTCGGAAATATTCCTTCTAGTCTCATGGGTATTCTCCGCCTTGGGTTTATATGTAATGTACAAGCTTTTAAACACTGGTCACTACCGAAAATTAGATTAATGCAAGCTCCTCGCCCGAGGAAGGTGAGCCGGCCATTTATTCCGCTGATGTTAAAGGTTTTCAAGATGATATTGCCTTCACCCGTTGACATTGAGAGAATAGTAGATACGAGGAGTCGGTGCTCCCTCGAGCATGACCAAACCCGAATTCTCAGCTGCCTAGTTTTCGGATCCCTCAAAATGTAGCTCTCTGAATCATCATCTCTTCTCTATTTCCCGTCGTTTATCCATGCCAAGGCCGGTATAAAGCTCAACTTTGTGTGCAAATGAGATATTTTCATATTTCGTTGCAATTATAACTTCAAATCTCGGGTATCATACAGTAGGAGTAGCACACCAGCCTCGCTTCTAGGTGTCAAGGATGCAGACAGAACATTAAAGAGATGCAAATGCGCGTTGTGTTTTTTCGGTCCATGAAAGTCCCTTACTTCCCGAGATTGAAACGTCGATTGGGTATTTCCATTCCATCACTTTCCCCCATCCTAATTCAGGGTTAGCATAACAAAATCCCGCCAGCTACTAATAGCCATGCAACACAGGGCGGATAAACACATACCCCAATACGCACACCTCCTCCCCAGAAACTTGCCAACAAACGGTATTAGGACCAGTGTCAGGAGCATTTCCAGCTGCTGTATGCTTTCTCTCCACTCTGCTTCGGCGTCCGAGTCGTCATCACTGGTTACCGATAGATCGTTATCTAAGAATGAATCGGATCCGGAAGAGGACGGGAGCGAGGCAACATCATCCTCAGAGTCAGAGGTGGGCCTGGAGGTGAATGTAAAGGCCGAGGAGGAGAGAGAGCTCGGTTCGAAGGTAGATGCAGAAAGCGACATGTTTGGTTGCTCGGGAGGTCGTATGGGCCTATAGCTGGTGTGGCAGCTGGACGTACAACTGCTATATCGGCCGTGGATAAAACCGAGTGTCCTCACCGGCTCGACGAAGCTGTCAACTCGGCCTGGTCTTCGTCTTCTTCTTCGTCTTCGGCTTCGTCCTCTCCGGCTTCTTGCTATCTCGAAGTCGCGATCCTGCGGTGTCAAGAGGCTTGCTTAGTCAACTTACCACGTGATATAAACCCGCCGACTGCTCTTTTGGCTCGCAGGTTGCCACCGCTGGCCCTGCGCGCGACAAGGAGGGCTTGATATAAATATATTTAACATTCTCAGTCTCTGTTCACCCCCTAAGGACGCTCAAGAGAGTAGGACGCTCCGTGAATATAGCTGCAGAGAGCATTTAGCTGTCAATCATGGCCGATACTGTACGTCATTTTAAATTTTCCTGCCCACAATAAGTTTATCCACCCTCAAAAATCCCCGCGGCTTGCAATATATGTGACTCCTACACCACCAAGGCAATACCACTTGAAAGCAGGCTAACAAAAGGAACCCATTACTCTTGATAGGAGGTTGCGCTTCCAGAAAGGAAACACCGAAAGTCAGTTGCCTTTAGCGAAGGCGCAACAGTTATGGACGCAAACGGTACCATTTCCGAGGCTAACTATGCTGAGGATAAGACAACGGCCGAAAAGCACACTGCTGGTATGTCCGCGGTTTCATTATTCCTCAAGCGGCCTGCTAGGTATTTCTTCTGCAGTAACTAATCTAATTATTCATGACGTGTAGTGTCGCCTGACCAGGAAGTCGACGAGATGACCGATATGTTCAAGGGCCTAACGAAAAAGAAGAAATCAAAGAAATCGAAGGATACAGACGCAGCAGAAACTGGAGAAGACGGTGGTGCGGCTGACGCCGAATTCGACCCTTCCACGATTAAGAAGAAAAAGAAGAAGTCTTCGAAAAAAACAACGGATGGCGACTTTGAAGCTAAGCTTGCACAAGCTGGCTTAGCGGAGGAGGCTGCTCCTGAAGAGACGCAGTCCCCAGAGCAGATTATCGAGGCACTCGAGAGCGGAACCGGAATTTGGGCCCACGATGCCACGCAACCCATCAACTACTCGCTGTTGGTGACTCGCTTCTTCAGTCTTATCCACAGCCACCACCCTGATCTCCTGGCCAGCGGTTCGAAATCGTACAAGATCCCTCCTCCCCAGTGTCTGCGTGAAGGAAACCGAAGAACCATTTTTGCCAATATTCCCGATATCTGCAAGCGGATGAAACGATCCGACGACCACGTCATGCAGTTTTTGTTTGCTGAATTGGGAACAAGCGGCAGTGTTGACGGTAGTAGACGACTAGTGATTAAGGGTCGTTTCCAACAGAAACAGATTGAAAACGTCCTGCGACGATATATTGGTTCGTTTATCATAGGGATCCCTTGAACGTTGTGAATAGCGTGACTAACCACCTTGTTTAGTTGAGTATGTTACCTGCAAGACGTGTAGGAGCCCGGACACGGAACTGAGCAAAGGAGAGAACCGTCTTTACTTCGTTACTTGCAATTCCTGTGGCAGTCGACGCAGTGTCACTGCTATCAAGACTGGTTTCCGTGGACAAGTCGGCAAGCGCAAAAAGCAATAGAAAGTTTACTATTAAGCGTCTTGAAGACCGCCTTTTCTATCCACAAAATCCGGCGAACGAGTCAATTGTCCGTTCAATTACTCGCTTGACCTTCTCCGATCCTCTCACGGCCCCGTTTCCCCGTTCGTGTCCACCTCCTCGTTTTTTTTTTACAATTTGTACGGGGTTGCTGGATTTTAAATTGCATTTATGAACAGTTCCCCTTTGTTCATGTCACTTGGCAAACGGGTTTCCCGACCTAATTTTTTCTTTTTCAGGTGGAACAGAATGAGACTCCGAAGTGGATGAATGTTAAATGACTTTTTCTACATAGTATAATTAGAAGCCATGATCATGTCCTACAATTAGAACTGCGCAACGTTAAAAGTGAAGCAACCAAAGATAGCATATCTTGGGTTATTGGAAGAGGTATCTAATAAAAATTTGAAACAAGAGAAAGTCGTAAAATGTATTTGGCTTGCATGCAACACTACTAACTGTAATCGCTCATCTGATAATCCCTTTAGGCTGCGGCTCCTCCGTGTGCAAGCATCCAGGTTGCAAATGCAGCAGGATTTCTTGTCTGCAAGTAGATTGTTCCCGGGCCAGTGAACTTGCAGACGAGGCCTTCGCCGGCACTAAGATTCGATAGCATACCACCAGAGGCGACGCGCTCCATGACATACTTGGAGTTCCACGCGACGAGGTGACCGTTGTCGACGATATATTTCTCACCATCCATCAACTATATTCAATGTTAGTTTACGCCTTCTTGGGTACGGACTAAACAGCTGAAACTTACGTCTTTCCTTATGATCGCACCAAAACTCTGAATGAACAGGATACCAGTCCCGCTGATCTTATAGACGAACAGACCTTCCCCGGAGAAAAAGGCCTTGCTCAGGCCCTGGTTTTTATAGTCCTTGACTATCCCCTGTGTACATGCAAGGAACGCATCTTTACCAACGGACCACTGCTCCTGTCCATTGAGTTTAAGGAGGGAGATATCACCAAGCATGGTGGGCGCTAGCAGTAATTCACCAGGCCCGGTATACGTTGATGAGGACATTTCGCCGCCAGCAAGCATCTTTTTCATAGAAAACTTCACAGATCCCTTCAGCGATACGGTGGGAGACATCGCAATCATGGCACCTACAGGTTTGAGAGCTTAGAACAAAGCTACGACGAATGAATAGGAGATATCTCGTTCGTACCTGGCTTTGCAGTCAATGGGCAGCCCATCGCTAGCTGGATTGTGAGAACCGAGTTGGTGTCTCGATGGCTGATACGGTAGCTACCGCCGTTAAATGTGCCAACATCGTCTGCAGTGGTAGCTTGCGTGCCAACGAACTGGCCGGAGGGCGGGGCGCCAGGCATATTACTCTCGACCTGCATCGGCGGTGTTTGGGCTACCAGAGGAGGAGGCGATCCAGCATTTGGCGGTGGTGGTGGGTAGTGGGCGGCGCCGCCTTGAGGTGGAGGAGGGTAGCTATACGGCGCTTGCTGCTGCTGCTGCTGATGTTGCTGCTGTTGCGGTGGTTGTTGATATCCGCCCTGGCCGGGAGGAGGGGGATAGTAGCCTCCTTGTGCGGGAGCATGCTGTGCTTGGAAGGCCATTGTCTGTGGGATATATACGGATCACGGTGAATATGAGGAGGAGTATTGACTGGCAGCTCGGCCTGGTTCAGCGAGGAAACAATGAATACTTGAAAGACCTGGAGGCCGAAGTGTTCTATATATACTCCATCTATATATGACAGCGTTAGCGCCAGCGGGCGGTCTTTTGGGCTGCGACAGGGATTGGGCGCTTGAGCTTTTGCAGCCCCTTGACTGGACTAATTATGCATCTAGTTTTCGGCCAAACACTGCCATTTCATTCACAGTTCAACTTTATTGTTAGTTGTACATGTTAGTCCAGCTTCTGGTTGGCCAAGCGGACAGGATCCCCCTCAGCCCGGCCTGCCTGCCCATCATCGACCAGGTTCGCAGGCTGCACCGCAATGAAAACCGTTTATTCCGCTCCTCGCTGCGCAGGCTGAAGCGAGGCCGTTGGAGTGAGCGTTGAGTCGCGAGTTGACCGCTGGGCAGCTTGCTGCGCCCAAAACCCCCAGTTAATACGATGCACGGAGTCAAGGAGGGGCATTCTGGGTTTTGATGGAGTTAGTTATACGAAATAGGAGGCATAGTTAAGGCCATCCATCCCCTAAGATCAACCGACGATAGAGGAACGGGCTGTGCAGCTAGGCTACTTGGCGAACCCTGGGAACAAAGTGGACAAAGGCGCAGACATCCTGACAAAAAAACACCAAAATACGATACATTCTTCAAAGTTCAAGGTTGAACCTGAGGCTCAAAATAACCAACCCAAGTACCAAAGCGAATCTTCATTTAACCTCCCATCTTATAATAGCAAATCTTAATCGTACAGTTGGCCCGTAAATATCCTTCTGAGGTTTGATGCTGAGGGACGATAGCAGTGAATGCGAGATTGAATTAGGATATGGCATTATGCGAGGTAGAGGATGAGAGGTCGGTCGTCACGAGGGAGGAGTCCATAGCCAGCCTGACCGGTCGAAACACGCCTCGAATTCAACGCCGCCGAATAATCCAAGTGCACCGTAGAGGTCATAATCACCTTCCAGGCCGCCAACTCCACCGCTGTCCTCATCGGTCTCCTCGTGGAGGTTCCAATTTCCCACCTTTTGGCCATTCCGGGTGAAGAATACTTCAACCAGCAATGGCGTCCTCTTTGAGCTCATAGGCATTTGCGGTGGGTTGTTTGAATTCGAGATTTCAGGGGATAGAGAGAAAGTCATCCCGAGACCAACTGTCTCTCCAACATTAAACTCAGTGGTAAACTCATGTCCGCCCCAGGAATCATTCACAAACCGACACCCATCATCAGAGAAAACGCCTAGACTGCCTCTCTCCCAGCCGGGCGATCGCCATGCTGGGTATGGCTGGGCTGCAAATCCTATTGAGAACCCTGGCACTTGATCCGCAGTCCCACCGTATAGCCCGAGGAGCTTCACCTCGAAATATATCGTCTTCGTCATTTCCGTCATCAGCGGCGAGTCTTCTGCCGCAAAATATACAGGTAATCCGCTGAGAATAATACAGTCTCCGTTGCCGTCATACGTACGACCCCTCCAGCGCCCGTTCCCGATAAGGTCGAGGCCGCCGTTATATTCCAAAGGGCGGACTGGCCGGATATCGCCATGCTTGACGGCATCGTACACTGCCGGAGATGGCTTACACGGGATCCATAGGGGTGTGTTATCACAGAAATCATGAGCGCGATCAGCATCTTCCGCAGATGCATTGCCAGTATTCGAGTATAGATAACCCTGACTTGGTGGTGGTGGTAGAATGGATGTATCTGGCACTGCCTCCTGCCAGTTGTGGTATGGAGGAGGGTTGTCCGATGGGATGCCAGGCTGGGGCGGATTCCGGCTTGAACTCGCTTTATCAGCAGAGCCAGATTGTTCAGGCTCAAAGACCCTTCTCTTCTCATCCGCAGTAGAGAGACCTGACATATTAGCGTTAGGTGGTTGAGCTATAACTGGTTGAGCTGGTTGAGCCGGTTTTTGTTTCTTAATGTCAGCTTGTTGAGCAGTAGAAATTGGCCTGTTTGGAGTTGGATTTGTTTCTGTTGCAGTCCCGCTGGAACAGCAGTCAAAGAAACCCATATTCTACTGGGAACAAGAGGTGGAGAATGTAAAAGTAATCCGCGTCAAAAACAATGCGGGAAACTTGGAGCTGTAAAGTGCAGATGTTGTATATTTATACTATCGAGGAGGGTTTGCCTATTACGTCATCGTGATGGGGTACAACATAGCCACAGGCAAAACTATGGGATAGAAAGTATCAGCCGAAGGGATGTGTTATTGTATCAAGAAGTTAGTTGTTGAATTTTTGTTTGGTTTACAAGCTGCTCCCCTGAAACCTAACTACATAACTAAACAAGAGCGTGGAACTGTTGGAGAAACCACGCAGGGCTTAATGGTGGAACAATCGGATGCGCTGCTCAACGAAGACAATGCCCAGCTTTTCAGCAGTTTCAAACACTGGTCCATCGTTCTGGCTGCCGCTTGGTGCTGCCATATATTTAACACCTGATCGTGCGGCACGGAATACGTTGTCGATGAATGGGAACTAGTAGGATTTGTTAGTTGCCTGGATGTCGTTCGAGGAAAGACGAGCAGAAACGAAGTCATGAGGGAAGAAAGAAATACTCACAAAGGCATCCGAGGAGATTGCCACCTCGGTCAGCTTTTGTAACCATGCCTCGCGCTCCTCAGAAGTAAAGGGGGCGGGCACCTCCTCAAACACACGCTCATAATCCGCCTTCTCGACATCGGAACGTGGAATCTGTCCCGAGCACAACATATCAATGGCATTACTCTTGTCTGCTCGCTTAACTCCGGCCTTCCACTTGATGCCGAGCACGCGGTCGTGGAATCTCATCCACCAGTTGTCAGTCTTGTCACCGGCAAGACGAGTGCAGTGAATTCGGCTCTGCTGGCCAGCGCCGAGGCCAACGACTTGGCCATTAACAGCATAACATACGGAGTTTGATTGCGTGTATTTCAAGGCAATAGTAGCAACTGTAAGGTCACGGAGGGCAGGCTCTGGCAATGAGCTCATGTCCTTTGGTGTAACTATAGTGTTGAATGTGTTTTTGGGGCAGATGACGGCGTCATTTCGGCGCTGGGAAAGCTGGACGCCATAAACGGAGCGGGTTTCTTCATTTGGAGGGGTGTAGTTCTCGTCCATCTCGAGAACAAGGTACTTGCCTCCCTTCTTCTTGGAGAGCAATGCTAGAGCCTCGGGGGAGTAGCCCGGTGCGATAACACCGTCTGAGACTTCACGAGAGATTATCTTCGCGGTAGGGACGTCAACTACGTCTGAAAGTGCGATAACATCTCCGAAGCTAGACATCCGGTCTGCGCCTCTTGCACGAGCATAGGCCTGTGCCAGGCCAGATTCATCGATGCCCTGGATGTCATCAACCATGTAGGCCTGCTTTTCCTTATCATTCAGCGGGATACCAATGGCAGCACCAGCGGGCGAGACATGCTTAAAGCTAGCCGCAGCGGGGTATCCAAGAGCTTGCTTCAGCTCCTTAACCAGTGGCCAGGCATTCAGGCAATCAAGGAGGTTGATATATCCAGGAGCTCCGTTCAGCACTTTGAAGGGGAGTTTCCCGCTCCTCACGAATGCCGATGCGGGGGCCTGGTGGGGGTTGGCACCGTAGCGGAGCTGGATATATTGAGCTCCCTCGCCGGCGTATTTCTTTCTGAAGAATCCAGAGATGGCTTCATCGTAATCTGCCGTGTGTTCGAATGCCTTTAAAGCATACAGCTTCCGGGTCTCCTCACTCACCCCGCCGTTGCCCAATTCCTTCAGGAAGTTTCCATAGTCCGCAGGGTCGCTTAGAATAGTAACACGGGCATGGTTCTTTGCAGCCGCACGCAGTAGAGTGACGCCTCCGATATCAATCTCTTCCACGGCACCTTCGACGGTGACATCAGGCTTTGCAACGGTGTCCTTGAAAGGGTACAGGTTGCACACGACAAAGTCGACTTTGGCTATTTTCTGGTTTGCAAGGTCTTGCTGGTCGGATTCGATATTGCGGGCGAGAATGCCGCCATGGACAGCTGGATGGAGAGTCTTTACACGTCCTCCGAGCATCTCTGGGGCTTGGGTTATGGAGGAGACATCTCTATTGACGGCAACAGCCTGGTCAGCAACCACGTATCTTCTTCGCCAAACACCAGGCATACACTCACTCTACGGCAATCCCAGCGTCTCTGATCATCTTGGCCGTTCCCCCGGACGCAACGATGCGGACATTCTGGCTGACTAGACCCTTGGCCAGGTCCAAGAGACCGGTCTTATCGTAGACGGATAGAATAGCTGTAGGACAAGGCGTGAATTGGAGTTAGCTGTTAGCCGCAGTGTCTATACATCCCGTAGCCATTAGCAAGCTTACCTGACTTTTGTTCTGCCATTGTAGCTATGGATGAGAAGATGGTCCCTCAATTGACTCGATTTTTTTTTTCTTTGATATACGGAAGAGGGGCCACGATAACTGCAACCCCGCTAGTTAATTAATATGCAACGAATGCGCCAAGTTAACTTTTAGTTACCAGGCGGACAGCCGAGTATAAAATACTTTTCAGCTTTTTCTCTTCTCGCCTGATATTACCATATTCAATAGATATATATGATCTGACAGGCCATCGTTAAACTATCTGTCTTCTTCTTCTCTGGGATGTCAAGGCACTTCACGAAACGCTGTCTAGCCAACCTGGATGATAATGCTGCATAGATCTTCACGGAGCAACCAGGTATACGCCCCTGGCCTGGACGAGGTAACTATTTAATTGGCCAAAGGGCGTCATTCAGTGTTCGTCTTATAAAAGGGCCCAATCCGCTGCATCGACAGATTCTTGTCTCGATTTTTTTTCTATCTGCTTTGCACTCCGCGCATAAACTGCTCTAGAATGGATGGCCAACCTTGCTATTTCCTGAGACTGCCACCAGAGCTCCGAGACGAGATTATATATCTGGTCTTCTTCTCCAAGGGAATCTCTTCCGTCCTCCGTCGTGGCGGTAAAATAAACGAACCAATTTATCCGGATGAGCACGAACCCATAGATATCCATCTTCCACGTTCTCCTCCACAGGAATTCTCTGGTATAGCTATCCTCCAAACATGCCATCAGCTCCGAGGCGAAGGAGAGAGGGTTCTATATTCAAATATTACCTTTGGCATCCTGTTCAGGCACTCGATTACGACATTTATTGATAGGATAACTGCCAGACAGCGGAGGTTGGTCCGTCGCATACAGGTTGAACTGCATTCCCCCAATGGCTACCTATGGCAGGTTCCTCCCTGCGAATGGAGGAATGTGATGGAGCTGGTTTCTCGCGACTGCACCTCACTCCAGATGCTTCATTTCATATTTCCGCTTGACCCTGTTGAGAGGGAAGGGCTGTTGCGGGTTTTCAGCACCGGGAAATATCACACAGTGCTCGCGCCCGTCCGTCCCCGGCAAGGAATAACATGTACATTGGGCGGACGAGTTCTCCCAGATGATGACGAGCTTGCAGGGGCTGTTATCAGTCAACTAGGGCTCGCAGCTCGACAAAACTCGGGCTTTACACAATACTCATCACAGTTCCATTTCCTTCGTCTTCCCCTGAAGATCAAGCAGCGCATATTACGATATTCTCTCATTCCTCCCTTGGAGGTCATTCATCCCTGTCTTTCACCAGTGACAGATGGCACAATAATAAACGTTCTCCCACTGTTCTTAACATGCAAAGAAATCTATCGAGAGGCTGAATCTATCCTCTATCAAGAAGCTGTCTTCTCTTCATGCTCTCCAAGATACGAGAAAGCCATGCGGAGGTTTTTATATAATCGTACACATCGCCAGCTCCAGCTCATGCGACGGTTCTTCTGTCATAGCATGGATCACTGGCTTGATAGGCGTATTGATAAGTTCCTCCAAGCGCGGAGCCCAGATATCGAAGATCTCCAGTATAAGATGGAGGGCCGCGAGTTCCAACACCCATGCCTTTCTGAGCTATGATTTGTTAGACATTATATATTAGGCTATGCTTTGGTGAAGTAATGAGCTACATCGAATAGACAATTCCTACATATCCGATGAACGCCTACATTTCTTAAAATCAGGTACCGGCGATACTAACGCCAACCATAGCCAACTCATGATTTCAATATTTGCACTGCGAACCCTAGCATGTCCTACCTCTACGTAAATACCGTCGCCAGCGACACAAGGGAGGATGGAGGCACGAACGCGTTGTTGTCTAAGGCCATTGTGGTCTGTACGCGTCCTTAGGGCTGGATGGCTGCTTCCCATGGCTTTGAACGGCCTTCGGAGCCGTTCGAGCTGAGATATCGCCCGTGGGGATTCAATCCCTGGCCATCCCCCGAGCGAATGCCGTGCAATACGCAGAAGCTTATCGTGGCCAGCGCATCAGAGTCCCAGTCAAGGGATGCGAGTGGTCTTGGGTGACAGAAGCAAAAATAACTCTCCAGAATATCTACCAACGAAGAAGCTGGGTGAGATATGTCAGTGAGTGTCAACCGTTGAGGCACCGCTACTGGTCTGTTTCAGACATCGATCCCCCCATGCACGTCCAGTTTCTTGCATATTTTAGACCGTGATAGCGACGACGCAATGTAACCGTGCTGTGATTGCTTATTCTGTGGTGCCACACTTCTCGCGCCCTCCTTGCCGGCCGTTGGCGAACCTGATTCGAATGGAAGCACGGCGGAAGAGACAGTGGATGCGGCTGCTGTGCATTATATTGGCCCGTTGCTGAATAGATATCCGTAATAATTGGCATATCAACAAGCCACTATACATATCTCGGCGATATCAATTTGTGCCAATGATACTCGGGAGCGACGATCCTTGTTCCAGGCTTCCTAGATACGGGGCACTCCATAGCTAGACATTGGCGCTCGATATCACATCCTATCAGACACTGCTGGATCGCAAGGGGATCCGCTGCTGGAATCGATCTCCCTGTTCCTGGACCATCTGGCCACCACCACCAAGGTCTCGACTGCACAGAGAAACTGGCATCCTCGTGGGTTTGCCAGCAACGAGCGTAACGCCGGCCAACTCCACCATCCTGCTTCCTAGAATCGAGCTCCGGGCAGAGGAGCCTCCATGGATCCTGCGGAACTCCGAACGTCGTCTTTCTTCCTCGACTTGAAGCAAAAAAGAAAAGAAAAAATGGACATGATGACTAAGCTCTCTATGTGGTGGCAAAAAAAAGCGTGACTTCGGCCCAAAAAAGCGAAAACGGCTTTTTCTTTTCTTTTCTACTCCCCGAGGATAAAATGAACGACAACGTACCGGGTGGAATGCAAATGCAACGGTGCCTGTGTGAGGAGAAGATGGGACAGGAGAACACAGTCCTTTCTCCTATTGTGCCTGTTTGCTCCCTTACACTCATCTGTCTACCTCAATGAGGCCTCCACCGTGTCCTTTGTTCTTTGCTTACGGTTAGTTAACTCTCTGTTCAATTCAAGCTCGCCCTTCCCTTTATTTTATCTGTGATAGCAGCTTCATCTTGGCTAAAGGGCTAGCAAAGTGTAAGAAAGACACTATCATGATATCCCTATTCATTTGCTGTGTGAAGGATACCTCTTCACGGGTACAGCTGCCTTAGTGACCTTCTATTCCCTTCCTGCAGCTTGTTTGTGGCATCTTATTACATAGGTAGACTTGCTAACTGTTGTGAAGAAATAGTTACTACTATAAATCTGCTGCCCAGCTTTATATACTTTATCTGACTTCCCCTGTTCCTTGCATATCGATGGGTCTCCATTGAATGCATCTCCAAACACTATTATCTTTTATGTAAGGTTTTCCAGTTTGCTGCTCAACAGGAATGTCTAGACCTTAGCTTAGCCTAGGGCTGGGATATTGGTTGTTGCGTAGCTGATTTATGATCTTGACCTCTCCCTATTGCGTTTGTTATATCATTTTAACAGCCACTTATCCTCTTGGGTGTAGCATCAACACAATAACCCCTTTGCTTAGTCGCTCGTTTCATCTGGTTCTCCTTAAATTTCTTGTCCTCGTGCCTTTATTCTCCTTGATATTGTGCCGTTCTTTGACGCAGTTAATCTGTGGTTGAACGACTTGGCTGTATTCCGCTGTGTCGTTTGTCATTTCTATCTTTTTTGCTTGATATTGATACCAGTGCGTCTTCTTCGGGACCAAATACGGCAACACGGAGACTCGTGGTACTTGAAGGAGCTCTGATCAGACGAGCAGTGTATTGCGGTTGCGTGCAAGATGCCTCCCGAAGAAGACATATACACTGACCGCGCCTCCATGTCGGAGGATGAACTGGAGGTAAGTGTAATTTTCTTCTCAGGAACCAGCCTCAGACATCTCTAACCCTTTCAAAGTTCTTTCGAGATGCTCCAGAATTCCCCTATGAAATTGATGACTTCATACAACGGCCTGTGTCCTCTCGCTCGGTTGTTAGGACCCCAAGCTCTAAGTACAGGGATAGGACCATCATCAAGAAACTCGAGGATGTACCGCAGCAGCCTCAGCTCCCTGAGGAAGGAGTAAATGGGGTTGATCATGCTCAGCCTAGTCCGAATGCCGTTGAGAACTCAGAGCCTCGTGTGGAAAATGGAGTGCCAAAAGCTGAGGGGAAAGGATTAGCGGATCAGCGATCAATTAGCTCCGAGATTTGCGTGTCTCCGTCTTGGTCGCGGGCCGCTGATAAGAAGCGAAAGAAAAAAGACCAGAAACGACAGGAGAGAGAACAAAAGGACTTGGAAAGAAGATTAGAGGCCGAATCGCGAAAAAGCACTGACACGACTACTAAGAGGGAGCCGAGGCGATTGACCAAGCGGTATCCACCAGTTAGCTCAAGCCGAGCGTCTAGTGCAAACAGCCGTATGCCACGTCCTTCGACTGCATCTTCGTTTAGGTCCTTCTGGTCAAACAGGTCATCTCGGGCTAGCTCTGTTCAAGGATCCGACACTGAGGGCCGGAAGAAAGTGCATTTTATGGACTCCTTTAAAGGTGACCCGAAGAATGGCACATGGTTCCCCCGGATGTGGCCTAGAAAATCCAAATCCAAACGCACAGGTCAAGGAGACCATGTTTCGGATTCAGAAGCACAACCGGAAAGTGCTCCAAGGCGTTCTTTACATACCGTGAAAAAGCACGGGGACCTCAGATCGATGGCCAGGACCCTTGATAGTGAAGATGTGGATGATCAGCGATTTGCCGCGGCTGACCAAGTCAAGAACGCAAGTCAAAATGCTGATCTATCCCTTAGCCACAGTAGCAGGGTGGGTGATTCTGGTAACCGGTCGCATAATGGGTTTACGCACTCGCCGGAAAATGATCCAATAACCCAGCAGCAGAACCAGATCTCGCCTCCAGTAAAAGGGGTTGTCATTGGACCTAGCAGTAGCAAGAAACGTTTACCTCGCGCCCCTATAACTCAAACTTCGGAGTTGTTGCGCCCTACAACTCCGTCACGGATACCACTTGCGGCTTCCCGGCCTGCCAACTCGAAGAGCCCCCTAGCCAGTCTAGAAAACCGCAGTATCACAAGGACTTCACTGGATAAAGGCCCTGCAGTAAAGGTTCCCCAAATTCCGGTGCATGATTTCGACAGGTCAACAGAAAATGCTGGTCAAACACCTAAAAAGGGTGACAAAGTGTCCGAGCCCAGGTCTCCCAATATATCTAAGAAAATCAACCGCACTTCTGAGTCCCGTCCCGCTACGAAGACAGAAATAAAACAACCCAGGAGCTTGTTTGACAACACAGATCTTGTTTCTCAAGACAAAGATTCAAACACCAAGGTCAACTCTCCTGTTGAGCCGGAGGTTGACATCAAAACTGCGACTCAAGAGCCTTCACACACGGTTGGCGAGGCTGTTGTTTCCGATACTCCGCCAGCAGCTATCTTGGATACCAGCAAACAGGATGATAAACCAAAAGGAACCATTAACTTCAGTCGTGCCGCGCGGTTGCGACCATCGCCGCTGTCAGGGCCCCCTCTTCTCAGCCCAGAACCCAAGGAGCTTACCACGGGAGATAATATAACTGCACAAAAGTCAACGGGGGAACCATCGCACGCTACAGCCAGCCCATCCAGACAAGGACGTCAACCAACCTTAGAATCCAGCGGCTCATCGAGAACTCGTCGACTTTCCCTTGACCGTTTTCTGAGGCCTGGTAGGGTGAAGAAGGCATCCGTAGTCGAGGTAGACGTTCCGCCTGCTAAACAAGCTGTAATTGACTCTACCCAACATCCAGGAGATGCTGGTGAACAGCAGGGCTCGGATAAAGATATATTGGGAGCCAAGAAACCCGCAACTATGACCGCGTCTGAATCTCAGAAGGAATTAAAGGACGTTAACGGTACTCAAAAGGACCAGTCACAGGATACCGATTCCCAGAAAACACCATTGGCAACTGATACGAAGCAGACGAAACCACGTCGTAATTCCATGGATATCATACAGAAATTCCGCCCTTCCATAACTAAAGCTGAGGTCAAGCTTAGGAAGAAACGGCCAATGTCTGCGGGAGTTTCTTCGGCTGGTCCACCTCCCTTGGAGAAATCGCCCACTACCAACACGAGGACCTCTAGTACCTCAAATTCTCCACTTCCATCGCCTGGGAATGTACATCCAGTTCGCGCGTCTTTCCCTGCCAGCATATCTACCCTCAAGAATATGAGGGAAGAAGGGGGTAATGACTACTTTACCAGACCCGTTGGTAAACCGTGGATTGGAGCGGATCAATTCCCGAGCTCATCTAGCTTGCTTGGATTTTCCAGTGGAAGTCCAGGCAGTTTATCCCGAGGCAATCGCCCCAACAACTCGGGTCAGCGTATAGCGAAAATGTTTGTGATATGCTGTAAGTGCAAGTTCTGGCATGACATGCCATCGGATGCATATGCGAAGCTTGCATTTCCTACTGTCGCTACACTGAAGAACAAATTGGCAGCTGGGAATGGCCAAAAGAGTAAAGACCTAGGGGAAGATATAATGGCGGGTTGGACGACGGTCTCAGAAAGGCCCAACTCCCCGTCAAATAGGATGAATGAAGAGGTCTCGAGAGCCGGCATGAATTTAACTGCTCTGGGCAGTAGAGAACATTCTCACTTCATGAATAACGGCAAACCTTCCTCTCCAGGTGCATCCCCTCGCTTCTCATTCCTCAACCAGTCTGTCATTAAATGCTGCTGGTGCGACCACAGAATGTCTCGAGTGTGTTGTGCAGGCTGGACGGCCGTTGTCCAGCTGCGTGAACGTCATCACTAGACATCAGCAGATCTCACACCCATCGAAACGAACCATTTCCACGGTGATCCATCATCTCGAGGACCCAAATGGTCCCCGATTCCAACGACCTAACGAGAAAAGCAAAATCAAAACTTTCACGATGACGACCTTATGATAAACAAATCATTGATAACACGATTAGAAGAAATGGAGGAGTCCTCTTTTTTTCCCCTTTCCCCCTGACCGTCATTCGAATCTTTTGGATTGGTAGGAAACTTCTCCACCCAGGTGATCACCATTTTAGAGCTACGTCGCATATGTCTTTCATGTTATAACGCGGATAGAATGCCGTGTGATGTGTTTCGGGTTTCTTTGCATCTTGTATTATTGCAATTTCTGTAGTTTCTATGCCATGAATGTGGTTGATCTGGCAGCCATAGTATAATGAACTCTTAAAAGACGAATTATCTTCCGTACAATTTCCAATTTTTGGTGACAATAGTTTAATTCAATAGCATAATCACACTATATGAGCTGATAAGGCCGTAACCGATCCCAGTAAATTTTGTAGAATATCCTCCAAGTCAACGTCCAAGCAATGTTGTTTAACTCCGTACAGTTTGCAAAGAAATGATAACATCATGCAACTGAAGAGCGCATGAATGGGAGGATAAATTTTAATCTCAATACCCCAGCGAAGAAAACAAGTAAGTGAATAAAATAAATAAGATATCAAATATACAGTAGGGAAAGCAGGAACGCGACAAGATATCGATATCGCCAAGTCCAGCCCAGAGAGCATAGAGACTCAAGGGGAGAGATGTGTATGGGAACTGAGAGCTATAATTGTGAGGTTTTGCATGGCCGGAAGCATGTCGGCCGTAATCGCGTCGATTAAACGAAAACCTAACGGTCTGGGGAATCATATATCATGGGTACAGATGGATGCAAGAATAGCGGCGTCAACGTCCTGTTTTCTAAAACCAGGCGCTCTTCCTAAGCAGATAGAACTCCTTGCTAATCCTAGAGATGGGGTCAGTTGAGAGGCTAGATAGTTTATGAATGATAAACTGTGCATTTATAGGAAAGGCATAGACAATAGATTGAGGTAATATTTGAACTTACGGGTGGTAAATTTGTCAACATCCATAATCAAGGTTTGCGAGCTGGGAGTCGTGGCATTACTATTGATGATTTGATCGACGTCGAGTCTTGGTGGTAAGAGATGAGGGTCAAGCCCAAGGAATTGCATTGAACCGTCGTTATGGCAGGGATAGGAATTGGAGAGAGTCGGGAGAGAATATGAGGATCCAGCTGTCGATGTGGAATTCTGAGAGTTATGTTGCGTATTAGGAGGTGTTATGAAAGTACCGGTAGCCAATGGTCCGCTTGGGTTTGTAACCACCGACGAGGGAACCTCAACGAACGTAGAGAGATTTTCGATGTGAATCCCCTTTGCTTTAAGATACCCTTCGACATCATGGCAGTCGAACCAGTCACCGTTAAACCCCAATTTTTCGATGAACTCTTCGACGTTCTTGAACTTCTGGGTCTCCCCAAACGGAGAAGGAAGTGCCCCTATTACCCCGTCTAGAGATTGCATGTTTGGAGGGAATATTTCATTCCCGAGATCGTCTCTGCGAGGGTAGTGCATTCCAGCTCTCCCGACACAGAAGATCGGGTTGTCCAAAAATTCTAGAGGTTCACCCGCGCCCTTGTGCAGTAGAGTAGTAAATGCATCGAGAAGACGACTTTTCATAGTCAGGTAGAAGGTGAGCCTGAACTTTCGGATCAACTGTTCTGGCCTAGTCCCTGGGTTTGTTAATAGCGAATAGCCAAATTCGAGGGAACGACGATGGAGATGGCGAGCAAAGCTTGCTTCCTGATAGCTATACGTAAAGCGTGTGTCGCGGTTGAAAAGATACGAGCCGCTAGAACGGGGTGAAGGAACAGTGCAACCGGACATAGCAGGCCGTTCCATGCAAGGGTTGCTAACAGGTGGTATATCGATGGAAGTGATGGCATTGTTCTTCGTGGGGGCGTAAAATTGGCTGAAATTAGCGGGTACGGTGTTCATGTATAAGAAATTATCGCCGTTATTCAAGTTGGCTAAGGGTTCACGGCCAAAATAGAACACCTCATTACCCATATTCTGGCATGAATCGTCACTCAAACTGGACCCATAGGACCCATTTGAAGCAGGTTGATGGGGGCTTTCCGTGGTGACAGGTTGAGGCAGTGATTCAGTAGGGCTGCTCAAATCCTCTGGGCTCCTGTCTCTCTCCGTGATCTCGGGGGCAAGCGACATGACACGTTTTGCGGTCGTTCGTAGTTGCTGTGCCAGCCGTGGGTGAGAGGAGAGTGCCCCGGTCCTTAGTACTTCATCGTTAAACGCAAGAAATGCTTTCCTCATTTCCTGCATGTTTGTCTCCAGCTCGGAAACCCGCTGGCTGAGAGACGATATTGCGGTTTCTTTCCGCATCCTGTACGCTCGCTGAGCGAGTCTTATCTGAGTCCGACGGCGCTGTTGGTAATGTTAGAATGCATCGGATCCAGTACTGGATGTAAGTAGTTTTTGGTATCGGACTTACTTCAGCAGCCGTCTTATCTGCGCAATCCACCCTCGGGCGGCCACGCTTCTTGCTTCCGTCCGTCGTAACTTCAGCTTCGTGTCCTGTCTTCTTCCGGGCATTTCCCTTTGCTGATACATTCTTCCGCTTCGTCTGCCCGTTGGACTTTTCCTTCTCTTTGCCGTGACTGACCACGGCTCTCCCTTCATCGCAATCGGAATACACCATCAAACCTCCCAGAAGCATCGGATGTTCCTCGACTGGAAAGCTGGTAGCGAGTGAGCCCGGCACAACATCTTGAAACGACATCGCCGAGAGTACGTCCAGATTATGACTTGAACTCGGGACGGAATACATGGCCATGGTGTCGAGGTGCGCAGCCCGTTCTCGAGGCTGAACCGGGCAACGACAAGGTATATATAAAGTAGATTAAGGCGCCAGAAACGAGTCGACGCAAAAAAAACCTTACGCAAAAAAAATCCTCGTCTGGTCCAGGTTCAAGTAGAAACAATTGGTGATGGAGTGGAGAGGCTGAAGCACGCAGGTTCAGCTGGAGGTACACCGTCGATGAACCAGGACCTGCTAGTGCTGATGGTGCATAACTAACGACTCTCGGCAGCGAGATCCAGCCGTTAAGCCAGTGCAGGATGCCGACACAGGACGGCGCGTATCCTCTCACATTTGCAGGCTGGTGGGAGTGAAGGCCGGTCGACTGGAGGTTTCGCGCAAGAAATACGAAGAGACCAGCGACGTCCGACTTAGTCAGGTCGAGCAAGGCCGCAGCAGCCTCGTCGTCCGGCGCTTGTTCTGAGGGTCTGATATCCGCCGAAGGGACGAGAACGATACGCAAGGATGCGATATAGAAGGGCAAGATGCGATCTCTGCCTGAGACGAAGGAAGAAGACGCCACTCAACCCCAGCTCTGCCGCAGATCAAACTCCCCTCTCCCTTCATCCCTACGTCGTGCATGCGGCTGGGAGATATCGTATGCTGAGTAACTCGTAACTCTGCATTCACCAATGGCCAGTCGCATCGAGACGACCAGGTATGTGGTTTGCCGTTGCGCGATCAGCCATTAACGGCACTCATAGCGAGATGGCGATGGCGATGGCGATGGCGTTGAGTCGATACTGATATTGATACTCCGTCAGGAAGCTGAGACTGAACCGCAGTCCGTATAGATGCAGGCGGAGCTGGATGTGAGATCTGTCGTGAATTATGGCTGTAACATTATATATAGACCAGTAACTGAGCCATGGAGCATATCAGCTAGAGTAGACAAAGCCTCGAGATGCTTGCCGATAGAAGGTCGCGTGGTAGATGAAGTCGACTGTAGATGTTTCTGATGGAGCTCGTCGTCGATGTGGATGCGCCTAAACATCGACATCCAGCGTCTTCTCCAGGCCAAACCACACAATAAACAGCGACGGCGAGAGACTCCTTGCAAGCAGCCGTCCATGCTGCGCTCTTCAGACAGCTAGACTTCATCTTCCTCCGCGGTATTTGGGCTCGTATGGCGCGCCAGAGAACCTCCTCCAATGCCTCCACGATCCCTTCGCTGCTGGATCGCACCCAGGTACGGACTCTTGATGCTCTCCCTGGCCATAGATACTCGTTACTGACTGCTCTGTTCTTCTTCTTGAGCGTAGGAGCTCGGCAGCATGTACGATTACCTGGCGAAGGTGATCTTGCTAGGTCCCAGTGGTGCTGGAAAGTCCGTTTATACCGTCCTCTTCTCCTCGCATCACGCATTACTCTATATACTGATCGATACTCGTCGGCTAGGTCCTGTCTACTGCACCGTTTCGTGAAGAATGAATGTACGCTGCTTATCCGTCTCCTATCGTCCCCGTGGGCGCCCCTGGACCGCCATCTAACCTCATCTACAGGGCGAGTGCTGTCGTCACAGACAATCGGCGTCGAGTTCTCATCTAAGATAGTCAAGGTCGGCTCCGGGTCAAGATGGAAGAGGATAAAGTTACAGTTATGGGATACCGCGGGCACGGAGAGGTTTCGGTCAGTCTCGCGGTCGTACTATCGAGGAGCAGCTGGAGCCATCCTCGTCTACGATGTGGCTTCACATTCCTCCTTCAACGCTCTCCCTACCTTCCTGATGGACGCTCGCGCGCTGGCCTCCCCGAACCTGACCGTATTGCTGGCTGGGAACAAGTGTGATCTGGCTTCGGACTCGGCATCCATCGAGGAATACTGGGACGACCCGCTTCGACCTCCGGCAACTCCATCAAGCACTTCGAGCAGACAGACGCCGTTCCCCTTTGATTCCGGCGGTTCTCTCCGCTCAATAGGCAGCCCGGGAGCTGGAACGAGACTGACGGCGACCACTTCCCCAGAAGGTCGTGACGTGTCGCTGGAAGAAGCATCCAGGTGGGCTTCCAAGTCCAATATACCTGTTGCCGTCGAGGTGTCCGCACTTTCGGGTGAAAACGTGGACGAGCTGTTCAACAGACTGGCCAGGATAATCCTTACAAAAATCGAGCTGGGTGAGATTGATCCGGACGACCCCCAAAGCGGCATTCAATATGGGGATGGGGGTATGTATGGAGCTAGCGATGGTGGGAGTATCCGGAGCGGTATCACAATAGATGATTCTCTTGCACAGCCCCGGAAACGGAAACCAGGCAGAGGCGCCTGGTCATCGGGGATGAGAGAGTGGGAAGATGTCTTTCGCTCAAATCCCCCTCGTCGGAGAAATAACCGGTGCTGCTAGTATGATGTCTCCTGCTGGCCATTTCAAAAGCAGGACCATCCTCCTTTTTCCTCCCTTTCTTTTTAAAGACTATCTATTTTTTCATCTACACCTGCTGCTGCCTTACGTTACATGATACCCATTACCCTCGTTCTCATTCCTTTGCCTTAGCACACTCGCATATCTGTTTGGCCACTTGCGTATGTGCATGATATAACACCTATGTTCATCTTAATATTAATACTCTAGCTTACTTAATTACCAAAGAAACCATACTTGCTTTGAGCTATATATATCGAGTTCGTTAAACATGGTACAGCTCAAACACCAGTAACTCCAATGATAACGTCAAATCTTCCACTATCAAATTATTAATATCTCCAGATACCATTTCCAGGCGGTCGACCTTGCACTCAATTATCCACTCCGTCAATGAGGGTTTTAATACCCTTTCCTGACTTCACCTCCAAGAATGCCTCTTCTGCGTCTTTGAATGCCACCACTTTGGTCACCAGCTCCTTGACACTTAACTTTCCAGATCCAACCAATTCCAATGCAAGTTTATAATCTCCGCTGTTATACCTGAAGCTGCCCTTCATGTTCAATTCCTTTGTGCACGCCGCCATTATGGGGAAGCTGATTTCGTCCCGCCCCATACCACCCTGGACATACGTGCCGCCAGGCCTCAAAACATGGATACCGGTGTGAACAGATTGCTCTGCGCCTGAAGCGTCGATGACCACGTCTGCACCACGTCCTAGGCCATGTTCTGACCTTATTTTCTCTGCATTTTCTACAGCCGAGATCTTTCCAGGTAGGTATACCCCGGTTGCAGCGTATTTCTTCGCAAAATCCAGTCTATCCTGCTGGATATCGACAGAAATGATCTTAATTGCACCAAATGCCCTTGAAGCAGCACAGCACAACAGGCCCACGGGTCCAGCGCCAAAAACCACCACCGTATCACCAGGCTTCACCTCTGCCTGGCGAGTGATGTGTATAGCAACTCCCAACGGCTCCATCAAAGCGCCATCTTTCAGATCCATGGTATCAGGTAGTTTGTAGCAGAAATCTTCTGGCAATCCGTAGTACTTTGCCAGCGTCCCGTCATATGGCGGAGTGGCAGCAAAGGCCATATCAACGCATAGATTGTACTTCCCGCTCTTACAGGGCTCACATCGTCGACAGCAAACTCCTGGTTCCAGCGCAACTTTGTCACCTACTTTGAGAGACTTGACTGCAGAGCCAATCTCAGCAACTATGCCGCTTGACTCGTGGCCTAGGACCATCGGCGCAGTAAGCACAAATGGTCCAATGGAGCCATGGTCCCAATAGTGAACCTACATCCATGGATGTTAGCTTATTTCGCTGTATATGCCCTTTTGTATGATGTTCTCAAAGAATAAACATATAAATAAAAGAAAATCATTTTTATAGAATGGGTAAGATGTTTATACGGTGTTGGAGGAAAGAAAAGTCTTCCATACATCGCTTCCACAGATTCCAGTATATTTCACATTCACCAGGACGTCATGGGCATCCTTCAATGTTGGGACTGGCCGGTCTTCAAACTTGACCTTCTTTATTCCTTCGAGGATGAATGAAAGGTTCTGTGGAAGGATGTCAACTTAGGTACCGTTTGTATAATAGCTATCATACTTACCTTTGGGCTGGTCCCTTTATCCGTGGCCATAGTGAGATTTAGTTGGGTCCGAACGGCTGGTTTCGATATGATTATAGAGATGACGACCAACTGACTACTTGATGCTTCAAAGGAGGGAAACGGGTGATTCCAAATGCTACGGACAGCTGGGTCTTTATAGTGGAGGGACAAATCTGATTGTTGATAGGAGGAAGTTCGCCCGCCAACTCAGAGCAGGACGTGGCGGAGTTGCGGAGCTTGAGCCGAACGAGAGATCCGGTTCTACGTCACGGCCTGTTATTTATCCTAATGTACGGAGGATATCTTATAACGCCTTTCCTTTGAGGCTGAGGATTTCTATATAATTGAAGAGCAGGGACCAATGGTTTAAGTGCTTTGAAGTTGATATTTTATATTAGAACGGGGTGTCCCCGTAGCCATTCTGTCTAACTAGGCAGTAGAAGAAGAGCAACTTTAGCTTACGGTTAGTTAAAACAGAGGAAAGAAGGAAAGAAAGAAAGAAAGAAGAAGAAGACGACGAAGAAGAAAAATAGCCGTTATTTGTCCCTAAAGTTATTCGCCCAAAGCTCGCCCACAATGTTGATAGACCCCTTAAAAAAATAATGATATTGGAATCAGTGCAGATACCTCAGAGTGAGGCCCTCTACGTTTCCGCTCTTTAAGCCACGGACACCAATAGAGACCGTTTCACCAGGAACGAGGTCAACACAATTATCGTCGAAGACCACATCATCGGCACTTGAGAAGACCGCCAGACCCTTCACCGGAACCTCAGCAGACAATCGCAAGTGACGCTTGTCCTCTGAAACTTCTAGTTTGGGCGCCTGTGGACTCTGAAAATTTATATATTTCAAGGGTTCTGGCCAGTTGACGTATCGTGCTATTTGTTTCCCACCATGAATGAGGTACGCCGCAACGACTGTCTGGGATGATGCCCTTGAACCTTTAGTAGCCTCCGGAATTTCCAACTTCTCGAGCTCAGTCGCTTGGTTTGCTGGAAGAGTGGCTTCTTCTCGCACGTTCGCCAAGTACGTTTGTTTCCCAGTGATGATATCCCAAGCTCTAATCTGCACTTTAACAGTGCATGGTTCTAGCGTGAGATTGGTGGCCCATAACTCAATCATAAAGGCGCCAGGAGTAGGGTCATCAAGTGTGGCTTCTTGAATTGCTCTCTTCATTGAAACAGTGACCGGTGCCAACTCCCTTTTTATCGCAAAGTATGCATGCTTTGGGCGCAGGCTATAGTCGGCGATTGACCATGATATAACCGGCCAACAATCGTTGAGTTGCCACACCAGTACTCCCGCACAATATTCCTTGCCTCTCCCTTTCCATTGACGCTTCCATAAACGATATGCCGTTGATACGCATTCGGCCTGCATTACCTGGGTGCAATGCACGTATTGCTCCAGTGGATTAAATGTATATCGAATATTTTCAACAAGATAGGTCGCCAAGCGCCGTTCATGGCCTGCTGCCTTGTTGTGGTAGTCCAGAGTAAAGGAATTTGGGTACCTATCCTTATCATCATTACCGCGAGGCAACATACTATCGATCGTTTCTATGCTGGGAAGGCCTTGCATGCCGAACTCGGACACGAAGCGACCGCTCAACTTATCGAAGTCCTGATATTTTTCCTGAGTCCCGTGCCACACTGTATAAATGTAAGCCAACAGTCAGTCCATAATTCAAAGCCACAGGGTCTGTCGGTTTACCTACCATTCCATTGATGAATGTCTCCAGCAGTTGGATCGGTGCTAACAGCCCCGCCGGATGGAGAGCCATAATGATAGTGTGTATCAGGGGTAAGCCGTTTTATGACATCCACCAAAAGCTTCTCATAAATATAACGAGCGGGAAAATTAGTTTTCAGCCAGCTGCGGGGATCTTTATCGGCAGGGTTGTATTCCAGTTTCTCGCTTTCGCGATATGAGTAGTCCTCGTTATTACCAGCCCAGATAACAATAGAAGGGTGGTGCCTTAGCCTTTTAACATTGGCTACAGCTTCTTGTTCAACAGACTTTAAAAACGATTTATGAGCCGGATAGTTTCCACATGCAAACATGAAATCTTGCCAAACGAGTAGCCCATATTCATCACATGCTTCATAAAAGGCGTCTTGCTCGTAGATGCCGCCAGCCCAAACTCGGAGCATGACCTGGTTTCCATCGACGGCCATTTTGAGCCAGTCGCGATATCGTTGTGCGGATATTCGAGGGATAAAGCTATCAGCTGGAATCCAGTTACTACCTCCACAGAATATTGGGAGATTATTGAGCTCAAATAAGAATGTCGTTCCCTTGCTTCCTTCGAGCTGCCGCTGCACAAGCTCGACTTTACGCAGACCAATTCGTTTACACCGCGAATCGAGGGCCACGTCCTTATACACCAGCTTCGCCTTCAATGAGTACAAGGGCTGGCTGCCGTACCTCGCAGGATACCAGAGTTGTGGGTTCTTTAGGTGTATAGTAGCTGCCGCTTTTCCATCCTTCACTTTCGCAGTGACAACAAATTGGTTTCCTGCATCCTGCTCCTGGGTATCAAGCGACAAGCTGAAGACCACCTCCGAAGCACGGCCTTCTACATCAGCCGTGATTGAGATTTCAGCTTCCTTTAGACATCCCTTAAATTTTGTCGTATAGTAGAGGTCTGCAATGCGAGCAGAGTATACCTCAAGCGTAATTGGGCGCCATGGGCCGCATGTAAGTAGGACTGGCCCCCAATCCCAACCCTACATATCGCAAAAGAAAAAAACACCGAGGGTCAATCGTGTTGCCGCAAACGATGCATAAAGTGGCACTTACATAGTGATATTGTGCTTTTCGCACTGCAAGCCGGCTCGGATCACCATTCCAGCATCCCCAGCGGTGATTGGGGTATTTTTTCTGTTCTTCTTTGCCTCTGGTGAAGGCACTATCGAAAGTAATCTCTAGAACGTTGCATTGGTCATTTGAGCCACGGAGAAGAGACGTTATATTCACCCGTCCGGGGATGAACATATTCTCAGTTTCCAGGATTTCTTTGCCGTTGAGATGGACGGAAGCGTAGGTGTCCAGGCCGTCGAATGCAAGGACAGCCTTCTCGTCCTCTCCCAACTGAGGGGTAACAAAGGCAGTACGATACACCCAGGCTCTCTCGCCAACCCATTGAACTTGCTTCTCAGCGGTTCCAGTGAACGGATCCTGGATAATCCCATGGTGAATCAGGTCCAGATGAATGCATGTAGGGAACTGTGAGACAGGAAGGAACTTGGAGGTATTCACGGATGCCTCTCTGAAAGTCCAGCCTTTGTCTATCGGTATGAATCTTCGCTGGTCCATCGTGTCCTAGGGGCCCTCGTAAAGGGAGAACTGGTAGTGTTGGAGCGCACTCAGTCAGCGTGGGAGGGGGGGACGACGGTGATGCTCCCACGGTTATAACTATGAGAATAGCTAAATACTCTAATACCTATCGTCCTATGTAGGGGTGCGGTCTCCGCCAGGGAACACCAGCCACCGGGTAACCCCGTCTGTCTCTGATTCGTGTGAGGCTTGTTCAAGGATGCAACTGATCACCCCGCCGGACGGGAATAGAATCACTAGGGAGGCTGTCACTTCGAGCAGCCGTCCAGTCGGCCAGCAAACAAGTCCTTTCCAGCGATGCCGTAAGGGCAAACCGACGGGCTATCCTTATGCCATTGATGCAGGGCCAAAATTTCGGTCCCGAGGGCCACACATAGGCTGATCCGTGGTGATACAGCGCTTTATCTGTTGGTTGTATACACGATAGTCCGCATGTTGTGGTGTTTTGCGGTGTCTTAGGGCGGCGAGTGAATATCGCCCTAAAGGGGTAGCATGTCAACGCCGCTTTAAAACCTCCAATATATCCTTTTTCGCAGCTTCAAGGAACGAAAGGATATCTAACTCCCTCGGTAGATTCAAGAGGTTCAGGGGCTCGAGGGAAGCTAATTCTACCTAGATACAGAGCGCAGCGATGTTCGGCTCCCGGGCTATCTCGACAAGCGCCGCTCGCCTGGCCGCCCGGCAACAGCGACTCAGCGTCGAGAGCTCCTGGTGCCGGCCGTCTCGCTACATAAAAAGCCAGCCGGCCCGAAGCTTCAGGAACTCGGCGAGATGCAGGGAAGAAGACGTGAGGAGGCAGGATTCCTTCAAGGGCCAGCTGTACGAAAGTACTCAGCAGCGATTGAACCGAGAGCGTGCAGAGCTCGATAGGTTTGCGCGGATGCAGAGGCAATCACCACACCTGCAGTATACCGCGATGACCATAAGTAAGAACTACACCAAGCTCAATTTTTTTTACATGCGGTTGGCTTGTACTTTGGAGTTGATTGCTAACCAGAGGTTATATCCTGTGTAGCGGTCGTCGTTACTGCCCTGGGTTGCTACTTTCTCGGTACTTTAAAGCCAGCAGAGCTTCCAGCGTCATCTACCACCTCCCTTAGCGATGCTCAGGCGCCGCAGCATAACCTCTCCCGCTCGAATCTACAAGCTGCCTGGGCCGATTTTTGTGAAATAGTAGGAAAGGAAAACGTTTCTACAGAGCAGGATGAGCTAGATGGACACGCAGGATCGGCATGGTCGTCATATAAGGTCAAAGAAAACGAACGGTCATTCCTCGTCGTCTTTCCGTCAACAACAGAGGAAGTTTCTCGCATCATGAAAGTCTGCCATGTTAGACTCATCCCCGTCACCCCGTATTCTGGCGGGACCAGTCTTGAGGGTCATTTTTCACCGACACCTGGTGGTGTTTGCATCGACTTCTCCCGTATGAACAAGGTAGTGACCTTGCACAAGGACGATTTGGATGTGGTTGTACAGCCAGCGGTGGGCTGGGAGGAGTTGAATGAGGAGCTTGCAAAGGATGGCTTATATTTCCCGGTTGACCCTGGCCCCGGAGCTATGATCGGAGGAATGGTTGGAACCGGCTGCTCAGGGACCAATGCATACAGATATGGAACTATGAGAGAATGGGTCATCTCGTTGACGATGGTACTCGCAGATGGAACTGTTATCAAGACTAGACAGCGGCCGCGGAAATCAAGCGCCGGATACGACCTTACAAAGCTGTTCATCGGTAGCGAGGGTACCCTTGGGTTGGTCACAGAAGCTACCCTCAAGCTAACAGTCAAACCCAAAAGTGAGAGCGTGGCCGTTGCGTCTTTCCCGTCAGTTCACCGTGCTGCCGAATGTGTGGCCAAAATCGTGGGAGAAGGGGTGGAACTCGCCGGCCTCGAAATATTGGACGATGTCCAGATGAAGTGCATAAATGATAGCAAAACAACGCGACGCACCTGGAACGAGGCCCCGACGTTGTTCTTGAAATTCACCGGCACACAAACCGGCATCAATGAACAGATCAAAATCGTCAAGGGTCTGGCAAAGAGCACAGAAAGCCAGTCGTTCGAGTTCGCCCAGGGAAGGGATGAAATGACCGAACTATGGAGTGCACGCAAAGCAGCCCTGTGGAGCGTGATGGCAAAGAAGAGAGAGAACGATCGTGTCTGGTCCACCGATGTGGCTGTTCCTATTAGCAGACTCCCTGATATTATCGAGCAAACCAAAGAAGATATTGTGAAAAACGGGCTTTTAGCTGGCATCTGCGGCCATGTTGGCGACGGCAACTTCCACGGTAAGATACTACCCTTCAACCATCACACATTGTAAAGTTGAATCTGACATCCCGTCCAGCAATCCTACTTTTCAACGATAGCGAGCGCGCCGTCGCCGAGGGCATCGTGCACCGCATGGTGAAGCGAGCCGTCGAGATGGAGGGAACAGTCAGTGGTGAGCACGGCGTTGGCCTTGTAAAGCGAGACTACCTTGACCACGAACTCGGCGAGTCAACAGTGGACACAATGCGCAAGGTATGCCCATTTCAATCCCTATACTTACCCCTTCCTTGAACAGCATACTAATTCGACACGAACGAGCAGATTAAACAAGCCCTCGATCCGCTTGGCCTTCTCAACTGCAACAAGGTTGTTCGCGTGGAGCTTCCAGGAGCTGGAGAAGTTAAGAGTTGGTAGGTCTAGATATACGATATAAGATGGAATGTATGAGTAGATATTTGAACAGCCACACTTTCTCCGCCACCAAAGTATCGTAGACCCATATTCCTCGCCAAACAGTAGCCAGTCGCCTTGCTCTCGCCATACCGAGTCGACCCTCATCTTCGCCTGGTGTGCTATCCCAGTCTACGCTAACTATGACGCAGCCGGTGGTCGCTTCGGTCGCTACTTTGGACTCCGCATACTGACCCACGACCGAGCTACAAAACCGTATATAAATCGCTAAGAACACAGCATCGCCCTCAAACCAGACACTCATCCTTCTTCTCCTTTTTATATTTCTATTCCCTCCGACCACCCAGATCCGATCATAGACAGCAATAATGGAGGGGAAGGCTGCAAAGACGTCCTCGATGGACTCTAGCTTCCCAGTCCTGCTGCCTGAAGACCCATGTCTGCGTATGGGCCCAGCGCAGTTTAAGGAGTACATCTTCGCTTCTCTTTCAAGGAGCGACAAGACCAAGAAAGAGGAAGTAACAGAAGATCTCACACCCAGTCTACCTGAGCAACCAGAGTCCAAGGCTTCTGTGACGGAGATCGAGGATACAACAGCTGTCCGGTCGAGCGGAAATACCTTTGTCGATGCCCTATCCCGAGAAGCACAGAACCCCGGATCAGGGGTTCCTTCAGCAGAAGAGCTGGAGGCCAGGAATCTTGCCCTGACTGACAACACCGGTATCACTCATGCTTCTACGGAATCGAACCTGGTCGACTTGTTTCACACACTGGACGGAAAGGCTAGCGAGGAATCGCTGGCTGCCCTAGCCCCTCTACTTGAGGAGGCATGGAAGGAAGATTCCCTGGTTACCCTCAAGATCATCTGGAACTGCCGCAGCATCCACCTAGGCAAAGGTGAACGAACGATGTTCTACGTCGCACTTGGTTGGCTTAAGGAGAACCACCCACAGACTCTACTGGCTAATCTCCCATGGATCACCCGCGCCGTCATCGAAAAGGTGCCTAGAAAGGAAAAGGAGGGAGAAGAAGCCGCCGTGGTTGTTGAGCAACAGACGATGGGAGTCGATGATTACGAGGTAATCCATGGAGTATCACACGGCTACTGGAAGGACCTACTCAACCTTGTTGCACTATCCGCCAACGACGAGCTTGGAATGAAGGACCCTGAGACAATTCTGAAGAACAGGAACCGAGAGAATCAGGGGCGCCTAGAAAGTCTTGATGTTTCGCTACCTTTGAGAGGGAAAAAGGTCAAGGTCTCAGCGATGAATGCCGAAGAGAAACGAGCTTACCTGGATATTCCCCGCGATGAGAGACTCAAGGAAGCTGAAATCATAAACTGCTACCAGCAGGAGACATCCAAGAGTAAAAAGCGTGCCCGAGAAATAATTCACCACGAGAAGTTGTGGAAGAAATTCGAGACCGACGAATTCCATCGTGCTCTGCACTATACCGTTGCTCGCATGTTCGCCGACCAACTCAAGAAAGATAAGAATATCCTTGACGTAGGCACGAAGGCACAACGGAAGGAGATTAGCCTCTGCGCCAAATGGGCTCCTTCACTCGAACGATTCCACGACAAACAAACCCTGATAGCGACGACCATTGCAGAAATACTCTTCCCTGCGGAGAGCATCAAAAAGGAGGGCGACACAAGAGAACTTTACCTTAAACGTGCACGAGAACAATACAGAGCTTCAATACTGTCTCCTTTGCGCAAGGAGCTTCAGATAATCGAACGCGATATATCTGCAAACAACTTCACAAATATCAAGTACGAGCAGGTTCCATCTCTAGCTATGGACCTTTATAAAGGCCTCTTCGCAAAGAAAGACCACGACAATTTCTTGAAATACCTGCTTGACGTCCAATCTGGCAAACTGGCCATATCAGGAAGCGTACTCATGCCTGGACCACTGGTCCATCAATGGAGACGAGGCAAGAGGGACGAAATAGCTCAACTGACGCTGAATGCTCAGTGGGATACTTTGGTGCAGCGTATAAAAGATAACGGCTCACTTTCGGATTCTATCGCCGTTTGTGACGTTAGCGGCTCTATGGAATGTGCGTCCGCCAATGGCGCCTCGGCGATGGACAATGCCATAGGACTGAGTCTCATCCTCTCAACGGTGACAAAAGCGCCATTTGGCGGCAAACTAATCACCTTCTCCGAGGAACCGAGCATAGTTACGATAGCAGGGGACGGGAACAAGAAGTTTCCCTTTGACGAACTTGTTGATAATACAACACGCATGGATTGGGGCGGTAGCACCGACTTCCTCGCGGTATTTACAGATCTTATCCTCCCTCTGGCCGTCACCAACAAGGTCAAACCTGAAGACATGGTTAAGCGGGTATTTGTCTTCAGCGATATGCAATTTGATCAGGCGCAACAACATGGTTCTAGCCCCTGGGCTACCCACTACCAGATTATTGAAAAGGAGTTTACAGCGGCGGGCTACGAGGTACCTGAATTTATCTTTTGGGACCTCGCCAGTTCTAAGACAGGGTCGGCTCCTGTCACTAAAGATATGCCCGGTACTGCTCTAGTAGGCGGACAGAGCCAGGCAATGCTTAAGGTATTTTTGGATGGGGGTTCATTCGACGAAGCAGAAGAGGACGAAGAAATGGAGGATGCAGCTGAGGACGAAGATGGTTTTTCTGTTGTCAAGAAGGCAAAGAAAACCATAACCCCTCTCTCAATCCTTATGAAGGCAGTTGGGCATAAGGCTTATGACATGCTCACCGTCGTTGATTGAACCCGGGCTGGAGCGAATATATATATATAGTTATGAGCTTTAACGCTCTTAAGAAAGTCCGGCAATTTAAGGAGTCAAATGGGCTTGATTTTATGATACTTTACGATGTTATGTTTTTTTTGTATAGGTATATTAGGATTAACGTGGATCTATTTTTAATCCCAAAAATGGAACGTGGGTGAAAAGTTGAGAATTATGACTTCGAGTTGAAAGATACATACATGCTTTCAAATTTAACGGTTTTGAGGCACTTGCATTCTACCTCTAGACGTTTGTCAAAACAGCTACCTCGAAACTTAAGAATCGCGGCGTCCATGGTGCTTGTGGTGACGACGGCGTCTGTCGTCATCATCATCGTCGTCATCGTCGTCGTCGTCCTTTTTCTTATAGCGTTTCTCGTACGATTTTTCGCGATCATGGCCCCTCTCCCGACTGCTTCGGCGGCGTTGGTCTGCTGCATGGTGGGAGCTTTCGTAGTTCCTTGACCCGCCTCGATCGTACTCCTCATTTCCTCCTTGGTAACCTCCTCGAGAGTATCTAGATTCTTGCTCCCCATAACCGCTAGAGGAATACTCCTGTTCTCTTCGAGATGATCTAGTGTCCTGTTCCCCATAACCGCCAGAGGAATATCCAGGCTCTCTTCGAGATGACCTGGTGTCTCGCTCCTCATTGCGATCAAAAGAGCCAGGGTAGCCTTGTGATTGGCCATAATACTCACTGGACTCTCCTCCAAACTCGCTTGGTCGATTTTGCCTGGATCCATGGCTTCTATAAAAACGAAACGATCAATAACTCTCCTATTGCAAAACGCAGGTCCAATAATCATTGAAAATACCTTTGCTCTCCAAACTCTTCCCGCCTGTTTTGGCCTCCATATCGGGTCTCAGCAGGTTGGTCGTATCCGCTAGACTGACCGTAGCCTGTTTGACGGCCTTCATATCCTGACTGCTGGTATCCTGATTGCTGATATCCCCCCTGTTGTTGATATCCTCCCTGCTGCTGGTATCCTCCCTGTTGTTGATATCCTCCCTGTTGCTGATATCCTCCCTGCTGTTGGTATCCTCCGGAGTGCTGTCGTCCACCAGACTGGTACTCTGACTGATGATGTCCAGACTGCTGATGCTGGTTATAGCGTTTGCCATAACGGTCCTCATCGTCACCGCCATCATCCCTAGACTTCTTCACCTCCTCGTCCAGTGCTGTTCCAAGAGCACCAGCGAGTCCACCGGCGAGGCCACCCACCAACCCACCCAGTGCGCCGCCACCCACAGCTTCCCCTGCCATTTTACTGATGTCGTCAGCCTGACGGCCTCCACCACCGTAGCCAGATCCCACATTTGACTTCTTAGTGAGCTTTAATGGTTTTCCGCTACCATGGCCACAGTCATGAACTCCGGGCTTGTGGTTCTCGCCGTTTCTGACTCCCTCTCGGCTTAGCTGTCTTCGAAGTCCATCGTCACCCTTTTCACGCCACCATTCTTCAACAGCGCCGAACATCATTCTGCGAACATCAGCTGCGCCATCATCACCGAGGTCTCGGTGTACGGGATGGTGGAAAACACCAGTGACGATTCTGGTCAGCGTACGGTTTACGTCAATGTTCTCGTCGTCCCAACATTCCATTATTGGAGGAACCACCCATTTAACCACCTGTTGTGCAATCTTTCCAGCAGGTTCATTCAACAAGTTTGAGAAATGGTCCTTTGACAGCATAGAATGAGTGGGATCAGAGGCATCATCATCGTTGAAGATGTTCAACTGCTCCTTCTTGCTGCTTTGAATGATTTCTGAGGAGCCGGTTTCCAATTCTGCCTTTACCTGGTTGATGACTGGCAGAACAAATGGCGCGATGACGCTGAATACGAAAACATTAATTTGCTCTTGAATCTGTTCAAGCAGCTCTGGGAGAATAGGGATGTTCTCAATAGCCTTGTTGATGGATTTCAAGAGGTTATCGTGCCACTCCAAGACCGGGTATACCTGGCGGGTGACGTCTTGAAGATAGCGTGTCCACTCCTCAGGCTCATGTGGTGAAACATTCTGTTGTTGCTGTTGAGCCTGCGCGTTATTCTGGAATTCATCCATCTTCCCCGATTCATTTCCGCCGATGATACCTGCTGGGACTTTGGCTAGTAGTTCCTGGAGAAAGCTTTTGGCACCACCCTGGTTCTGGGTCTCTTCGATTGCGCCCTCAAGAGTTTGGATTTCAGATTGGGTGGCCTTGTCGGAAAACTCTCCCATAACGGAGTGAAGGAAGTCCACGCCACCAAAGGTTCCAGTAACAATTGGGTAGACAGGGTTACGGGCTCCAGGAAGCCGTACCATGACGTTGCGGCCAACGTGAGGAAATATATCCCGCTCGCCCATCTCGATAAGACTTAGCTCCGTATAGTTTGAGTGGGCAGCATAGTCCTCCAAACAATGTAAACCCGTACCCAGCAAGCGAAGAGCCTCATAAAGGTCCGCCTTGTTGTTTGAACGAGCATGCTTTCTACCCATTTTGATACAGCCTCCAAGAACTTTCCTAACCAAATCAGCGGACGTGTCGATCCCAAGTCCTTCAGAACCAATGTAGTTTTTGAGTCCTGTGATAGCACGTTAGTCAGATTGTGTGTAAAATAATGACCAAAAACGCCAGTCTAGTCTTACCTGTGCGCTCATCAATGGACAGTTCTCGACGCTTATCAATAGGGCCTCTAAGACGGCGGTCATATCGTCTCGCGTCATCTCCTTCAGCATATCCCAACGGGTTATCAATGTGTTCCGTAGGCTGGTAGCATCCAAGACGGTCGGTAGTGACCTCGAATTCGTCGACACCATACCTAAAACCCATCAGTGGGAAAGTTGTCAGTTAAAGGCAGATGAAGTACGCATGAGTGCAAACGTACCCGAAAGTCAGAAATCCCAAAACCCAGATAATGATACGGACAGCCTCAGCGCTGACGTATTTCACGCTACCAACATCGACGGCTTGACTGTAATCTCGAAGCCAATTTCCAAAGTATACGTGCATCACGTCCATCTTCCCGAATTTTCGACCACCGGCAGAGCGAGCCATGTACAGCGTTAACAGCACATCCTCAATATCTCCATGACGAAAGTTCGATCCCTCAATCTTAGACAGAGACGCAATGTTACCAGCTCCAAAGGCGGCTGCTGGGTTGGCGAAGACGAGGAAAAGGAGAGCGGTGGTGAGAATCAGGGGGGTTAGAGAAGAGGAAGCCATTGAAGCGTTCCGCGGCTGCGGGCCCGTTTCTCTATGTAATAGTCTGTGACGAGTTAGTCAAATGATATATCAAATGCGTGATGTATCCTTCATCTATTTCCCTATGTCCTTGTCGTAGTTTCTGTTGAGCTCTTGAGCTGTCAAGCTGTAGCTTGGTTGCTGGTGTATTGAGCAAGGGAGGGGTAGCGGAGAAGCTAACCTGCAAAAGAGTAAGAAGCAGGCTAATATGAAGCTCGACGGCGGCGTAAATTCACCTGCGTCTACTACGACTCGAGGATGAATTGAGTGTTGTTGTGTGTAGAGTGGTGGGAGATGTTTCAGTGTTGCCCCTCCAGGTCCATACAGAAATATCCCCGGTTTTTGCCCCGCGAAAGGTGAATGGTTGCCGAGATCACGTTGTCCACGCCATGTGAAGCCACTTACGTTCGTTGCAAAGGGCGATATAGAAGAAGAGAAGAAGAAGGACTACGGCTGGGGATCAGGTTACGACAAAGACGGAGTGCTCGTAATATAATGGGATGGGGTATCTCTAACGCAGCAGCACCACAAACGTCGCTTCTCGCCCCTTCATCTGTTCAAGATAGGCATCGAGCTCACTGTCATCACTAATAACTACAGAGGCTTGGTGGCTGTGGCTACGGTCTGCCGTGTCGATGCCTTCGATTCTCACTACCTGTTGCGCATTCTTGACCCTCGTCATGATCGTATTGTGCAGTCCCGCGAGCGATTGGACGGAGAGCTTGTCAATCCATGGCTCAGGGTCCTCGAGACACGTCGGAGCAGACTGGGGGTGTATATGGAAATATAGAGGCGTTGGATTCACGGGCGTTTGGAGGATGGGCTCAACGTAGTTGAGAGCATGTGAACTGTCATGCTGATGGGTTGAATTAACCTGGAAAGATGGATCGTTTGCAGCTTGAAGTAAGGACGGGTCTATCTGTATGTCACCCATGTCTCCGGAGACGATAGGAGCACTCGCAAGGGCTTCGGATGCCAGAGTGCTGATACGATTGGGGACGGTTGTAGAGATCGGTGTCGAGACCTTTGGCTCCTTGTTTGACTGCTGCTTCGGCGCGCTGGCTCCCGGATGAGCTCTCTTTCGCGAGGGATCTCGTTTGGTCTGGTCATCACGGAGTCTCTTCATCACATCGCGGCAGAGGACCTCGATGGCCTTGAGTTTCGTTGCATGTTCGGTATCCGTAGATGGGGAGTTTAAGATACGCTGAAGCAGCTCGGAGTCCCGAATCCATCGATCCTTCAACTCTCTCCATTGCTCGTCGCCAGCTTCCAGTTTACTGGTAAAATGGCCAGCCTTGAGCGTATCGTAGAATGCGTTTCGAACCTGCCTGCTTTCCTCGGGGTTTATCCTAAGGGTGTTTTTAGCTTCGGCTATCGTCATTCGCCGTTCAAGCGTGCGCATCCGTTTCGTAACATCGGTGCAGACGACGTCGAGGGCGAGTGCCTTTGTATCAATCAGAGCAGGGTCACCCCAGAACACTGCCTGAAGATGCGTGGATTCCTGAATCAGTCGATCCTTCGCCATCTGCCATTTCTCAGGACCGGCAATGGTCTTCTTGATGAAGCCGGCTTCCTCGCATATTCGCTGAAAATGGTCGCGTAGTTCTCGATATTTATTGTTATCCAGGCAGAGATATTTCTTACTCTGGTCTATGGTCGTCTCTGAAGGGAATCGCGGAGGACCGGGGGGATCAGCCGGTAATCCAGCCCATCCTCGAGTCCGTCGTCTGCGTCTTTTGGTCGCCCATCGCTCTTCGCTTTCAATCTTTAGCCTCTCTAGCCTCTCCTTACGCCTCGCGGCGATATCCTCGGGCAACATATCAGGAGAAGCAGAGGAAGCATCGGCCCCAGCTTCTTCATGTGCCTCTGCACTCCCGTCACCCTCCGAGCCCTTGTACGTATCTCTCTGCAACTCCAACAACCCGTTCTCTTCCTCGGTAGCCACAATCGCGGCGGCGGTGGCGGTGGACACGGGTGCCGCAGCAGCTGACGACTTCATGCCATTAGGAACGCGTAATAGCCATCTATTCTTCGAGCGTACCCTCATGACCTCTCGCTCTTTGATAGTAAACCCTTCCTCGTTAAGAATGCGAATCATATCCCGCTGCGTTGTATTGGCTTCCCATAGCTGCTTTATCCGCGCAACAAGTTCTGTGTTTTTGTGGGCTGGGTTCTGCTTCGAAGGGAACCCCCATCGTTTGAACTGCGTCTGGAACGCACGTTTACTATAAAACTGTTAGTTGACGTACGTATACATGTATATCATAGCGGAGAAAGTAAGAGCTCGCCTGGGGGAGAACTGGTGGAATACCCGCATGTATTCCATGATATCCTCCAACGCCTTCTTCTCCTCGATGTACATCTTGTAGCAGATGTCCCGCTTGCCCTCCCACTCGTACACCATCTTCACGGCTCCGCGTCGAGGCCCGATGGCTTCTCCCGTGTTTCTTTTCTCTATCTTCCTCTTGTATATAACTGCACGTCGCGCGATGTCGTCTGCCGTACTTGAAAATCTGGTCTTCCGCGCTCGCCGTAGTATATTATGTAAGAACATGTCACGTGGAAGTACTTATGTAATGTTGATATGACGTCGTCGTATATTTTTGATAGCAGGAACAACTTTGGATGCAGCTACTCGACTATATAGAAGGGAGGAAGAAGAGGGAGAAGAGGAAGAAGAGGGAGCCAGGGCAGAAAGGATCCATTGATTCTGTGGACGCAGCGCATGCGATGCCCTCTTAAGCATAAACGCCAGTAACCCCGCCGCAGATGCCAGGAGTCGATCAGACAAACGGAAAAACACAGCAAACATCAACAGCAACAGCAAATGCAAAATGCAAAGAACAACCTCCGATGTCGCTAGATCGAACCCATGTAAAGCAAGAAAAAGAAACGACTGCCATCTCCCTGTCTGAAACTCGAGGTGCGTTTGAGCGCTGCTGTACTCCGTAAAGAGCAAAAAGCAAAAAACACAAAGCAAAAGAAGAAAAACAACGCAGAAAACACAATCATTCTAGACCAAGCCTGGCCTGCAGACTCAGCCTTCAAATCATTGAAAATTCGTTCAGACGTTCACGTTCAACCATCGAGTGCGTGCTAGCCTACTTTCTTCATTTTCCTTCCAATTTTAAATATTTTTGTTCGTAGCCAGGTAAGGAAGAGCACCCAGGCACTCTTGGGACTCTTGGGTTTCCAGGTGACCTTAATGGTGTCGTCGGTATACGATGAGGCCGACTTCTTCCCACGGCCACTGTCTTTCTCACTTAGCCTTGATGGCCGTAAGGTGAAGTCCGACACGGACCGTCTACCCGGGACATGATTAGGATGATGAGGGTCGTCGCGTTCTAGACGACGAAGCCGGCGCTGCTCTTTATCATGCGCCTTGGACGTCTGTTCGTCCTGTTTCCGAAGTTTAGCGGCCTCTTTGTCTTCAAAGGCCTGTCTTGCCGCTTGCACTGCTATGGCGCGAGCTGCGGGGTCGACCGTACTGGGACGACGGGATTTAGAACGCAGCCCGAATTCTATAGAATTTCTAGAGATCGGGGTAGTGTCACGGGGGCTGGGGCTGCTGTTGTTGAACACACGGCCCAGGGATGATGCACGGGCCTTTGTATGGTATGTGGTTGTTTCGCTTTCTATCTGGACCGAAGTGCGAGGCTCGTTGTATATGCTGGGAGAAGGAGACCCGGGGAAGAGCTCCTGGCTGGTGGGGACCGGGTCGTCGAAATCGGTAACACGCTGTATGCCCTCGAGCTGCGAGTCGACGGTGCTGGCAGCGGCCGAGACGTGGTTTGAGTGGCCCAGTGGAGGGGTGTAGGGGCGGGGTGTCTGGCGCATGGGATGAACATACTGCCCGCCAGGCCGAGGGAGGCTTCCAAAGGAGAGCTGGGAGGCACCGCTGGTAGAACGGTGATGGCGGGCAGCGGCCAGGGAGCCAGAGGACAGGTCGTCGTTCCCGCGGTCTCTCGCGCTCAGGCTGTTATATATGCCGAGTCCGTTCGTCTCGCTGAGGGAGACGGACAGGTCGACGGTCCCCGAGCGCTTCCGGTGCGGAATACATATTTTACCCATTGACGAGATGGAGGACGACGGGTCGGAGGAGCGTGTGAGCTTGCGTGCGCCGTATGCCTTGTTGTGTTGAGGCAGGGGGTCCAGACGGGTAGAGGACGGTGTTATACCGTGCGAGCAGGACGAGGTAGCAGAGGAGACAGCACCGCCTGGAAGGTCGACGTCATCGTGGTCGTAGTAGAAGGGCGGAAAGGTGACCGGATCCTGAGATCTGGGGATGGCACAGTTGCATGTTAATTCCATGTTTAAATCCAGACAGCGGGAAAGTTCAAAGATAGAGAGCCATGGACGCAACGAACCTTGCTACCACGCCCATGGTGGCCGCCTTCCTGAGCCTTGTCACCATCCTGTTGGCGACGACGGGTTCAGCCATCCTCTATCGTCCTCTCTCTCTCTAGGCGTACGGCTGTGCTGGCTCAGCCGGAGAGGAGAGGCTGTGGTGGGCTATAGAGGGTGTCTGTGGTATGGAGCGAGCATGCCGAGGGTCGCAGTACTGTTGTTTGTATATAGCGCAGCGTAGAGCAGTCTATCTGGCCGTGGATCCCCGGCTATATATCTCACCTTCGAAGCGCCGGGAGAGACAGATAGGACGGCCGGTGCGACACCGAGACCGCTCTCGAGATGGGTGAACCCTGGAAATGACAGCTGGAGCGGTCGTACAGAGCACCACAGCCTTTGCACAGGACGGACAGGAGACGACAGAGAAGAGGAAGAAGAGGAAGAAGAGGAAGAAGAGGAAGAGAAGAGAGGGGGCGGAGGAGCAAGCGGCCGCAGCGTGATCACTCAACAAACACCCATGTCGAGATACAGGCGAGGAGATGCCGAGACAGACAACTAGACGAGAGACAGAGATAAAAGACGAGAAGACTTCACATGCGGTCGGAAGCGAGACAACTGCTATTCTTAGTCGCCGTCCTCGAGGGCTTCGATAGTCACTCTCTACGACCTTTGTGGCGCTTCCCCCTCGCGCCCAGGAATCGCAATTCTGCGTCTTGTACAGAGGACAGAGGACAGACCGGATAACTACGACGTCTGCGTGGGAGACGGACAGGCAGAGGTCGTATCTCGTCCTCCTCTCCCCTGCAACTTGCCTGGTCTCTCGCAGTCCAGGGCCGGCATGTAACTTTGCGCTATCACCACAGCCAGAGGCCATAGCCATACATGTACATAGTGCAGCCAGCAGCAGCACGGAGGTGGAGTTCTGCTCCACCGTCGCCACGGAGACGATAAGGGGACGGTGGGATAGGGGGGAAGAAGCAGAGAAGAAGAGAAGAAGTATCTACGAGCCCTATGCAGTTTGAGAGCCACTCGCCGTACACCCTACGGCCGTGATGGATATGTTCATTGGCAGGGGAGAGTTCGCTGGCAGTCTACATGCATGAACAGGTTGCATTAATATCCTATGTACGGTGGATCTGGATGTCTATCTAGATGGTGACGCGGAACACAAGCGCCTGGGTGTCGACGTTGTAGCCCGAGGCGTCTGCATACTTGAAGTTGCCAAAGTTGAGATGACCTAGAGATGGTTAGTATGAGGAAGTACGAGGTAGATGATAGGTAGAGAGCTTACCGTCCTGGGTGATGTAGTCGTTGTCGCTAAAGGTGATGAGGAAGTACTCATTCTTGCCGTCGTCCTCGAACTCGGCCGTGGGATCGACAGGAACAAGAGCCAGACTCTCCCACTTCTCGTTCAGGAGGTGCTCGTCCTGGGCGCCGCCGTTGTGCAGGTTGAATTTGCCCAGCTCGGAGTTGATGTTGTAGTCGACGAACGGGCAGTAGGCGAGGGGAACGATGCCAGAGTCCAGCGTGCCCGTGGACGAAGCGATAGAGCCGTCAGCCTTGTCGTGCTGCGAAGACTTGATGTCCGTGGGCTTGTTCGACTTAGAGATGATGTCGGCATGGCGGTAGACGGACTGCGTGTTTGCGGCAGCGCGGCCGGCGTTGCTGTCGCGGGAGAGGATCAGGAAGTCTCCCGTGGGCAGATAGTGAATCTCAGACTGCGAGGCAGCGACGGTGGCCTTGGACGGGTCTGACTCGGTCGGGTCGACGTACGTGGCGAGCGTCACGACGTATTCATGGGTATACTTGGGCGTGCTGCCTGAGATGTCATACTCCAGCATACGGGCCTGCTTTCTATATCTCTTCTTGGGCCCGCCGTCGTTGTTCAAGGCAGACTGGATCAGGACATACAGCGTCTTGCCGTCGCGAGAGACAGTCATGCCCTCGAAGCCCTGGTTGTTGTTGCGGCCGGTTTGGGGATCCTCGGGGTTAGTCGTGCGGTCAGCGTCATAGATCGGGGGGGAGGCAGCGCTGAAGCTGACCTGTCCATTGCGACGGGGGATAAAGGCCGCTGGAGGCTGGATGGCCTGCACCATGCGGCCTTCCTTGGAGAACTTGTACACATAGGGACCGTACTCGTCAGAGATCCAGAATGAGCCATCGCTGCCGAGCACAATTCCCTCTGAGTCGATCGAGATGCGGCGTCCGCCTGCTCCGCTGCCCCCGAATCCGTCGCCGGGAAAGGTAGCGACTGGCATGCCTGGGAAGCCAGGGTAGGAGGCGTTGCCTGAGAAGTCGGCATCCAGGCCAGTCACCGGGGTGCCGTCAGGGCCGGTGAGAAGCAGTGTGTCGAGGAGCTTGATCTCCAAGTTGGGACCTGATGGGTTGGAGACAGTGGCATTGGGGGCCAGCGTCAGCTTCAGGCTGAGCTTCTGGATGCGACCTTGCACATTGAGAGTGCCCTGAGTGTTCCTATACAGGATTGTTAGAACAAACGGCCCCAGGTCGTCGAAGATAGAATCACATACCAGCCACGGTCAGGCACAGCCCATGCAACACCCTCATAGGTGCCGTCGGCGTTCTTCTTCCACGACGCCTGCTCGACGGCGATAGAGCTACCAAATCCACCCAGGGTATCTCCGTACTTGTCGACAGCATTCGATGGCACGCTGCCATATCCGACAAGGCCATTGTACTGGTACGTATGGGAGCCACACTTGGTCTCCTTCACGATGGGCAATGCGCGCTCATGATGGCCGCCTCTCTTTGGCAAGCCATTGACAGTGGCCAAAAGGCCCGACACAGCACACAGCGTATAGATCAAAGAGGACACCATGATGGCTAGATGATATTAAAACAAGAACACTCGGCTCAATTAATCTCCTAACCTCCCCTCCTTCTGACGGGAGCAGAGCTCATATATATAGCACCCTCCTCCGCACTCCATGTTCTTCAAGGCGCCTCAGCCGTATAGAAAAGCTTCCTCCCTTGAGCTGGGGAAGCGATCCAGGGCTGGACCGACGAAGCTGTCCCCCTTTGTTTTCGGGCAATTCCATGTCGCGATAGCTCGCCCACCAATGCCATCGATGCACCGGTCCATCACGACAGCCTGCTGCGAGTGCTGCAGCTCCATAGTGGCAAGGCTCCTCGTCCAGCGGCATGTCAGCGCGGGCTGGACGAGCGTCAAACGAGTCAGCGATCGCAGACGGGACCGACCTTTGTCCCGAGGCGTTTTTTTATGTCATCTCTGCGCGGATGAGATGCATGATCTGGGGTTGCCTTGGTGTGTGTCGTGGTGTGCTTAACAGGCATCATTGGGCTGACGGTCAGGACCATCCTTGTTCCTCGCTGGGGCCGTGGAGAAGAACCTGGAGCCGAGCACCGACGTCTTAATTCTCCCGCACTGTAAAAAGTGATGTTTGTTTTTTCTAATTCAAATGACGATCTGCCTCGATTGTTTTGTTGATAGCTACAGAAGAATGTTGACAGTGGGAGCTTTAAACTATCACGACTATCACCACTAGTTGTTACTGGACATCCGCGAATTTACTCCCATGTGGTTGGAACTTTCGGAAACTGCTTCGCGCTGAGCCCTAGATCTTCGAAAACTTTATCGCTGTCTGGTTTTCGATCCTGATTAGCTGCCATTTTAAACACCCGAAGTTACAGGGTTACATCTCCCTGCAGTATTCAACCCGCGGGGAGCTATATACTTCGAAGGAGAGTATAAACTTACCTTCCAGCGAATCGGCCCGTATCTCATCTTCATGCTCGAGGTTCTCAAGTTCCTCACCTGCGTTTTCCTGTCCAGGCGCCTTTTCCTCAGTCAAACCTCCTTTTCCAAGGCGGCCTTGTGCTTCTCCTAGCATCATGAACTGCGCGTTCGGATAGTCGATAAACTTCGGCTCGAGAGGCACCCAGCGAAGGTCACGGAAATCGTCCTGGACACTACAGGACAAAAAAAAAAAAAGAAACATGATTGAGCATTCGACGTTCAGTCAGCGTGTATCAATGAGCGAGTACTAACCTTTGCGGGTAGTCTGGTGGTTTAGGCAGCCTTGCGCTCGAGGGACCAGGGAATTTCGGGTTCTTCGAGCTCACGATGAACGAGCCTCTCTCCCTGAGCCCAAAGTCTTTTTGAACTTCCGATACCTCCGTCGGCACAGTGATGATGTACGCCAAGTGGGAGGTCCGCTTAGTTGAAGTTATCGCATAAACACCTTCAGCCAACGGTGTCGCGGTAGGCGAGTGCTGCGTGCCTTTCGTCTTCGTCTCATACTTGGTGCCCAGGAACGACTGCTTCAGCGTCTTTAAATCGGTGCCTGCCTTCTCGACAAAGCCCATATACTTCTCGCGGCTTGATGTGGGAACCGTCTTCTTCGGCAGCATCAATAGCCGGAAATTGTTTTCACCCCCTACAAGCCCGTTGCTCAGATCAGCGCCATGGGGCTGAGGGCGAAGGACGATGAAAGTACGGGCAACCTCGGAGATGCCTTCTGGCTCATCAACACCAACTTTGCCCCTGAAGAAGAAGTAGATGATGCCTTTTTCTAGTATATTAGATGGCACAACTCCCTCCCGTTCTGTTGATCCTTTGGTCTTCGGTTTCTGCTGTGCAGTCGAGGCTTCTGTGGTGCCAGAAGGCTCTTTCTCCTCCTGTTCCGCCTTTTCATCTTCGACATAAGGCTGATGGGCAGTCTCTGACCCAACTTTTGGCTCATTTTTATTCCCATTATGCTCATCTGGTTTTTCAGGCTCATGGACCACCCGGATCTCAGCTCCATCGACATTGATTTTCTCTTCAACTCGTTTCTCACGCTTAGGTTCTGGTGAGCTTTCCTTTGGCGGCTCCTTTCGCTTCTGGCCGGCCCCAGAGGACTTCTTCTTCCCCTGTTGCGCACTCTGGTGCAATGCTTCGTTTGCCTTTGCGGCCGCTTGGCGGGTAGATGTGCGAGTAGGCATTGCGGCCGAGTGTAGCTGGTGCCCGTAATATCAATAAAATTAATTGACTTTATCAAAACATACCAGAAGATATATATCAATCAAATTAATTGAGCATATCAGAGCATACCGGAAGATTTGCAGGAAGAACTACGTCGCATGCGGGTTTCTAGGCTGTTTAATAGCCATCTCAAATCCATACCCCTTGACGTCATAAAAATTATGTATCACGTGACTGACCAACTTGCCAGCTCGGATGGGATGTCGCGGCCAAATATGCTTCGGGCAAATAAATTAGACAGTTGTCGTATGCATTGGCGTGTCAATATTCGCTAGCTAGGCCCCTTCTATTGGCACAAGATAGCTATCGTTGCACCCAGAGCTGTATGGAGGATATCACGTGTTATGGCCTGGTGAAAGTTGCCAGGAAGCATCCATGTATAACATGGGAGTTCGTGGCTTAATTATGGAGTATGTGCCTGTAATTGACCCATGTAGTAGAAATTCATGTGGATGTACGGAGTACTCCATAGAGTGGTCATATCTGCATGGCAGGCAATCTTAGGGAGGTAGCCATCTCCGTGATCCCATCTCCCTGATCCGCGTCAAGTAGACTTCAAACGTATCCAGGGAGTCCCCTATTCTCGGTGGTATAATCAGCCCTGTATCATACCCAATGCATACGAGCGTCTTTTTTAGTACTAGACTAGAGGAGGCAGAGGGTTCAAATAGTTAGAGGACATCAACTGAACCAGATAGAGAGGAATATATGCCTTGTGTGTGTGATACCCTAGTAAGGTGGTCTTAAAGCAAGATCCTGCTGCCCGAGCCCACCACCAGATAGGATACAGAGAATACAACCCATATACCCTCAATATCTATTTCAATATCTATCGAGTAGACAAGATAAAGGAGAAGAGAAGAAACGCCAATGGGGACGCAGCTGGCCCACTCGCTTGTGCTTAGCTCAGCAACAACCCCCAAACCACAAAGTGTCCACGTACGGAACAAGATGCAAAGCAGCAAAGGCGAGCTTGTCATCTACAACCTTGCCGTCGCTTTTCTACAGTCTGACATCGATGCTCCGAGCCAACTGAACACCTAGCATTCTGGTCGGCGCATAGAGTCCTTTCTTCTCCGTGCGGCTCAGGCCAATCCCCGCGATACAATGCAGTCCACCTCCCCAAACGTGCTCACAAAGGTTCGATCTACATATCAACCCCCTCGACCGTCAGCCTATCTGTCCATACTGATCGATGTCTGTTGCCGCAGTTTGAGTCGAAGTCATCCAGAGCCAAGGGCCTTGCTTTCCACCCAAAGAGGTCAGCCGAAGAGCCAGCTCCCCGTATCTCAAAGTGTCACCGTGTACTGATCCAAGCAGACCATGGCTTCTAGTCGCCCTCCACTCGTCGACCATCCAATTGTGGGATTACCGCATGGGAACCTTGATTGATCGATTCGAAGAACACGATGGCCCCGTTAGAGGTGTTGACTTTCACAAAACCCAGCCCCTGTTCGTCTCCGCGGGTGACGACTATAAGATTAAGGTGTGGTCGTTACAGAGCCGGCGATGCCTCTTTACACTCAATGGCCATCTAGATTACGTTCGAACGGTCTTCTTCCATCATGAGCTTCCATGGATCATCTCCAGTTCGGATGACCAGACTATTCGCATCTGGAATTGGCAAAATCGATCGCTAAGTCAGTGATCAAGCCTTCCCCCCACCCCGCTATTCAGGACAACGCTGACATGACGGATAGTTTGCACCATGACCGGCCACAACCACTATACGATGTGTGCACAATTCCACCCGAAGGATGATTTAGTCGTGTCGGCCTCCCTAGATCAAACTGTACGCGTCTGGGATATATCTGGTCTCCGGAAAAAGCACTCTGCTCCGTCCAGCACCTTGGCCTTTGAAGAGCAGATGTCTCGCTCGAACCCTGCCCAAGCTGATATGTTTGGAAACACCGACGCAGTGGTCAAATTCGTTTTGGAGGGTCATGATCGTGGTGTTAACTGGGTCGCATTCCATCCTACCCTGCCCCTGATCGTTTCTGCCGGTGACGACCGCCTTATAAAATTATGGAGGATGAGTGGTATGGTATAATTCAGCCCGATCTAGACGACGCGCCTGCTGACTTGAATGTAGAAACGAAGGCATGGGAGGTTGACACCTGCCGCGGACATTTCCAGAACGCCTCCGCTTGTATTTTCCACCCTCACCAGGACCTGATACTTTCTGCCGGCGAGGATAAGACTATCCGTGTCTGGGACTTGAATAAGAGAACCGCCGTGCAATCATTTAAGCGAGATGCAGACCGCTTCTGGATGATTGCGGCTCACCCCGAGATCAACCTATTTGCTGCTGGACATGATACCGGTGTCATGGTTTTTAAGCTTGAGCGAGAGCGTCCAGCCTCTGCTCTATACCAAAACCAAGTTTTCTATATTACAAAGGACAAGCACCTCCGTTCATTCGACTTCACGAAGAACACCGAATCTCCATCCATGCTTTCTCTGAAGAAGCTTGGAAGCCCCTGGGTCCCTGCAAGAACTTTATCCTACAACCCTGCTGAACGCGCTATATTGGTCACATCACCAACCGATAACGGCACATACGAACTTATTCACATTCCAAGAGATTCCACTGGTGCTGTAGAGCCTACTGATGTGAAACGCGGACATGGAAACTCTGCCGTATTTGTTGCCCGTAACAGATTCGCGGTCTTTAACCAATCCACCCAACAAATAGATATCAAAGATTTGAGCAACTCCACCACCAAGACGATCAAAGCACCTCATGGCACGACCGATGTCCACTTTGGCGGAACCAGCTGTCTTCTCCTTCTCACACCTACCACGGTAGTTCTCCTTGATATTCAGCAGAAGAAACAACTTGCCGAGTTGACCGTTAGTGGTGTGAAGTACGTCGTCTGGTCCAACGACGGGCTTTATGTTGCTCTCCTAAGCAAGCACAATGTTACGATTGCTACGAAAACGTTGGAGCATGTCAGCACATTGCATGAGACCATTCGAATCAAGAGCGCTTGTTGGGACGACAGCGGCGTACTTCTTTACTCCACCCTCAACCACGTCAAGTACTCGCTTCTTAACGGGTAGGTTCTTTGAATTTTTCCAGATTTTAGATCGTTGCTAATTTCTTTCTTTAGGGATAACGGTATCGTCCGCACCCTTGACGAAACCCTTTACCTTATTCGTGTAAAGGCAAGGAAGGTATACTGCTTGGATAGAACTGCTAAGCCAACTGTCCTCGCCATTGACCCAACTGAATATCGCTTCAAGCTGTCCTTGGTCAAGCGAAATTACGAGGAAATGCTTCAAATCATCAAAAACTCCAGTCTTGTTGGCCAAAGCATCATTTCTTATCTACAGAAAAAGGGCTACCCAGAGATTGCCCTTCAATTCGTCCAAGACCCACAAACCAGATTTGAACTTGCTCTAGAATGCGGTAACATCGACGTCGCTATCGAAATGGCCAAGACTCTTGATCGCCCCAAGCTATGGGCCCGACTTGGAACAGAAGCCCTAGCCCATGGTAACAACCAAACTGTGGAAATGACATATCAAAGGCAAAGAAATTTTGATAAGTTGTCTTTCCTTTACCTTGCCACGGGTGACCAGGAGAAGCTGTCTCGTATGGCGAAGATCGCACAACACCGAGGTGACTTCACGTCTCAATTCCAAAACGCGCTCTATCTAGACGATGTTGAAGCCAGGATACAGATGTTCAGGGAAATTGACCTTTGTAAGTTAACCAAGCCCCTTCTTACGTGGCTAAAGTCTAATGCCGGTGTTATTTAGTGCCTTTGGCTTATCTCACTGCTAAAACCCACGGATATGCTGAAGAGGCTGAGTCGATTCTTGAAGCTAGCGGGCTCACAGAGGACCAAATAAGCCTTCCAACTCTTGGGGAGCCGAAGCCAACTCCCAATGTTGTTGTCCAAACCTATAAATCCAACTGGCCCGTGAAAGCTCCCTCTCATTCCTCCTTTGAGAAGGCACTTCTTGGTGAAGTTGGTGGCGCCGATGATGAAGGTGCTAATGGCTTTGAAGACCAAGAGGGAGAACAAGAAATGGGCGGTGCTGAGGCTGGCCTAGGCGACGAACAGGAAGAGGAAGATGTCGCTGGCTGGGATATGGGAGATGACATCCAAATCGAAGAAGAAGCAGATCTCCTCGGTGCTGAGAATGTAGAAAGCGGACCATCGAGCAGTGAAGCTGAATTGTGGTCTCGTAACTCTCCTCTCGCCGCCGACCATGTTGCTGCCGGCTCTTTCGACACCGCAATGCAGCTCCTGAACCGTCAAGTTGGAGCTGTGAACTTTGAGCCATTGAAACCACGCTTCCTTGAGATATATCAGGCCAGCAGAACCTATCTCCCCGCAACTCCTGCCCTTCCCCCAATAATAAACTACGTACGCCGTACCGTTGACGAGACCGATCCCCGCAAGCTTCTCCCAATTATCCCCCGCAACCTCGAGACTATTGCCAGCGCCGATCTGCAAGAAGGTTACGCAGCCATGCGATCTAACAAACTTCAGGACGGAATTGTAATATTCCTGCGCATCCTACACTCGATCCTGGTCAACACTGTATCTTCAGAGGCCCATGTGGCTGAAGTGAAGAAAATCATTGCGACGGCCAGGGAATATATTCTAGCAATGTCCATGGAACTTGAACGACGAGCCTTACCGACTGATACCCCTGAGAACCTCAAGAGGAGCCTTGAACTCTCTGCCTACTTCACCATCCCAAAGCTCGAAGTTGCCCATCGGCAGTTGGCGCTCATGGCAGCTATGAAATTTGCGTATACCAACCAAAACTTCTCCTCTGCACTTAGTTTTGCTAACAGAATGATTGCAAACGGCGGCTCAGCCAAGCTCCTTGACCAGGTAAGTGTCCACAGACATATATAGTCGCAATATCTTCAATTGACAGTTTACTAACCCTTCAATAGGCAAAGAAGATCAAGGCTCAATGTGAACGAAACCCACAAGATGCCATTGAAATTGAATTTGACCAATTTGCCGAATTTGATATCTGCGCTGCCTCGCATACCCCTATCTACGGTGGATCTCCAAGCGTATCATGCCCATACACTGGAACCAAATACCATGAGCAGCACAAGGGCTCCGTGTGCACAATTTGTCAAGTAGCAGCGATAGGTGCTCCTGCAAGCGGTTTGCGATTATATGTTCCCGGGCAGCACTAGATTGTCTTTTTCTTGTCTTGTCTTGCTCCATGACTGACTGATTTTATGATGGGAGGGGAATTACTGTGACTTCTTCTTTTTTTATACTTCTTTCCAGCCAGAGGTTATTTAATTAAAACTGCCTGGAAATTTTTTTGATAAAGTTCTATCTTCTTCCTACACCTAATTTCATATACCTATCTTTATTAGAAGGGAGACCAAAGTTCTATGACATTCGAGAAGCGACATGTTTAATGCACAGTGCCTTGTTTTTCTATCCCGATGACTACGTTTACGAGGTTTCCGCCTGCGACTCGGATGCCTACCACCATTGGCATGAAGAAGGCTCGAAGATCCAAGCCTTATGGGCACTCAAATATGGACATCCGAGGAATCAGGCGCTTTTTCAGCTGGGTCATGAAAAGTATGGAGCATCGAGGTTATTCAGATTATGGGATTGAGATGGGGGTATTTCTAGGTCTGAAAACTATAGTACATCTATCTAAACATATAAATACAAGCCATTCGTAAAACTTCGTGTCTATGCAGCGCCAATGCATACAAAATGGCAAAAACACCCAGCAGTAAAGGGGATACTATATCAGGCAGTTATCTTCGACCTCAAGCGCGAACAAGAGCCACAAATACCGATGATCAATCGCATCTCCCATCCTTCCATCCCGTTCTCCATCTCTCTTCCCACTTGGAGCAGTCGAATTCTTTCTTCCCGAGTTTGCGATTCACTTCATTATGCGCGACGCACATCCAATTGCCAAAGTCCGCACGTCCCCCGAGTTTCGGTTTATTGGCACCGCTTGGATGGTTCATCCAGGTGCGGAGATCATCTGCGCACGCCCAGCAAGGGTATAACTTGGAGAAGAGGGTCATGAACTGGCCCATTTCGCTCTGCTGCTGCGGTGACGCTGTGGTAGGATATGTTGCTGCCATGGTATGGAGGAGTGTCCATGTACTTCGGCCCAAGGTCTCGACATCCGCCGGGCAGCCTCCTGGTATATCAGAGGCAACGCTAGCATTCCCAGGGCTGGATAAGGAGGTAGAGGAAGTATTCGTTGTAGATGTAGTATCGGAGGAGGTCGATTTGGGTGCGCCGGTTTTCATCTTCGTCAACGCCCGCCAGTCCGCAATGGAAGTACAAGTACGACAGCTAACTCGGTCGATAAAGCGTTAATTAATTGCTTCAGCTCCAGATATCTAGATTAAGACTTACGGCTTGCCATCTTTATCTAGTACAACGCCCTTTGGTAGTTTCTGGGTCTTTTCTTCGTCCTGTTTCTCCGTTGCGGCCACTGGCGAAGGGCGCCGCTGGTTGATAGCCCCCAGCTGCTCTTTAAGTATATCCGTCATGGCCAACACTTGCTATGGGCCAGTAGACTATGCATTCCTTATATTATAGATGATATATCCTCTGTGCAAGAATTCGAGATCTCAAGCTTCAAGGACGGCGGATGGAGCGTATTTCTAAGCAGAAAGCTTCCTTATCGCCGTGTTATCGCCATCGCAAGAGCAAGCGAAGTCCGTCTCAAGGGCCTTGATGAACACGCAAGCTTGATGCAGGGAGGTTATACTATTATTCACGCTCTTCATTCCTCAGTACGGCGTCTAACTTATTATATTCCTAAGTATCTTTCTTCTCGAGGTTCGTCTGTCCAATCCGCGCCAAGGATCGCTCCATGTAAAATAAGTCGCGTCGCAATTTATCAACGCGCAAACACTTTCTTACCCAGAGCTCGCATTTACTTAGGATTTTTAAAAAATATAGATCCAGCATCAGCCTATCGCCCAGCTAGAAGCTATTCAATACGTGCGCATCTTACACTTCCCAACTTTCCACAATGTCAGACTCTGAGTCTGAGACGCGATCCTCCAATGGGATTCCCAGTGCAAAAGTCCTCGAGCAAGGGCTAAGGGATACTGTTGCTAAGATATACAAGTCCGGAAAGCTGGACGAGCTCACCGTGAAACGCGTGCGATTAGCAACGGAGGAAAACCTGGGACTCGAGCAGAACTTTTTTAAGAGCCACGACGAATGGAAGCCAAGAAGCGATGAGATAATAAAGGATGAAGTGGTATGTATATTCATAGGCTCCTACGTTGAATGCCCGGGTTGCACTAGCAATTGGTCTAAATTCTGCAATATTAATCATTGGTTGCTGGTGATATAGGAAGTACAGGAGAAGACACCACCCAAGCCTGCCCCAGCGCCGAAAAAACGACAATCTAAAAAGCGGCCCTCTCCAGAAGCACCCAAGGCTCCGGCTCCCAGCAAAAGACAGAAGAGGAGTACTGTGGTAGAGTCGGAAGAGAGTGATATATCCTCGGTGACGGAGCGCAGCGAGCCCAAGCCCGTGAGCAAAAGAAAGGCAAAACCCATCCCAGTGAAAGCACCAAAAAGTAAAAAGGCCGCCAAAGTTGACACCGAGTCGGAGCAAGAGGATTCCGAACGTTCTGATGGCAACGAGGACATGGAAGCTGAATCTGGAGCAGCGCCTGAGGCACGCAATGATGCCGATGCCGGGGGTGCTTCGGAAAGCGAGATGTCTGTCCTTATCGACGAGGAGCCCAAGCCCAAGAGGAAAAGGTCAACCGGCAAGCCCTCTGCCCCGAGCAAAGCTAAGAAGAGTACATCGGAGAAGAAACAAAAAGACACTGCCCCGGAAGACCCAGATAAGGAGGAAATAAAGCGGCTTCAAGGCTGGCTGGTCAAATGCGGAATACGCAAAGTATGGGGCCGTGAGCTGATGGGATGCAGTACTCCAAAGGAGAAGATCCGCCACTTAAAGTCCATGCTTAAGGATGCCGGTATGGACGGCAGGTATTCGATTGAAAAGGCGAACCGCATCCGGGAAGACAGGGAGTTAAAGGCTGATCTGGAAGCCGTTCAAGAGGGCGCGAAGATGTGGGGGGCTGCCGCGGCTGATGAAGAAGGAGAGGGACCCCCCAAGACCGGGCGTTCGAGCAGACGGCTTGCTAAGAGCTTCAAGCAGTTTGACTTCCTTGCTCAAAAGGATCAGGACTCGGAGTCGGATTGACGTGCCATTTTCGTGTACCATAGCTAGTGTGTGTGTCTTGATGATATTGTAATGCCATCTTATACTCGTATCGCCAGCCGTAAAGGCAGCCTGCTAGCCCTATCCATGAAGTTGTTCGTGACGGTCATCCGGAGTAAACGATCACTTTGACGGCATTCCACCGCTCATCCGTTGCGCAACCAGGCTGAAAACTGCGACGGACGAGATGAAGAGCACAAGATTGTAGAACTGCTCCTCCGTTAGACTCAATTCCGGAGGGCGCGGGGAGGGTGAGGCCGTACAGCATTCCTTGAGTATTCGTTCTCCTCAGCTTCTGTCCGGGCTTCGACGAACAGACGTCGGAGGTTGGGAAGATTGGCCTGTTGCAGGTTAGAATAGACAGTTCAGCAAGCTAGATGGAGATATCTCACCATTGCAGATATCAAGTTCTCCTTCTCTTTCTCCTTCCTTGTTCCTTTTCCTCTGCTTCTTCTGCTTCTTCTGTTTCTTTTCTTCCTTTTCTTCTGTTTACGGAGGTTAGGTCGGACCACGTGACATTTAACGATGCAATATAGAGAAGGATAAACGGTAGATAAATAAAGAGCAATAGTAAGAAAAGAGGATCTTAGAGAGTTGACGGACAGTATAGATAAATAGCTATCTACAGCTCTAAAATGGTAGTAATAGTATGCGGGTAGCCTCCTGCTCGGTAGATGTTAGACCATCCTGGCCAGTTAGCGGCTTAGTTACAGGAGTTTTGGCCGTAGAGCATCAACTCTACAGACATCGAAGCTCGATAGGACTCTCACCACGACAAAAGCTGGTCTTCACTCGGTTTCTTCTGCAGCAGACCATTCTCCTTTATCGTCACATATCCGCTTTCTCTACAGCCTTCATTGACCGCAGCCGGACGAGTTTCCGCCATCCCTCGACCAGGCAGCCCAAAGCCCCTCCACTGGCCACTCTGCCGACCAAGGCATCGCTGATGCTCGCCCGCACCCATGGCTGTTAACAGGATAAGAGGAGCCTTTACGGCTCCGCGGAAAGGCGAGACATTCGAGCTGAGATCTGGGCTAGTGTATGGTTGATATCGCCCCAGGGAGACACTCTCGTTCCAATGCTGACGGACAGTACAGGTCGCAATATGCATACGAAAGGTATAACGACTGCTCCTGCAATTGGAAACAGAGCCATGCTCACCCTTCTCCAGAAAGGAATCGATACAGAAGACGATCATGGCCATGACCCTAGGCAAAGACGTCTCCTCCCTTTTCCCAGATGTCCTCAAGAACATAGCCACCGCAGACCTCGATCAGAAGAAGCTCGTCTATCTTTATCTGATGTAAGGGGCTCACTCTCTCAGCTGCACGGTTAACGGTCGGGTCCTAACAAATATATGTATAATAGGAACTACGCCAAATCTCACCCCGATCTCTGCATTCTCGCTGTCAACACCTTCGTCCAAGACACCGAGGACCCAAATCCGCTAATCCGAGCCCTCGCCATACGGACAATGGGCTGTATCAGGGTGGAAAAAATTGTAGATTATATGGAAGAACCTCTGCGCAAAACGCTACGTGATGAATCGCCTTATGTTCGAAAGACGGCTGCCATTTGCGTTGCAAAACTATACGACCTTAACCCCGCCCTCTGTCTAGAGAACGGATTCCTTGAAGCCCTCCAGGAAATGATTGGTGACCCCAATCCCATGGTTGTTGCTAATTCTGTGACTGCTCTAGCCGAGATCAGTGAAACTTCTCCAGAGACCAAGGCTCTACAGATAACTCCAAACACCCTCCGGAAGATGCTTATGGCGTTGAACGAATGCACGGAATGGGGAAGGGTCTCAGTCCTGACCAACCTTGCCAATTATACACCAAAGGACCAGAAGGAGTCTGAGAATATATGCGAGCGGGTTGTCCCCCAGTTCCAACATATAAACGCTAGTGTTGTCCTTGCTGCTGTCAAAGTGGTATTCCTACATATGAAATACATCAACCCAGATACCGCCAAATCTTATCTAAAGAAGATGGCGCCTCCATTAGGTACGTGCGAGAGAGCCACTGTCTGAGAAGTTGTGTTTACTCACGCATATTAGTTACTCTTGTGTCCTCTGCTCCCGAGGTACAGTACGTTGCGCTGAGAAATATCGACCTCCTTTTGCAGAGCCAGCCAAACATATTAGACAAGGAGCTCCGAGTATTCTTTTGCAAATACAACGACCCCCCTTATCTCAAATTCCAAAAGCTAGAGATCATGGTCCGGATTGCCAATGACCGGAACGTGGACCAGCTCTTAGCCGAGCTCAAGGAATATGCTCTGGATGTTGACATGGACTTCGTGCGCCGTGCAGTCAAGGCAATTGGGCAAACAGCTATCAAAATCGAACTGACCGCGGAGAAGTGTGTGGCTACCCTCTTGGACCTGATAAACACAAAGGTCAACTACGTGGTTCAAGAGGCCATAGTAGTGATTAAGGATATATTCCGAAAATACCCCGGGTACGAGGGAATAATCCCTACACTTTGCCAGTGTATTGACGAACTGGACGAGCCCGATGCCAGAGGCGCCTTGATTTGGATTGTTGGAGAATACGCCGAGAAGATTAGCAATGCCGGTGACATCCTGGCTGGCTTTGTAGATGGCTTCAACGAGGAGTTCACTCAGGTACTATCTATTACTCCTCATAATATTATACTCATGTTCCGTCCAACTAACGCAACCCACCCCGATAGACACAATTACAGATCTTAACAGCAGTAGTCAAACTGTTCCTTAAGCGCCCAGATAAAGCCCAGGGGCTAGTACAAAAGGTATTGCGAGCGGCAACCGAAGAGATTGACAACCCGGACATCCGAGACCGAGCATACGTCTACTGGCGACTGCTCTCCAATACAAGTGATCCAAACGCCGCGAAAAATGTCGTTCTTTCTGAAAAGCCTCCAATTGTCACCACGATCCACTCGCTTCCACCCAACCTCCTCGAACAACTTCTCACCGAATTATCGACATTAGCTTCCGTCTACCATAAGCCCCCAGAGCAGTTCATTGGCCAGGGCAAGTACGGCGCAGACGCTGTACAGAAAGCTGCCATCGAGTATGGTTATCCCACCCCTTGGAAATTATCCCCCAACTTGGCATAATTACTAATTTCATCGTCCAGGGAACAATTGCAAAACGCCCGAGAAAATCCTCTGGCTGCCGCAGCCGCAGCTGCAGCCGTTTCAGGCTCCGCACCTCCTCAGATGCAGAACAACGTTGAGAATCTACTCGACATCGATTTTGATGGAACGGCCCCGGCATCTGCCCAAGGGGAACCACCTGCCGGTATGTCTGGGCTTGAAGGATTGGCTGGAACACCAATGAGGGTTGCATCACCATCTACGACGGCCCCTCCGCCGTCCAGCAACAATCTGGAGGACCTCATGGGGGTATTCGGAAGCAACATGACGCCAGCCAACCAAGGCGAGACGAGCTCTGGAAATGGAAATGTCGGTGGGAATGATTTGATGAACGGTCTCGCCGGTCTTGATCTCTCTGGGTCCACGACTTCTCCTCCGCCCGCCTCGCAAACGCCGGGCGGACAGAAGAAAAGCAATACTGAACTCTTGGACTTATTTTAATTGATTACTGACGCTAGACGAAACATGGCCTTGACCTCTCTTTCCAACCTACCTTATCATCATTTACATACTTCCTCATACAAAAAGTTGATACCATGATAGATAATCTATGCCAGTTTTTTGTATTATCACGCGAGCAATATTTCCCCGCGGCGGCTCGTTCCGTAAACTCCCAGGCCATCGCTTATTGCACGTAGTTATTGGATATACAGGATTCAATGTTTAATTTGATATTTAGTTAATACTATGACGAAATTATAGATTTTGTTGTTATTATAGGCTCGCGGCCCACAATATTCTGTAGAACATTTGATCAAGACCCAATAGTTTCAATCAACCCGGTTCTGACGGATGAACCCATATCTAGCAGACTTACTGCCTTTGTATAGCTGAGGTTTCCAACGGCCCTGATAACGTTGCCAATAGCTATAACGAACACCTCTTCTTTATGTCGTCGACCTCAGGAACCAGCTCCGGTCATCCACGAGCAAACAACTCTACGCCCTCTAGATCTCAACAACGGCAGCAGCAGTACTCGCCGCAGTCAACATCGTCCTACTTGACCTATCCCGTTACCCATGTTGTCTCCGGACTCTATCGACGACTTACAGAGCCAGGTCCGCCGCCGTCTATCTCCCACGGCTCCCTCAATCCCATGAGCAACTCCGCCGTTTTCACGCCTCCTCGCCGCACAGCTTCACCGTTCCATCCTCCGCCGCTGACACCGCTCACTCTTGAATCCTCCCCGAAGACGTCAGACCGGCTCCTCACACGGTCGTTGGCCGAAGAAATAAGACTGCTCGTCCCTCCCCGGCTTCAGCTCGTGGATACATGGAAGCTGGTCTACAACCTGGACCGGGATGGCGCCTCTCTATCTACACTCTACGATAAATGCAGGGAACACTCGGGCCTAAGCCAACGGGCTGGATATTTGCTTGTCGTTAGGGATACGTCGTCCTCTTCGTTTTCTGGGGCTGGGAATACCAACTCCTCCAGTGGCGGGGCTACGGGTGGTTCATTGTTCGGCGCATATCTTACAGATCCACCACATCCGGACTCCCATTATTATGGGACAGGTGAATGTTTTCTCTGGCGGGCCAGCACTCTTTCATCTACCCCGGTGATACCAGCTGCTGCGACAAATGGGAATGATACGAAGCCTGGGCAGTCGTTGCGTGAGAGCTTGGAGCTAGCAGGTCTACCTCCGCCTCCAAGTGCAGACACCTCGAACGTTCGTGGAAGAAACACGACTTTTAGAGGTGAGAACGAGCCCATTGATCATATGGATGGCAGAGGAGACTCCTTGCTTCGGCCTCCTATTACGGAGGAACGTAACAGACCCAATGGGTCACCCGTCTCAGAGACGTGGACTTCTGCTCGCCCCGTTGCTGACTCTAGAGCAGGTGGTAGCAGAAGCGGCACCCATACTCCAGAGCACATACGATTTAAAGCGTTCCCATACAGCGGTGTTAACGACTATATGATATTTTGTGAGACCGGGTTTCTCAGTGTAGGAGGAGGGTAGGTTGAGGCCCAGAGCTGTTTTTACCGTTTCTTTAACTCTTACACTCTCCAAAGGGGCTCTATCGTTGAAAATAGAATCTAATAACTTGTTACTTCTCTATAGGGACGGACACTACGGTTTATGGCTCGACGACGCTTTCGAGAAAGGCATTTCCAGCCCCAGTCTCACATTTGGAAACGAACCTCTCAGTGACGAGGGAACCAAGTTTGATGTCCTAGCTGTCGAAGTATGGAGTATCGGATAAGGCAGGCATTCTCTCGAGCAAGCCGATTGAATCAGGAATTGATAGTGTGTTCTTGGCCTGGCCTCCTTTCCAGAGAAAGATGCGGTCATATAGTCGTGTTTATACCCATTCGTGTTGATATATTTTAATACTCAACTCAGTCCTATGCATAGCAAGGATAGCCAATGCATAGATATATATGCTAATCCAAGTGGAAAGGACAGTGACTTTTTCCTCGGCCCATAGCTGGTTTCCCTGCGGAACATTTCTGGGAGTAAACATTATGGTATTCCAAGCCAATATATCTACAGAGTCCATTAATTGAACATGTCACATGTCTTCATTCGAATGGCTTTATTACAGGGAGTTTAGTCTCTCTCCACCCAGAGATCACGCTGCGAAGGAAATACAATACTTAGGGTATGAAATAATGAACAAGGGCATAAAACGCAGAGGAAAATTACCGCCAATAAGAAATACCAGAAACCAAAAGAAAGAGATATAGCTTTTCTATGACTTGATATAGCGGTCGACACTTTCCGCTAGCCAATAGTTATCATCAGTATGGGCTGTTAACGATCTCATTTCGCCCAAGTCGGCTGGCCTTCCTTCCAGCACTGAATCGACCAGGAGTGACTGGCGGCCCGGCAATACTCTCCCTGGTTGGCTTTCGGAAGCTTTGCTTCGCAACCATGTTGACCTCATTTGGCAGAGCAACAATGACATTCTTATCACTTCCAAACTTGAAATTATCTGCTTTCACTTCCTCTGCGTACCGTTTGATAGTGTATGGGTCTTTGCGGCCAAGAAGAATCTTCTTCAAGTTCCAAGTAATAATAAATGGTCCGGTAGCGGTGATGATGGACGTTTCCGAAGAGTCAAGACCAGTATTGAATCGTGCCGGGGTAAAGCAAAGGGGAGCTTTGGTTTCATGCTGGAATTGAGCAACATGGGCAGGTTGCAGACCGAGACGTCGAGGCTGTGGTTTTGAGTCTTTGGCAAATGGTTTCTCAAAGCCGAGTTTCCCTTCATTCTTGCCGTCCTTTTGCAGAGCATCGATCAAGAGAAGATATGTACGGCAGGTAGCGAGCACCCATCGTCCATCAGCAGAGACATCCAATCCGAAAATGGCTTCTCCCAAAGCAGGAATATGGGTTTTGGCATTAATTCCAAGTCTATCAAACATTCGAATGTCTCCTTTGTTTGAAGCAACAGCAAGGTATCCCTTCTCTGTCGTTGAGGCAACAGAGAAGTCGTTTTTGCTTACATATTGCTTCAGGTCCGCATCAACAAGCTTGTTGCCGCCGAGACGAGGGTCGATACGGTAAAGTGCATTCCGCGAAAGACCCACGAAAGGTTGCGCCGATGTCATTTGAGAGAATTTCTAGATGTTCACTGTTAGCAAATCAAAATGTACAGGTATCACTTTTTATTTTCTTGCTTAACTTACGGTTTCAGGGGTGAATGATAGGACCGGAATGTCATCATGCACTTTCCATTCGTCGACAACCTTGCCATACTCTAAATCCATGCGATATAGAGAGTTCGGGTTCTGCTCGTTCTGAAGGATCATATTCGCATCTTCCGCATGAAGCATAACCTTCTTAGGGCTGAATAACTTTCCATCTGGGGTTTCAACTTTCGATATATTGGTTGAAAACTCGAGGTTGTTATTGGGAGTATGTCTAAAGACACCAATTTTAGATCCTCTGACAACGAAGGATCGATCGTGCTTGTATCCGACAGCAAGCTGGGAGTTGACATTTCCATCATCATCTCGAGTAGCAACGTCGTCTTCATCTTCATCCTCATCGTAATGCTCACTCCTTTGCCCATCGTCCTCCTCTTCCTCCTCTGCCTCCGCGATTTCTTCGGCTTCTTCCTCTTCTTCCAATTCCTTGGCGTCCTCTTCCCTATCATCCATCGTGAGATCATTAAATGCCTCCAGAACGTAGTCGCGGTCATTTTCTTTGGCTTTTGCCCACTTCATTTCATTTAGGCGCTCCCATAGTGCCTGCATCAATCCTTCTTGAAACCGCTCCTCTACTGTCTGATCTTTGAATCGCAGGAGCCAAGAGTACGCGGAGCCATCCTCTGTGTAATGATTAAAGATAAATGATAAATACTCAAAGTTGAATACCGGGTTGATATCAGCCACGACTGGTTGTCCTAGCCATTCCCGCTCAGTACCAGTAATTTGTAGCCAGTAATCCCAGGAGCCAATTTCGGAAACTGTTGCAGTGACCAATGGGTCCTGAAGAACAAATGTGCCACTGTTGAAATCAAACAGGTGAAGCTCGGCCGTCTCCTGCGCAAGAATCTCAGTCGCAGTGGGAATCGAAGCAGATGGAGGTGCCACCGTCTGTTCCGAGGATTGAGCTACTGCATCCTGGTTTCTTCCTTTGGAAGAGACGACTTCTTTCGCCATCGCTGTTGCAGACTCTTTAGAGGTTGGTGATGCTGGATGCGGTGATGCTGAGGTAGCTATTGGGCTCGCGTTGGGGATTGGACTCTCCTCTTCAAAATCAAATTCTTGGAGCTGCTCGTCCGATGCTTGCTGCGCGCTACGGCGGTATTTGCGCTCGTATTGACACTCTACCGCCGCAAGAAGAAATGTCGCGACTTTTTCTTGGGGTATCGACGGATCGCAAACGAACTCGTACAGGTCACCGACGTCACCGCTCAGGTCTCTCCAAGCGATCACCTTCTCGCCTTCTTCTCGAACTTCGGATCGAAGACGAAGGCTCTCGTCCACCAAGAAGATCTTTTCGTCCTTGTCGCCGCCTAATCCCTCGAGTTCACCGCTTTCGTCGCCTTCAGCAGAGAGCTCTTCTTCGCCTTCTTCGTAAGCTCTTTGGATCACGAGCTGGTATTGGAATTCTTGGCCGGTCCTTCTGATGCTCGCCGCAGCGTCCTTGAAGATAAGTTCAGAGTATCCCTTGGGGGAGAGCGGTCGCACAATATAAAGCTGGCCTTGAGGGATTTCGATGATCGACTCCTTTGCAGCGTCGCCGAAGATGAGCTTGCCCACTATAAATCTTACACGTTAGCAGCTGCAATCAGACTATTATTTTGTTTATATTCCAAGCACGCAGACAGAAATACACCATTCAACCCTGCGCTGGCGAATAGCGCGCTCTATGCTGTAGCTATCAAGCGAGGGGTAAGAGGCCTGAGACCAGCGAGCTGCTTACCGTTTCTGAGCATAAACATGGCTGCTGCAGTGTATACAGCTCACCCGAAGGTAAAGTCACGAAAATGCCAGGCAAAGGCGAGAGTGAAGCGACAGTCCTAGGCTAGATCGTGGCAAGGAGCAAGAGCTGGTGAAGGTTGATGGAGGGGTTGCCTTTGCTATCTTATCTCGGCCTTTTTTCTTCCTTCAAAAAACAAACAAAAACAGGCAAAACTGTGGCAAAAGCAGTTTGACTAGTGGCATTTAGCCAATGACAACAAGGACGTCGCGGGCTCTGAGCGGAGATCACCAACTGCCACGGCATATAATGTTTAATGCCACTCTCTATCAAAATAAGGGGTTCAAGAAGGGATCAAAGATCGGTTAAAAATATTATCTTAGCTACTTTGCGTCGTCACTGGGGCCATCGACTGCTTTAGCATCATCGTCGACGTCGTCTACCTCTTCCTCGTCTATCTCGTCTTCATCTTTCCCGTCCTCGGTGCTGGCAGGAGTGCCCGCCTCGCTCCTGAGCCGGCCCCCTTTTCTCTTCGGCATAACCATGGAAAACGATTTGCCCCAGTCACCCAGCTCGAGCCACTTTAGCATTATCTCCATAACATGGTTCGTGGTTAGCACAAACCGGCTGGCCATCTGCATATAGTCCCCGATGGGCAGTTTGGCTGTTTTCATCCCTTTCTCCATCGCTCGCTGGTAGCAGATGCCCTTGTGTCTGTTCTTATCAACAATCCCCCCAATAATGTAGGTGCTGTAGGGTTTAAGTTCGGTCAGAGTATCTGGGCTGTCACTGGTAAGGTAGACCACTTCTGCTTCCTCCTTCACCGTGTCGGACCCGGACTTTTCAGCAAACATGCCTTCCATGTTAGGCCGACGAATCTCTTGCATACGTGCCTGCGCGGCCTCCGCAGCCGTAGCAAAGTCCTCTTGGATAAGCCTGACACCCTTCCAGTTCTCATAGTGTTTCGAAAGCGTTGTATCGAAACGTTCTTTAAGTTGGCCGTGGAAGGACGCTATAACTAGACTCGCTCTATAGCGAGCCTTCGCATTATCTGAGTAGCATCGCGTTATCTGAGATGAAAGCGACTTGTGCTCCTTATCGCTCATAAGTTCATCAAAATCGCAGTCAATAATGAAGGTGAGTGGAACGTTAACTGCTCGGGCGCGAGCTTCTTGTCTTAATTTATTTTTATCAGGGAGTATCCCTTCAATATGCACTCCGGGCGTTAGAGTCTCGCCATTGGCATGAAGCTGAGCTTTAATGGCCCGGCTTCGCTCTCTTTTTGCTTGAAGCTTCTCTTTCCGGTATTCCTTGCGTTTTTCTCTCCCAGCATCCCACTTGCGTTGCTTTTCAAGTTTTTTCAATTGATTTTTCGAGAGAGGTTTCTCCGTCTGTACTGAAAGGGCCGTGGTATCTATAGCGCTCTGGGTGCAATTTTCCGTCTTCGCATCGGGTTTAGTATCATCGATGCCAGTCTCACCGGCGCTTGATGGGCCCGGTGCTGCCATTATAGTCGCGACATCCGCGGTTGTCACTTCGTGCTCCGTCTTCTGAAGCTTGCTTGGTCGTTCTTCAGCCTCCATAGTATGATAAAGCTCCGGCAATAGTTGATTGAGTCGGTTGAATCTGTCCGTCAAAAAAAAAATAATTGATACAAGGTAGAAGTTCAACTGTTCCACCAATGGCGTGGCGGCTATAAATCAAATCACGTGACACAACACCTCGTTATCAAATCGTCAACTCCAACCTCGAACGAACATACTATATCACCACCGGTGTGTATCTCTCATTCAAACGTCACAATGCCTCAGGATATGCCCCCGGCTGGGGGCTATCGCCCCGTACAGTACAAGGTACGCTTTTATCTCCGATCTCGAACGCTCCAGACGCCGTTCTGGGGATGAACATTCCATTTTATGAAACCGAATAGCTAATTCTCCCTCGGTTCCAAACAGCGCAATTTACCTGTCCGAGGTTTCCGACCCGTCTACTACCTCATCGGAATGCATGCGATAATGGCCTACGGACTGTACAAACTCTTCATTGGTACCCGCGAGCGAAAGTAAGTCCCCGAACACCACCGCGGCCTGGCCCTGAGTTGCCTTACATTTAGCATTGAGATCGCAACGGGGTGTACTCTTCTTCTTTCAAGGGTGCTAACGAGACCTCTACAATTAATAGTGAACTTGCTCGAGAGAAGATTTGGTCCCGAATTCACCTTATCCCCATGCTACAAGCCGAGGAAGACCGAGACCAGGCAAGACGGTACTTTGCCGACAAAGCAAGAGAGAAGGAGCTGCTTGGAACTGACACCAAAATATACAACTCTGACCGGTATGTTTCTCGAATCCCCCTACTCATACGCTGCCGTTTGTTGTACATGTTCCCATCTAGGACCTTGCTTAACTGTTTCTTTAAATTCTTAGATTCGTGAGACCAACTTTCATGTATACCCCAGCTCCTTCGAAATAGGGTCCCCTGTATAAATATCTAGCATAAAATACCTGGAATTTACCTATACTGTTACAACTTTGTTAGAAATGGGAGCCAGTGTTTGATTTCCTTAGTCGAGCTCTGTACAATTTACATGTTAAACAATTGCGGGGGCCGGGATGCCCTTTATACTCAAGGGCTGCTTGTGTTAGTTACCAAGCAACAATTGAAATCTTTTCGAGCGGCGAGATGATGTAAGATGTCAGAGAGCTTGCTGCTGAATAGTTGAAGACGGAAAAAGAATTTCATTTACTCTTGGGGTTTTTTTTTTTGTAATTGTAGATTCACACTTGATATATAACGGTTCTAGCTAATATACGTCTATACACCCAGGCCAGATCCAGACATTTTGCTGGTTTGACCACATTTTAAATGAATTGGGCAAATTCAAGCTTGCAATTCTAAGTCTGACCAAACATGTCGGCAACAAATGTCAGATCTGCGCCGTCATTCACATCGACTTTCTTGCTTTCCTGCCCCTCCATTTCCGTGGTCATGTAACGCGCCTGCATTGCGCTGCGCTCTTTTCTACGGCTTGAGGCTGTGCCCAAAATCCGTCCCTGCTCGCTAATCCTCACACCTCTCACGCCTTCTAGCAGATCCAATACGAGAGCTTTTTGTTGCCGGCCGGAGGTAGAACATAACAATGCTTCCTCGGTCGCCTTTACTTTTGCCTCTGCCATTCCTGGTAGGCTCAACATAATGGACCTTGGTGTGTTGGTAGTAGGGCCGTATAAAATCCATATTGTAGAAATGAGTTGTGCTAGATCCTTCTGCATGTCCACAAAGTATGGATCATGCACGGAATTTATGCACGCCTTCAAAACTTCGCTGCTGATAAATTCACGGATTGTAGCTGCTGTCGGTGTGTCAACGGAAGGGACAAATTCGGTTAATATAGATCGAATGACGCGAGTTATTATGGTGCAGCAACGTGTATCATGCATCTGTAAGGCATGTGTACAGAATAACAAGACAGGTTCAAGAATCTGGGTGGAGGAAAGAATGAAACTTCGCATGGTCTCAGGTTTGCTTCCCTCGCCGGTCTCTAGTTCGCCTACTTCCGAAGGGCCCTGGGACGTTTCTTCACATTAAGTTAGCCACCATGTCAAAACCATGCATATTGACATGAATCTGGAGTGATAGCGTGGGGAGTACTAACCTTCCCGTTGAGGATCCAGAAAGCTGGCCACCATAATAACTGCTGAGTATGTCAGCTGCCGGAGAATACTCTCATCTTTCATTTCCTCAGTAAGATCATCATCCACTACACCTATTCTTCGGCGCTGGATGATGTCCCACTCGGTGGTAATTTTTCTATCGAGTTGTGCAAATAGTGCCGACATCATGGGAGGTAGAAAACTTCTCCGGACAGCCACCGGGCAATCATCTATGAGACACCGTGAAATATTCAGCAAAATGGAGAACTGGTGCGAGGAGAGGGAGAAAGCATCCTTATAAAGAGCTTGCGATAGAGGGACGGGCAGCTCCTGAAATCCGTAAAAGCAATCTTCTAGTCTGCTCATACTAAAAAGGACAGAGTAGCAAGCTTCTCTAACAGCCCTCACTTTCCCGCGAACAGATGATGAAAGTCCTTCTAACGTAACCTTTGACCCAGCTATTTTTGAGTAAAATTCTTGCCTGCTCCCGCTTGAGATACCAGCTTGCCAGAATCGGTCTGTTAAAATTCGCCCTACAACTGGGCGCATATCCTCAGGAAGCCCTTCCCAGTTATCAGGATTATGGAAGGCGTGGGCATGACTAAGATTATTAGATAAGTGTCAGTATAGGACTTTGGAGGTACACGTACCTAATAAGCTGCAGTAAAGTCGGTAGGATTATCGGAACGGTATCTTTCCATAGATCGACTGCGATTTGATATGCCGGCTCGTCCCTTTTTACCCTTTCTGTCGATACAGCAAGCAATGTGCGCGTAGAGCGTAGGGGTAATTCCTGAGGGTTTGGTTAATCACAGTATTTCTTAGTATTGAAGTTATGAGAAAATACCTGAAATTTTACACTCAGGTGCTCCTGGATACGTATCCCTTCTGCGTCCAGGGGGACCGCGGTCCAGTCCTCTAACTTCTGCGCTTCCCGTTCCTGAAGATAGGGGCGTACTTTATCCAAACCAAGGACTTCATAAAACCCTTTAAATGAACCCAGCATCAGCTTCAGTTGTTCGCTGGCCCATGATTGCCTTATGGGCTCAATGAACGAATTTAATCGAGACTGTCGAAGATATGGGTCTACATTCCGAGCCCGTTGCCTGAACTCCGGTTAGACCTTATGGTAGAGTAATCTGGCCACATTTCAAACGTACATGATAATTAAAAGGACGGCAGATAGCTCCATTTGAGGCCGCCCTTCATCATTGGGTCTTTGCCCTATTTCCTGCGCCTTCTGTTCCAGCGGTTCGTAATAGTTCTAGGGTTATGTAAGTAAGCTTCATTTCACCTGGAGCATCGCAAAATAACTCACTGCAAAGTAGTCGGCATATCCAATCGCAAGTCTCCTAATTTCGTAAGTAGCCATACTGTAGAGCTCCTTCACTGAGTCAGAGAAAGCTGAATGCTCTGGACGGTCCGGGATTTGAACCATCAAGATGTGTTCAAGGACTTTCAGTGCGTAACTCGGCCGATCTACCAGTGCCTTCGCTGAAAAGTCAACACATAATCGTAGTACCCGTTGCTTTATACTTGGATCCTACTCCCCGTTAGTATTTATTCTTTATCACCTGGTCAATAGATAGCGTACTTCAAAATTGCGATCCATCAGGCTCATAGCCCAGTTTTCAAGTGTACCTTCAATATCCAGACGCTGTTGTTCCTAGTTCATACAGCCATCAGTATTTATCACATATACACACGAGTACATACGTCTGATATAAAATTCAAAATAACCACTTACATCTTGTTGGGGCTCAGAACCCAAGGAACCCTTCCATTTGAGATAGCCTTTAAGCATTGCCTCAACAACTGTAAACTGAATATCTGCACGCAGCGCAGGTATCGATTGTTTCTGGAATGTGGCCACTATTTACTTTAGTAAATCTATGCTGTAATGGGGCGTTTGAGATATAAAACTCACTATCAAATGGAGCGCTCCCAGCGTATATGTTATTCAGGGAGTTATCAACCCGAGAGAGAATGTGAGGGATTGCTTCAAGCGTGTGTTTTTGGACGATGACCTCAATTACCTGGCTGCAGTATCTTCGATAGTTACCAACGAAGGCGTGCCTCTCTGGTATTGTATCGATATCTTCACCAAGGAACACAACAGTTGGATCATCAGAATCTTCAGGCAGTGCCTCATATCGCACAAGGCGCTGTGAACAGATCTCCAACAGCTGTCCTATTAAGCTGTTGACAATCTCCAATCCCCCAATTTGGTCTGAGGCCAGTAACCTCGACCAGGAATGAAGAACCGGGATGGATACAACAAGGCTAGGGTGCTGGAGGATACTAATTAGAAAGGAGAAAAGACTAGGGAGGTCGACTGTTTTCGTAAAGTCAACATTTTTCTCTTCTAAGAACCCTGCAATATATGACATTAACTGTGATCATGAGTTAGCCAGACGCGGTCATTGAGCATTATTTGGTGACAAGCGAACCTCGGATAGTTTCTTGGATATAGAATATTTTGATTCGATGATGTTATCGGCGCTGACAATTGACCATTCATATAACTTCCTAAGGAGGTTAAGATGGTCATTTTGATAAATTATATTCACAAGTCTTTGGAATTCCTCAATGTCATATGTTGATCGCCCATACAATGCGTGCAACGCCTCCACTACCGCCTATGCTTAGCAGGTTAATAAAGATTTCCGTAATAAAAATTTAGTAACGCGTGCTAGGACTCACCAGAAGGATAGCGTCGTCTTCAACTGTAAGCGCGTGGCATATCGCCGTAACACACTGGGACGAAGCTATCGCCATCGGTATAGCCCACGCAACAAACGAGCGAAGACAGCTCAAGGACTTTATTGCACAAGATTTGGCCTCCGCAGATGCATGTAAGTTCCGCACACAGTCATCCAAGAAGGAAGAGACTCTGAAAAGCCAGCCCTCGCTCCCGCAACGGACTTCGGTGTGATGGTCCCTTGTTGGGTATACCTCCTTGAAAACTTCATATGGAGTGCAAATTTCGACTAGTGCTCTGTTCAAATCAGTGCCCCGTAGAGACGAGGCCGTGTCCTCTTGATGAATTATATCCTCCGATAAAGTCTCCAGGACCATAAGCACAAGCTCTTTATGTGCAAAAGTCGCACCCCATAGCTGCACCAACGACTCATCCATGCCCGACCAGTCGACACCCCAGGTACGCTTCGCAAGTTCCACCCATAATGAAGCAACCTTGTTACGGATGTAAGACGGGTCCTCATACTGAAGCCCTTCGGCAAGGCGCATAACGAGCCCTCTTGTATGGTTAAGCTCGTCTGGAGATAGTTCCAGGAACCTGTACCGTAAGACATGTTCCAATAAGGACAATCCGAGGTGCCGAACTACGGGGGAATGGCTCTTGTCTGCAGCTAAAAAGTAGCCGTTCTGTATAGCTGCCTTTTCATGCTTCTGCTGTTCGAGAAACTCCGAGGCTTGCTTCCTGACTTCGTTCGTTGACGCGGGCGAATGTATAACTTCGAGAGCTTGAATTATACTTGCCAGCTGAGGGGCTCCCCCGTTCCCGTCATTTTGCGGAATAGAATCAGCCATACCCCTACCATCGACCTTCTCTATTTTCCGTGGCTGCAGAGTCGGGTTCACGCGATCAATATATAAATGCAGTTGGTCTGGAGTGGTCGAAGTTGGGTCAGGTTTTGGCGTTTGGTGTCTAAATAGCGTGGCGAAGAATTTTTCAGAGTCCGCGCTGCGTCTGGGGTCGGCAGCCGGTTGAAGGGTGTATGTATATAAAGGTAATCAAAGACTGAGGCTTTGGCAAGACGGTGCCTATTTATAGGTCCTTTGACTGTGACTATGTTCTCCTTGGTGTTTGTTTACCTTGGGTCAATCCATTCACCTTTAGTTTGAGATGTTTGTTGAAGGTGTTTCAAAACCACAGTTTGGTGGAACTTTCGCGGCTCTAAAACTAGAAGCTCCGCACCAAGTGACCCTCGATCTTCGACATTTTTATATCCTGCAAAGCGCAGGTAGAATATGATATGAGATGCTACCGTGGGGAGATTTTGGTATCTTGCGGCTGTCTCATACATGGTTGAACACCAAGCAACAAGTAGATGAAGCATCGGCTATTTTATATGTACGAAATCGACGGGGAGAGCTGTTGCATAACCAGGCAGCTCAGAAAGTAAATTTAATGTAATAATATTTATTGAGCACTCGAATTCCCCGCTGGATAAAAAATGTTCATGGACGCGTAAAGTATACACGGTAGAGACCTGACACAAGAACAACAATCAGGGTAAAACAAAGAACCAAAAAACCCCCATCAAGTATAAACAAAACTCCAAGCTAAAGTCATTTACATTAACGTGCATGAATGTTGCTTGCACTGTTCGATGTATCCTTCGCCGTCAGTCGGATTAACGACGCCCGCAAGTTCGCGTTTGACACCATGGACTGATATAGTCTGGTCACTCTCGGCATGCCACCATCTCAGGAACTGAACGGTTCCCAGCTGGAACTCTTGAGAGAATATCTCCCATTTCCCACCACTTACAGTGACCTCGGATTTGTCCTTTGGAAAGTGCAATTCAGGGAGATATATGAGAGTCGGGTAATCGGTGACGGTCGCGGTGTCGGCGGTTAGGGATAGCGAAAAGGTACAGTTTTGTAGGTCAAAGCCATGCTTTGTTATGCGACCGTGTACGGCTTCCGGGCCGGGCCGTACAAATGCCTCTACAGCACGGAACCCTTTGTGTTCTTCGCCGTCCTTTAATTGGGATTCGGTAGTAATCGATGCGGTAGGGAGAGCTGCTTTCAAATTATCCGGTTCAACCCGAATAGTTTGTAAGCCGGCTCTACTCTGCGAGAAAGATGGAGAAGAAGGGTCCAATGTGATCATACCGGATGCTAGCGACTTCCCGTTTGGTAGTTCCAAATCGTCGGGCGAGTAAATCGACAAATCCTCTCCATTCCAGTTGTCTCCCCATTTGTGTGAATTCTTTTAAAAAAAAGGCATCAGTAAGGAATATATTTTGCCTGGGGAAATGGGAGACATATAGACTCATACCTCGCTAGCATAGGTCCAAAGGCTGTACCCATTACCTCCGCAGCCTTCGATACCAAAATGATTCGCGTCCATGGCGCTTATTTGGCTGGAGTAGTCGCCTGTCTTATATGCATGCTTATCGTCCATATCAAAGGGAATACCAGTTTCCGTTAGTAGGAGAGGGTGGTTGCCCATATTTTTATAACTCTCTTCACGAAGGAAGTGCAATTGATCACGGAAGGAGTTTCGAATCGCGGTTTCGCCGATTTTAAGACCAAATGCCGGGATCCAGTATTTCCCACGAAGTATTCCAACCACGTCGACGTTATAGTACCGATTCCTAAAGAAAAGTTAGCCAGACAACACCGTATCTCTGGGTCCTAGCTACCTACCAATGCTTTGACATTAGAGTCAGTCCGTCATAGAAATGGACCGCATGAACCATATTGGGGTCATCATCCGCCGTTCCCTTGATGGTTGGAGGTATTTCTAGTACAGGTGGCTGGCAGAACATGATCATGCTCGAATCAACACTCCTCAGAGCATCACGATAATTCCGATAATGTTCTAGGAAGTACGTATTGATGAAACCTTCATAATCCAATGCTTGCCCAGTCCTAGGGTGAGTGCCAAAGTGGCCCTTGCGTAGTAATGTCAGCGTAGCAGGGTCCCATACTCCATGCTGCGCCCAGATACACTCTCCGAGTTTCCATCGAGGATCCCTTTTCCAGCCGTAAAAATCGGCACGATCAACCTTGAGCCATACAGATTTCCCCTCTGGGTCAACTAGCGTCCTGCCTGTTTGAGTTGGTCCGAAAGTGCCGAATTCCCACTGTGTGACTTCACAGGGGAAACCTGAGCCTGTCATCATACCTTGAAAGGCCGTTGGTGACGTCCCGAGCTGCAGTTGTTGATCGGCCGGGATAACAGATATATCTGGAATTCCGATCATACCCCTGTGAGGTTCGTTAACATTTTCCCATCCGATGACCACTGAACCTTCTAGGTCCCCAGCCTCGTGGATTCTAGTTGCTAAACGCTTGCAAGCAGCAATGAAATGGTTTTGGAGATAGTCTTGGATATTCATGCCGTCAATGATTGCGTTTGGAGCAAAGTCCTTTCCAGCCCAGAAGAGGGTAAACATCGTTTGGCAGATGAGTCTGGTATAGTTGGTACTCCAGATCATCTTAGGGAATGCCGCTGGATCCGGGTACGTATTCTGAACTAGAGCAGACTGAGTATCATGGAAATTTCGTGGATCAAGACCTGCAGCGTACAGCGTCCATAGCGGCGCCCCGGAACCGCCTGAGAAACGGGACCACTGGCGGTAAGAGAGTCAGCAGTGTTATTTGTCTGGACATGCAAGCAATCTGCTTTTCTTACCACATCCTGATGCGGATCCATATATACATAGAAGCCATAGGATCCCGCGATCCTCAGCATCTCGACGGTAAATGTGATCCAGTCCTCGTCGTACCGGCCTGGCCCGGCATGCTCGATTGCTTCCCACGTAAACACATATCTAATGTGATTGTACCCCCATTTCTTGAGCCTGCAGAAGTGGGCGTGTGACTCTTCGAGGGTAAACGGTCTATTTACAAAGGAAACGTCGTCCCCGTCGTAGAACCCGTTGACTTCGTGCGATGGGACGTCCGGTATCCTCGGATACTTCGCCGTGGCATCGAGGTTTATTCCTCTCAAGATGACCTCTCGGTCGTGAGAGTCCCGGAAAACATTCCCCTCGACACGCAGTTTGAGAGGAGCCATCTGGCGTCGTTTGGGTCCCAAGGCTGGCGGGAGAGACGTGGGAGATTCAGCTGGCCGAGCTCAACTCGATCGATAGCTGGGAGGGAGACGGAAGACGGAAGCGCCGGCGAGACACGACGAGGAATCTAGGACGGGCGGTCAACGTAGGCACTCTCTATGCATATGTATATATATAAGGTCAATCAGAACGGGACTGTCTGGTCTATCTCGTTTCTCTCCATGGCGGAATGGGGAGAACCTGGCGGCCGCACCGAGAGACCCGAGTGACCTCACCAGCTCGTGCACACTTACCAGTTCGGGGCTCCACCAGGCGTCTTGGGTTTGTTGGCGTTTTTATGCACACAGGGGATGACTAATCTCTTGCACTCGAGCATAAAGGACGAAGGGCGTGTTGAGGGCTCTTCTACTCTATATAAGTATCACGGAGAACCCTCGTTGCGTGTATGGCCTTCTCTTCATATCCAGGAGTGGGAGTTTGATGTCGTTCTGATACAGATACGCATGCGAGATACGGGATACGACATACGAAATACGACATACGTATACGATATGGCTGAATTTCGACTCGGAACAAGAAGAAAGTAAAGTACAACCACCATCAAGAGGCGTAACCAATCCTACAGCCTCGCCTCGAGCCCGTCCAACCCGGGAAGATGCCTCCCAAGAGCGCCCTGAAGGCTATCCGGGCGGATCTGGATGCCGGAGACTATTCCCAGGCAGCGTCGAAGGCATCTGACCTGTGCACACAGGACCCCCAAAACTATCATGCGTATGTACCTGATGCCCATCCTCACGCATACAACTGCTGATTAGACTGCTTTTCAAGCCATATATTCCTGGGTCTGGCCAGGGACAAGCTCAACGACCATAGTGCGTCTGAAAAGGCATATGGATCTGCGATCAAGATTAAAGATAGCGACAAGACAGCCTGGCAAGGGCTGATCGGCTTGTACGAGTCCCAGGGCTCCAAGAGGCTAGAAAGCTACGGGAAAGCAGTAATTAATCTATGCAATATATTTGGAGACACGTATGTGGCTTGTCCATTGAACCCCCCCCCCCCCCCCCCCCCCCCCCCCCCCCCCCCCCCCCCCCGGCAACAAGGAAGTAGCTGCTAAATAACTGGCTAGTGACGAATATACCCGAGCCCATGGAGTGTTGGACAAGTATATCAAATTTGTAAAAGACCAAGGATCGAAGATCCAATACATCCATGCTCTCCAGCTGCAGCTGCCAACCAGTCCCATCTACAAGAGTGTAGAAGGACTGGTTCCTCGTCCTTCCGAGACCTACCTTCGTGTAGCTGAACTCGCCGAGCAAGAAGAGAAAGAGTTTATCAATCGTGAAATCGGCGAACGGCGGACCAGGTTAGGTGCACGGATTGACCAGGTTACCTTGGAAGTAAAACTTGAGGCCTTTAATCGGGGAGTGCTCAACGAGTTGTACCAGGGAATCGTCGACTGGACAAACGACGACGGAACACGCCGTTCTTACGAGGAAAAGCTCCTTCAGAGGCACTATGACCACCTTCGTGTTCTCCCCCCGAAGGAGAAAGCGGGAAAACGCGAAGTGGTGCGAAAGGCTGCCCGTGGTATGGTAATCATCAAACATCCGTTTGAACTGGCATGGAGAATAGTTCTTGATTGGAGCGATAATGGAGTCCTTTCTGGATTAGATGTGACGCTATTGAGAGACTTCATTGACCTATTCCCAGATCATGGCCTCAGTAAGGTACTCAAAGGTTTTCTGAACACCGACATGTCCCCTTTCCCCCCAGAGAAGAAAACAAAGGAAGAAGAAGAAGCAGCCAAAAAGGAAGGAAATGCTGAATCCGAAATCCAAACCATGTTTGAAGACCATCTGCTCTTGATGGCCGAGGGTTTAGAACAGGCTACCGAGTCAGTCTTAGCTCATCGGATCATGGGTGAGGTATATTCCCATCTAGAGGAATTCCAGACCGTTGTAAAGGTATCTCGGAAAGGCTTGGCTATCAACGCTGATATACGGCGTAATACGGGTCTTAAGCTGCAAAATACTGTTGATTCACTTAATATCACGCTTGCTTCCGCACTAATCCCATACCAGTCACCCAGGCATCACCCAGAAGCGAAAGCTATATTTGAAGATATACTTGCGCGAAAACCACAGGAAGATAGCTGTCTCCTTGGGCTGGGGTTGATTTTAGAGGAAGGTCATGACTACATTGCCGCTATGGACTTACTAGCCCAGGCGATGTCGAGAGACGAGAAAAATGCTAAAGTGCGAAGCGAACTATTTTGGTGCAAGGTTCAGAATGGAGAGCTAGAAGCTGCCTTGGAAGGCCTTGAAGAAACTCTCCCGCTCGTTCAACCCCTGGATTCACGTTGGTATAGTCTAAGAGCTGAGATTCTGTACCGCATCGGATTCTGCCAATGGGAATTGGATTCATCCATCTCTGCTAGAAAGAACCGGAATGGTGCTTATTCCAAATTCTTAGCATCCATACAAGCAGACATGAACTATGCACCGGCATATTCTAGTCTTGGAGTTTACTACGCTGACTATAAAAAGGATAAAAAAAGAGCCCAGAGATGCTTCCATAAAGCAGTCGAGCTCTCATCGTCTGAGATCATGGCAGCCGAACGGTTAGCTCGTGAGTTCGCAGATCAAGGAGAATGGGACCTAGTTGAGGCGATTGCGCAAAGAGTTGTGGACTCAGGAAAGGCAAAGCCGTCCCCAGGGTCTAAGAGAGCCGGACATAGCTGGCCCTTCGCTGTTCTAGGGGTGGTTGAGATAAACCGACAACGTTACGCAAAGAGTATCGTCCATTTTCAAACCGCATTACGGATCTCGCCCAATGACTATCAGTGCTGGGTCGGATTGGGTGAAAGTTACTACAACTCGGGACGATACATTGCTGCCACCAAGGCTTTCCAAAATGCGGAGTTACTCGAAGCTCGGTTACCGGAGTCTGAAAGAGGCCAGGTGTGGTACTCAAAATACATGATGGCAAATCTAGAAAGAGAGCTCGGGAACTACGAAGTGGCTATTAGGATGTATGAGGAGGTCATGGAACTGAGAAACGAGAAATTCGGTGTATCTGTTGCGTTACTGCAAACCCTAACTGAGAGCGCATGGAAGGCCGCTGAGTCTGGATTTTTTGGGGAAGCTGCCGAAACCGCAAAACGGGCAATCGAGACAGGCTTATCTGTGGTAAACTATCAACCCAGCGGCTTCAATCTATGGAAATCCATCGGTGACGCCTTTTCGGTCTTCTCCTGGGTTAATGACAAGTCGTCATCCATGCCCATCGCATCGTTTATAACCACACTTAAAACAAAGTGTGACAGCGCAGCTTTCAATATTGTTTCCAATCTGGATGGAATTGGAGAAAATTTTGAAACTCTTTTTGAAAACCCTCAGAGTATTGACAGGCAGGACCCCTTGACCCCCATGTACGCGACCATTTTATCCTTCAAGTACGCCCTCTCTGCTACTGCCAAAGATACCCACGCTCAAGCATTGGCATGGTATAACCTAGGGTGGGCTGAATATAGAGCTCACACGCGACGATCTTCAAGTGCCAAAAAATCGACTACCAGCAAGCGGAGCGGGTTTATCAAAGCCGCTATTCAATGTTTTAAAAGGGCAATAGAGCTTGAAGCCGGGAATGCTGATTTCTGGAACGCATTGGGCGTTGTTACGGCTTCGCAAAGTCCAAAGGTAGCACAGCATGCATTTGTTCGAAGCCTTCACCTTAACGAGCGAAATGCGTTCGTATGGGCAAACCTAGGAGCCCTTTATCTCTTGAATGATGACTATCAACTAGCAAATGAAGCCTTCACGCGATCACAATCGGCAGACCCAGACCACGCCCATGCCTGGTTGGGGCAGGGGCTATTAGCGATGCTCATCGGGGACCCCGTCGAGGCACGCGAGCTGTTCACACATGCATTTGGCCTTGGAAATGCGAATAGCGTTTTCCCAAAACAGCAATATGCCATATCAATGTTCGACGATATCAGCACTAGTGCAGCAACTATACCAGCACAATTACTTCAACCGCTATTTGGCCTGCATCAGCTTCGTTCCGTGGACCCTTCGGAATTATTCCATCACCATCTCTCTGCACTTTTCGCCGAACGTACTGGTGATCTTGCCGACGCAAAATCAGATCTGGAGGTGGTTTGTTTAGGGGCCGAAGCTGAGTATGAGTCGACGGAATCCATATACACGTTGTTGAAGTATGCACAGGCATCAGCCGACCTGGCTCGAATACAGTTGGGGCAGCTAGAATATGAAGGTGCGGCTGAAAGTGCCGAAACTGCGATAAACCTGACGTCAGAAGAAGGCGTACGTGATCGTAATAAAGGCCTTTATCGAACGATTAGGTTATCGGCTCATTTGACTGCGGGTCTGGCGTTATACTATCTCGGCCGCATGGACGAATCTATTGAGATGTTCCGTGACGCAATTCAGGAGGCCGAGAATTCGCCGGACGTTACATGTTTGCTTGCACAGGTGCTTTGGGCCAAAGGCGGCGATGAGGAGAGACTGGTTGCTCGAGAGCAGCTTTTTGAATGCGTTGAAAACCATCTTGAACATGTGGGAGCTATTACACTTCTGGGCGTTATTGCCCTGCTGGATATGGACGAGGATGCCATCGAAGCCGTGGAATCAGATCTGCAAAGCATGAGGACAAGAAATGATATAGATATCCACAGCGCTGGGAAAATTGTGCAACTCCTTGCAAGCATTCCGGCCCTGAGATATGACGCACAAGCGGAGACAACGCGCACCTCCAAAATGTTAGAACAAGCCACCACATCTGTAATGATTTCACCAAGTCAGGCACAAGGTTGGATGACCCTGGCTTCGATATCGACAGAAAAATATCCCGCCGAAATGGCAGTCCGAACAGCATCTATAAACATTCCCCCTCGTGGCACACTTAACGCCGAGGACCTCTGCCACGCTTATTCTCTAGCTGGAACGAGGAAAAACGCATTGAGTGGGATCATGGTAGCGCCTTGGTCTATAAAAGGTTGGAATGAGTTGAGCCGTTGTTGTTCCTAATGTTGACGACACGAATTAAATCTAGCCTTAAGTGTTGACGTAACACCCCAGATCTTAAATCCAATATCGTCAATACTAAGCAGCCCCCTTCCTTACTCCGTATCTGCAGGAGGATTCAGTAACGACAACAGTCTAGCCTTTCGTCCAGCTTTCCATTCTCGGTCTAGAGCTTCAATTTTACCCCCGAGAATAGTTACGCATGCTGGTTCCAAGAGAGCCATCCCACGCGCAACGAGAGCGTTTGTAATCAGTAGCTTGGTTCCGATTGCTGTTTCTCCAATATTTATTGTCTCTAGGGGCTTCAGCTCGATAGCTATCATCTTCGTGCCTTTAGCATCCTGCAGTATAAGTTTGTGTGGTCCTGATGACTTCGTTTGCTCTGACCCAGCATTGACGGCGCCAGAGTTGGCAGCTTGTCTCCCGCCCTCACCGGCGGTGTTGTTGCTAGGACCTTCATCAGCCACTGCGGCTTGAGGGATAGTACGAATCACTTCCCGTCCCCTAATTGTTTCACCTCTTTCGATTCTCTCTAGAGCCTCTACTTGACTCCAAACACTGCTTCCTATATCCTCTATATCAAGAACTTGAACGGGGACAGGGCCGGGGATGCGTCTCTCCTTAATATTTGGGCTGGATATATCCACGGGCAGTACCTGGTTAGAATTTGAATTGGGGACAGTAAGTGATCTAGTGAAATCCGAGGCGAGCAGCCGGAACAGAGCAGTTTGTGTGAGAGCAGGTAGAGGCGTGGCTCCCGGCCGCTGGCTGGAGAGAAACTGAGAGAGCCACAGTTCAGAGACGGGCAAGGATTTGGTATTCAGCAGATGGCTGCTTATGTATGCCTGTGGATCTGGTGCCATCCTCGAACAGTCAAATCGATGCTTGATGTTGGTGTTTGGTAGAAGTTCCAGAGTATCAAGACCGCAGTAAAGTATAACTATGCACGGACCATCGCTCTAACGTGACTCACTAGTAAATGCTCACCACCAGTAAATGCTCACTCCTTGTAAATTTCTTCACCCCTCTATTACTAACTCTTAACACCTATAGAATGGCCAATAAGGCTATAATTATAGCTATAATTAAAGATTTAAAGTCATAGAAGGCCCCTAATTACTTATAAACTATAAAGAAGTGGAAAATTAATTATATAACCCTTACACGCTATTATAAAAACTAAATTATTTTCTACTTAGAAGTAGTATTAAAATATTATAAAAAGTTACTAAATAAATAAAAGGAAGTCCTTCTATAATATATTGATTAATTAGTAATAAGAGGACTATCCCCTATACCTTAAATTATTTAGAATCTTATATTTAAGCTTATAAAATAGCTAGTAGAGGTAAATTAGGTAGCTTAGTTTTATAAGAGATATAAAGATTAGATCTAATATCTCTATCTTTAAATAATTAATTAATAGAGGTATATTATAAATAACTCTATATACTTTAAATATTTTTATAAGTCTATAAATATTATTTATTAGGTAATTTGCTAATAAATATATATATACTAACTTTTATATATACTTTAATAGCTTAGGGAGATAATTAAAAAATATAATATTATTATAGATAATATCTATAACTTTGATAAGAAAGGCTTCTTAATTAGGCTTAGATATACTATTAAATAAATTATTCTACTTTAGACTCTAAAAAATTAAAGGATAGATACTATTTAAGATAAATCTTATAAATTTATCTCTCTATTTACTACTATATCTATAGATAGTAAAAAGATCCCTCTAGTACTTATTTATAAAGGGGAAGGAAATCTATAAGATACTTTTTTTACTTTATATTTAACTATATAATATTTCATTATATCTAGCTATATAGTATTTTACTATACTATATTATATTAATTACTATCTTTATATTTAATATCTATTCTTTTTTATTAATATTATTTATTTTAATACTATATAGATATTTCCTTTATTAATATTCTTTATATTAATATATAGTATTATTTCTACTAAAGGTAATAATAGTAACTATAGTTTTTTATCTACCCTTTCTTTATCTATATTCTATTAATAAATAGATTCTACTATTAGACTACTATTACTACTACTTTTATTAGTTTATTATTTCTTTTTTAACTTTCTTATATTTCCTTTTAATAATAAACTACTATAATTAATTTATTATTTAAAAAACTAAAGGACTATTATTTAAAAAGATTAAACTTATTCTTTAGTTTTATATAGTTAACTATTTTTTACTAACTTATAGTAAATTTACTTATTATATCTAAACCTAATATACTATAACTAATTAGCTATATTAATATATTTTTATTCTATCTTAATACTAATTTAAGCTTAACTAATGAAAGAAAATATTAAAAATATAAAGGTTTACTAATAGATTACTATCTTTATTATTAAGATATAGAAAGTTAAAGATTCCCTAATAGCTAGCTCTATTTAGTAGTCTTTCTTTAATACTTTAGAACTAAGAGATTCTACTAAAGCTTTAAGTATAGCCTTATATCTATTAAATAATTAATATTAAAAGAATAAAGAATAACTATTATTATATATAGAAGGCTAAGATATTAAAAAGATATTTTATTAGCTTTATTAAATAGTAGCTAGAAAGGGTTATATATTTTCATAGTAGATTTATTAATTATTTATTCTTAAAGAATATTAATATATCTATATTTAACTATTCTCTACCTTTAGCTAATCTTTAGAGCTTTATATAAGAGCTAAAGGAATATAAATAACTTCTTTATTAAAAAGAGTTAATTTACTTATAAAACTTATATAATTTAAAGTATCTTTACTAGACTATAACTATAGATACTTTAACTAAATAAGTATAGTGTCTAATAAATACTATAATATTTATACTATCTATACTACTTATATTTAAACTTTAGATTGTCGCTCTTTAGCCTTCTATTATAGATACTCTCTATATCTTTATAATAGATACTAATACCTTGCCTTTAAAGAGTTATACTAACTATTATAAAGATCTATTTTTTAAACTTAATAAATTCTTTACTATCTTAGTGTCACAAGCTGACGGCGCTCCTTGATTATCTAAAGGTGATCAGAGGTTCACATCTGCTATAAGATAGAAGGTATAAAGGTCTTAAGGAAAGCTTAAGTTAGAAGTGAGTCATTATAGGAGATAGCTTAGTACTAGGGTAAGATAGAATACTATAGTAAGACTATCTCTTAGTTCCAAGTATGGCTTTAGTTAGTATCTAGGTTAGATAAAGGCTAAAGGTCCTTATAAGTAATAAAGATAAAGTTGATCTATATTAATGAGTAAAAGGGTATTTAGTAAATATAGTATAAGATAACAAAAATAATACTTTATATTAAGTAGTATAGTAAAACTATAGCTAGTTTAATTATAAGTATAAGACTTTTAATTTTAAAGTAATAAGTGTCTTTATATATATAGTATATATCTAGTAATAGGTACAATAGTTCTCTACCAAGAGGTTCCTATTACTTCTATTAGTTATTGTGATAGTATTAATAGGAAGCTACCAAGTCTGTCCTATCGGTCCTATCGCTATTAGTCACGTGACTAGTGCCCTCAAGGTCTGGCCCGTGATCCTTCTATCCAATGAGTGTATATCTGTTACAGACCACCTGCGGCGCAGCCCCAGGATATACACTCATTGGACGGGAGGATCACGGGCCAGACCTTGAGGGCATTAGTCACGTGACCAATAGCGATAGGACCGATAGGACGGGCTTGGCAGCTTCCTATCGATACTATCACAACAACCAATAGAAGTGATAGGAACCCCTTGGCGGAGAACTATCGTATCTATCACTAGATATATACTATGTATATAAAGACGCTTATTACCTTAAGATTAAGAGTCTTATACTCGCGATCAAACCAGCTATAGTTTTACCATACTGCTCAATATAAAGCACCATTCTAGTTGTCTTATACTATATTTACCAAATACCCCTTTGCCCATTAACACAGATCAACTTTGTCTTCACTACTTATAAGGACCTTTAGCCTTCATCCAACCTAGGCACTGACTAAAGCCACACTTAGAACTGAGGGATAGTCTCGCTATAGTATTCTATCTTGCCCTAGTACCGAGCCATCTCCTATAATGACTCACTTCTAACCTAAGCTTTCTCTAAGACCTTCGTACCTTCTGTCTTACGGCAGGTGTGAACCTCTGATCACCTTTAGGTAATCAAGGAGCGCCGTCAGCTTGTGACAATATCCTGGGGCTGCGCCACAGGTGGTCTGTAACATTTAGGACTTTATATTTTTAAAATTAAATAGTATATTAATTATAAACTTTATTAAAGAGCTATTTATTTAAAAGAATATAAATAATATATATAGTTATTATCCATATAATAATAAACTATATAATATTAATTTATAATATAACTAAATTAACTATTTTATATATTTAGAAAGATCAAGCCTATAAGGATTAGATTTATTTAAACCTTTAGTCTTTAGCTTATATAATCCCTTTCTTTATTCTTACTATTTAAATAGTAATAACTATCTATAGAAACTTCATTTATAACTATAGAATATAATATATTATAATTTAAAGAAGGATAATATTACTATATTTATTAGTAGACTAAAGTATCTTAAATTAGTAAATAGAAAGGAGGTAGTACTTAGAGTCCTATCTTTATATTTAAGGGGTAGAGCTCTTAAATAGTATACTAATCTATCTAAAGAGAAATAGAGGTCTATAAAGAATAATTTAAATATCTAATTATTTAAGTTAAAGGATAAGTTTAAACTAGCTCTATTATTAGTTTTTAGCTAAATATCTATTCTTAAATTTATATTTAGCTCTATAAAGACTCTTTTATTATTA